TATGTTTATCTTTGGACCAGGCTTTTGTTGTATACGACATCAATGCGAGGTAGCACATAATGCTAAAAACCAATAATTAGCATGCGTACACCTCCAGAATATGGTGTCACTTACTTTGAGGAACTCTTTATGATATTTTCATAAGTTTCACGGGGAAACTTCCCCCCAATCATAGGCTCAAATTCCTGCCAAGCAGCATGTTGCTGCAAAGAAGGCAGAAGCAGGACAAGCTTGCCAAACATCCTATGCCTAGCCTTTTCAAGGCGACGACCGGGACTAGTCTTCGATGTCATATCGCCTTCTCTTCCATGCATTCGAGTATGAATGGTTGAATGAACTGTTGAGTAGTAGTTCGCCAAGATGTATAGGGTCGCTCCCAAATCTTTTCTTAACCAGCTACGATCCGTGAGCGGGTAAGGAAAGAAAGTCCAGATGAATGCCACAAAAGATCCACCTGCAACACATGCGAGTCTATATGGAGCAAGCTCATAAATCCTGTCCTCACGTTAGAGAGTCTCAATTCAATAGGAGTAAGTGACTGACGGATAATAAGGTTGTCCATTACTGGTTGATGCCAAAATTCCGATTTTTCTGACTTGAAGTTCATATCCAACAATCAATACTTGAGTAACTATGAACACAAGCCAGGCCGGTATCAAGCGAGGAAATTTCAAGAAGAGATACATCTCCAAGAAGATAAAAAACCAAAGCATCACTATAACTCCTGGAGTCTTTTGATCAACAATATACCAGATGATAATTGAGCTGACCATTGCTAGTGCAGTTCCCCCAACACGAGCCAGAAATCCAAATATCGATTGGCCTGAAGTCATCGTCATACCTATTTCAATTAGCTTCTCTACGGGCTCGAGACCGGATTATCGACATACCAATTGCAATGATGATCAAAGCCCAAACTAATCTTTGCTCCTGAAAGAAGACATGAGTGTCTCTAAGGAATGCAACAATACCCAAAGTTAAGGTTGCGCAGGCCACTCTAAACCCGAATGCTGATTCCGCGCTTCCTAAAAACCTCGGGATAGCTCTAAGCCCATTGCCAAAATGTTGCCAGGCGGTCTTTGGTGGCAAATGTTCAGGATCTTTCCGAGCGTTGAATCCTGAGCCCAAGTAGATATTGTTTACACCTGCCTCTTGGTTATCCGGAGTGTTACTATCAACGGTCGTATCTGTATTTGCAAGGCCAAAAATCCATTTTTTGATTCGCCGTTGACCTGGTAGGATCAGACGATTCTTCTTCATAGTTCCATCTTCTACTTTTCCGTCCGCAAATCGAACTAACTCAATTACTGCGAGACCGGCCGTGTAAAGCTGGATTTATTAGCATTGTCATAGAAGCAGAGTCATTACAACGTACAAGATTTTCCATGAATAAAATGAGATATAATTGCTGCTGGTCTCTTCTATGCGCGCCTTTGTCTCCATTGACGGGTTCACCTGGAGGAGGAATTGGCCTACTTGTATCGAATTGTTCTGCAGACAAACCTTTTTCATGTGCCCATTTCTTCAAAGTTGCTCCACGCTTTTTATAAAAATCATTCAGGGCCTGTTCCATATAGGCGAGAAATCCGGCATCACCGGGCTTTGATTGTGCATCAGCAGTCTCAATGTCACCAGCAGCTTTCTTTTTCGGTCGAGGAACAAGCTCCAAAGTAAGTGCTACATGTTCTAATCCTTGATCCATAACTGCGGTCACGATAGCGAATGGTTCGTGGAGAGTCTTCATCACCTCATTCCATAACCTCTTTTCTTCCGTCTTACTTTCCAAGGGCATGTGTTCCCATTGCTCAGAACGGTCTTTTGAACCCGTGGACTTGACCCATCCGCGTCTTTCGCCGATTCGTACAAAAATATCTGTGATGGTACTCATTCCCAGCAGTGGAATCATTATGTCCCGGAACAAGTTGAATATCTTGTCGATATCCTTAGCACCCAATTTACCCCAGGCGACTTCCCGCTTTCCAAATGGCATATCTCCGTAAAGCTTTCCATGCAAGCCGCGCAGACCATCGATTGCTCCCTTCAATGCCTTAGCCTCCGGAGACAGTGTTGGATGGGAAGATCCTGCACTGCCTTTGTTGGACCCGTCAGATGAATCGCCAGAGGTATCACCATTCTCAGAACCTGAAGCAGCGAACATATCACTTTCCTCCAAGCTTTGCAAATATCTTGTCTGTGCCTTGAGAACGCCCCTCAACAATTGAATATATCCCGCTTGGCCTTTAAAAACAACCAAACGACACGAGACGGGTATAACAAAAACATTAACCGCCGTGCTTATAGCAAAGGCAGTCAAAAACGCCTTGATCATCTGTTTGATGAGAGATTCGGCTGATGCCACAGTAGAGAAAAGTGGGCCATAAGTGAAAGCAATGTTTGAAAATATGCTATACATAATGACCGGAACATTCAAGGCTGGACTTTTGGCGCGTAATACATTCGCAAACCATATGTTAGCAAACAACCAGATGGCGCACACAGCAGCCTGCGAAGAATTATACGCTTGTGGCACTCCCGGTGTAGAAGTATGTTCTCGCGCTTTAATGCAGCTCCAAAGTCCCAGCATTCCGATTGAAGCCCCAATGCAGACGGCAATCAGGTTGAGTATCATCGTTTGAAAGAATTTGGCTCTTGGCATAATAGGCAGACTGATGACGCAAATAATGGCTACCAGATATCCTAAAGTTGTGTACGTTCGAGAAACCGAATCGGATTCGTAGAAAGCTACTTAAAAGTTAGGGTTAGGAACGTAAGATGGGCTTCAATTGACTTGCCAATAGCAATGGTAGGAGCTACGGATCCCCTAGATCATACATCAGCATCTTTTTGGTTAAGAATGGATTCAAATCATACTTGAACATCATCATCAATGTCGGTGCATCGAGCCCAAGTTTCCCCCATATTCCCTTCAACTTGGACGGCTTCTTCTCCTTACCCTTGACTTCAGTCTGTCCGGTACCTCTTTTCGAGACTCCATCTGAGATTGGTCCCGCATCGTTTTCACCTCTCTCCGTTGAGAGATCAGGGGATGCTTCATTTCTTTTCTCCGTGTGCGACTCGCCATTCACGGAAACGTCCTCAGTGGCCATCCTATCAATCAGGCTGAGGTTTAGTTTCCCCGCAATACGTCAATTTGTTATACTCGTATTCATGTGCACATTGTTGGAATCAGTGAAGGAAAATAAAAAACAAATATGAGAATATCTTAACTTGATCTCGACAGCAATTGAACATTGCAAGAGAGAGGGAAAGAAAAATGTAATATTAAACTTCCTGCCTAGAGCGATCTTGGAAGTACCGGTACCTAAGCATACGATGAACGAAATTGTGTATGGGATTAATTGTTAAAGAACGGAATGATTGACCAATCAAGGAGGTGACGTCGATCACAGCCTTGAGCTAGCACTGCAATGGGAGATATTTATGCGAGTTATGCAAGTTATGCATCTTGAAAGTCGTCCTCATTACATACAGCCTTACGCATTTTTAACTTCACCCAACGTGCCAACGTGCCAACGTGCCAACGTCCCTTATTTAAAATCATATGGACGAGATGGACAACAAATGGACAATAGATGGGCAATAGTCGGACTCCGAAAACTCAGCCGACTGGTTCCCACTAATGAGGATCCTCTAAACTTATGGATCTTCAAAGTTAATTTAATTTCTTTACGGGGAAGAGCCACAATCCATTTTGCGGATTTCGTCTGATAACTTCGAGCTCATTACAGTTTACGGCTCAAAGGATTGAAATTGAAGTCTTCCGCGTTGATTTCTAGACACGTTGATATTGTCTTGTCGTCTCTCTAGGTCAAAAGGAGAATCTACATATTGGTTTCCATATCGGATCTGCACATTCATTGACCAAGAACAGTTCCTATGTTTTGACCTCTGCAGTGGCATTTTTTATATCCTCATTTGAACTTAAGACTTTGCTGTAGTCTTTGCTCAGATATCAGTCAGATCAGGATCGGCGCAACACTCTGTATAAATTATATGGAAAGCATCCGCGAATACTGTAGGGGAGAGAAGTAAAATTTACATTTGAGGCTAGAAAGTGATGAAAAAAAAAAGATTCAATTGTATCGTACAAATTTAACTCATGACGTTACTAAACTTCTTAATTTTGTTAATGTTTTGCATGTCTATTTTGAAATGCGAGAATTCAACGCACTTTTTATTCTAAAGTTACTTTGCAAACATGTATCTTCTTACCGACCCAAAGAATGATTCCTCTTTGTTGGCTTTGTTTCCCCTCAGCTCTTAAGATAATACCCCCCCCCCTTGTTGACGCTTCCTGCTAAGCGTCTTTTCAAAGTCTGAACTAGTCTTCCATCCACTTCTTCAATAATATCCACCATTGGTACGGGGCTCTCTCGGGAACTGCATCGTCACCGGCATCGAACATGAATCCCCCATCAACCTCGCGCAACACAACTATAACCTCAGCCCAGTCCTCAGCCCCCACTCTCATCATTCCACCGCATCGCTCATCTTACAGACAGCTGAAAAGATACGATGAAGTAATCGTGCCATGTTGTTTCCACCGAAGCTGTGTAAGATAACACTGCATACAATATGTTAGTCCGTGATCGCTAATCCTCGTGACACCGTAGTCCTGCACGCAGATGACTTGTAGCTTTTTAATATGAGGAATCAAAAGTTCGTGCCTCTGTTGCATATCTAGAATTCCTGTCGTTCCGCCTTTGCCATCTGTTTGAGCGCAAATTAGAGGAAAAACTTATGCTGTTTGATAAATAGGGAACTTCTCCCATACAGTGACTTTAGGGTAATGAAAGTCCGTCCACCTGACTGCGTGAAACCTCGGATCGTAACCGTACTAGGTATTTACAATAATAAAAAATGCGATTCCTGTTCCCCAGCCTTATCAATACAATTCAAGACTCCTAGCTCCCGTCTTACAGCATCTGGTTTGATGCACCCAAAATCAATGCAATGCATCTTTACCAACCATTGTACCTTTAGAGTGTGGGCGCTCTTTTCAACCCCACGCAGTACCTAACAAATAGCTGGTCCATAAAGTGAGCATGTTTAATGCCCTTCGGTCTTCTCTTAGCGAATTCATCAATCGCCCCTTGAACTCCATACCCACACCTTTCCACCAGATAACATACAATGAAATATCCAGTTCTGTTGAAGCCATAGTGACAGTGTACCCCCACAAACCACTCACCCACAGCCCCTTCCTTTTCCTTTCTCGCCGCCTGCTCATCTCTTAGCCGATCGATTAAATTGATGAAGGTGACAACCTCGTCAGATGTGGGTGGAATTTTAGATACCGTCGGGAATTTGTGGTATCGTATTCCGCCATTCTCAAGACCTCGTGGATCGTATACCGGACTTTCGTGGCTAATATCCACAATATCCTTGATCTGCTCGCCCCAATCTTTCACAAAGACCTCTGGACAATGACTATCATCTACCTCTCTCAAAGTTTTCATGGCACGAAATACACCCGCGATAGGCTCTGAAACAGGCGCCACTGCTTGCCACTTTGCTAAATTCTTCACATCCCATTTGCCGGAAGTAGAGAGGAATTGTAGTTGCCAACCCAAGGATAAACGAGGTGACATTTGGGTACAAAGAAAATCAGATATAAGACCTGCAAGGGTCCTCACGGTGGATGGCATATAGAGCAAAGCATGCGAAGCGGGGGCTGGAATGATTGTCGTTTTTAGGACCCGCTTCGGTCTAAGAGGTTGCGGAGGGATGTTTTCAATTCTATCAAAATCATCCGGTGTCGATGGGTCTTCTAGCGATTCCACAGCGGTATCGAGGGTTTCTTCGACAAGTAGGTCTTCAGTTGAGGGATTGGTACCATTGCTCATAGATTTGTTCTTCTCAGACATATCAACAGGCGCAGCTGCATCAAGTATAGGCTCACTTTTGTCGCTGGGGTCAATTTGGACCGGGTGAGACTTTCCAAGAAATTGAGCGATCTTTTCAATCTCACCAGGCTTTGTGATATCATCAGCTGCCCCCGCAACAAGGAAGACAGGCATATCCAGCCCCTTCCAGACATCTCTGCCCGCAAGTCCACCTTTCGCAATGTGGTTTTCATAAACGGGCAAAGTGCCAGCTGCCATTCTCCTCCATACTGCGGTTTTACTCTGGCTATTGAATCGTTCTTGAAGCCTTTTGGTTTCATCATCTGCTGAAGGGCCAACAAATCTATGCACACTAGCACTTTCAGGGCCACCTCGGCGATCCCAGTTTCGCCAAAGGTCAAAAACCACATTCGGTATCAAAAGTAGCTTCTTAAACTTACTAACCTCATCTTCGCTAGGGGGTTCCGCACGAGGGCAGATTGCCTAAATCTTTTATTAGTAAGCCACAATATACCTTACATATGATTTGATTCCTTACAATAAGTCCCATGACGTTCTCTGATAGCGCAATTGATTGTGGCGACGTTGTAGATGCAAGCAAAGCGGCTATAGAGCAGCCCAAGCTATGTCCAATCAAAACTACACCCTGCTTTGTATCTTTCTCTCTATAGTCCTCAATGACTCTCCCCACAAGCTCTGCAAGAGCGTCCACAGTATAAGCATCCCAAGGTAGTTTTGGGTCGAATGCAGAAAGGCCGCAGCCTGGTAAGTCGATTGAAAGACATGATGCCAAATTCACAAGGCTTGTTAATAGAGGGTTAAATTGCGCAACTGAACCCCCCAGACCGTGGATGAAAACTAGTAAAGGTAGTGGGGCAGGTTTTGTAGGCAGCTTGTCGGCTTGAGCATGTCTGCTGAAAAAGATTCGTAGTGAGGGATATGTGAAACGACTCGTGGTGTAGGATTTTATCTCAGAATGTTTCTTTAAAAGTCCTGGGTCGACAACTTCGGAATCTACAAATCCAATGAATCAGTAATCTTTCCCAGGAATTTCATATTTTGCGGAAAGAGTGAGCGTTGCGACAGAGCTCACCATTGATATCCATACTCTGTCTAGGAATGGTTCCATGGGCACTCCCATTGAGTGATTTCGTGTCATTGTAAGCCTTGCTCTTCCTTCCATTTCGCAGATACCAGAAAGCAGGAAATACACTACACAGAAGAGCAATTTGCACCATATCCCGACTGCTCAACTTTCCCTGGACTGTATTGGTATAAACTCGGCTTGCACTGGCTGCGACAGCCTGTATTGGTAAAATTAGTTTGCTAAAGGAGTCTAACAACGGCGAGACGCTGTTACCTGGTAAAGCAAGAATGAAAGGAAATAATGAACATAACGATAGCGATAGCAGCAACAAGAAAGCTGCCATTCTTGTATTAACCCCCAAATGTGTTTTGGGGTCAGACAAAAAAGCAAAGTCCTATCGGGAAATTACTTGCTGGATGTAGTCAAAGTACTCATAGCCAATAACGTTGTCACGCTGCTCTGTGGAAGCTGTGCTCGAATGAGTGATCGATGCTCCTTTTTCGGGCAATAGAGGGAAATTGGTATATGGCAGATGGCAGATGAGACAGACAGGAACGTGGCTCTTCTCGGGAGACGGTGTCTGACAATCCGTCGCTGACTCTGGCGGGATCTCCTTGTTTTTTCCAGTGCTCCTAATAAGGTTTTTCAATGTGTGTACTTTGTACTGGTGGTGTACACATTTTTCTCAAGGCGTGCGGTTATTTTGTGCGATTGCGATTAGAGATTACGTGACTCAGCCAGTATTATGGATAGGTATGGATTGATTGATTGACAATTTGATATGGAGCTTGGTGGTCCTTTCCCCATTGATTTCTCTTTTTGGGGCTCGTGTTAAAATCCTTTGTCTCCATTGGCTAAATCTCTTCAGCTGTAGATTCCAGCTACTTGTTCTACGAGCACAGTACTTACATCTTGTGGAGTGTGAGTATGCTGCTCAGATTACCAGCTTACACGAAAAATATGTTGAACAACACCAAGATCTCATTTTATGTCTCATGCAATGAAATGCTATTGATGAGCACTAGGTATGTACATTCCGATCGAGTACCAATCTACTTCGTATTAGTACTAGTATATCTCACGGACTGCATTACAAGTATATTGAATTGGAACTGCGATGATCACCAACGTCAACTTCCATTCTTTAAACTACGCGTGCTCGGCGTGGTCGTTTAGTAGGTAGGTGTATGTTAGAGCGAAGCGAAAAGGCCCTCGACGCTAGTGAGCCAAAGGAACATCATCAAGAGCAGGTTGTGGATGCAACTAGCACGAATTATGGCAGATAACAAGTGTATGTAGCTTGTTTACCAGTAGTCCATCACTTCTTCCTTTGAGTCCAGGATGTATGCGAGTACATATGCATGCAAGCCAGAAAGGACTTGGTACCCAGCCTGACTGAAGACTATCTACTGCGCCTAGGAGTATACCCCTTGATGCCAACTCGATACTCTAAAATCATAAGAAGTAGGTCAAATCAGAATGGATGGTCTCAGATCGTCCTTTGTTACCCATCTCAACGATTTACAATCAACCTTCACGAATCAGCTCGAATTATCAAATATCCGGTTCAGTATTTTACAAACAAAGCAAAATGATAGTTCCTACATTCGGGGGGAAAGATAAAGACAATAGGCGCTGACATCTATTGTATCTGATACCTTGGACAACCACGCCTCTCATCTAAACTAACATATTTAGATGTATTGTATATACATATACGAAAAATCTACTATACATTAAGTACCTTGATGTTTGACAAAGGATGAAGATTGAAATCAAAATTCAATCGAGGTTATAGGAGAGCCTGAATGGAATAGAAGCGACCTTCTTCTCTGAGCGATGTTTGCTAGATTTGGAAGGTGGTGTATATTTATATTGTTTAATCATTAGCAATGGCGATGGCTCGGGAGTGGTCAAATCAATGCTCCTGGAAGTGACTTGCTTTGATGATAATGAGCTACAAGTTGCAGCTTTGCTCAGGTTATGTTTACGTGAGCTCCGGGTAGATCTTGACGGGGTGACAGGCTCCGCTGTTTTTAATCTTTTTGAGGGTGAATCTCTTGCATTTCTTGTGGGAGGCGTTATTTTTGGGGTAGGTAAAGAATCTGTAGATCTCTCGGGTGAAACTGTTCTCGAACTTCTCAAGCTCATGGAATCCAAATCATCAGATGCTGTGGAAACATCTTCTCCGGCGGGTGAAGGTATGGATGGCGCATTGCGACAGCTTGGCAAGTTGTGATCTACAGGCTTGGAAAGTCGACTTCTTTCTGCCCGCTGAAGCTCCGCTATTGCTCGTGATCGCGCAGAAGGTACAGCATGGCCGTGCAGCCTGCCACTCTTAACTGACATAGAGCAGTGGTCCACCACTCTATCTCGTGGTGGAGGCACTTTGGCATATTTTGTCGAACTCAAAGGCAGGCTAGGTTTCGTGGACGTTAGATCCACTTTTGTGCTTCGTTGTTTAGCTGAAGGCGAGTGCATGTTGCTGGCGAAATCTTTCTGCACGCTATGAGTTGGCGTTGGCTTCCTCAAATGAAGGGTAGATGACTTCGATTTGTTGATTTGATCGTCAGTTCGAGGGTGACCGTATGATCTTTTGGCTTTTGGTTGCAAATCATTGGAATTGAAGATGCATTCATTATCACCATATCCGTCATCGTAATCGTCCAGCAATCTCTTCCGCTTCCCTTCAGATTTGCTTTTCCAAGATGGGAAAACCTCAGGTATGGTGTAGTCTACCGTCTTCCCTGGCCTATTTGTCTTGGACTTTGAGTACTTCGTTATTTGAGATTGCCCATTTTGTGCAGTATGCTTGGCCCGGAGTTGCTTTTTCCCATCCACCTTCACCCACTCTGCTTCCACGAAAGTTTTTGCAGCAATTATCTCGAATTCGATGCCCGTCGAATCCCTCAATATAGTAGCAAAGTTTCTGCACCCTTCACAGGGGTCTTTATCGATGTAAATTTGTGCTTGGAGCGGTGGTCTCAGTTTCCAAAGTTCTTCTAATCTATACATCGCTATATCGCCGGTCTCCGGGTCGTAGATCAAGTCCAGTACAAGCATCAGTATGAGCTTCTTCTCGACGTGACAAGCTGCGTATCTTCCGATTTCAGTCTTGTCCCAGCAATTCCTTCGAAGTTTGAAGCCTAAGTAATTGCAGAATTGTAATACTTGCTGTTAAATCGGTAGATTAGCATCACCTTGTGTGAAACAAAGAAGGGTATTGCTTGTGGTCTAGTTCTTTACAACTAGAACACGAATGATTGTCCTAACAAAGCTGGGGAAACTTACGGCTGAGCAAAATTCGTTGTCCCTTAACGAATCGTCATGCTCTCTCCTTCCCCAACCGCTTGCTGCTTTGAATTTTACCTCTTCACCTTTGAGACGGATGATTCCAAAGGTTTTGCCTGTACCGTTGCTGCTATAAGTTGCAATCGGCTCTGTGAATACAACTCTATTTCCTTTTCTCTTAATGTATACTTCATCACTATTAACACGTCCCGCTGGAGAAAAGGATGTGACTGAGTTTTCTTCAAAGTATTTTGCCATAGATTTGCACGTTCTTTTCAAAGCCGAAATATGTTGCAATGATGGAGGTCTCTCAGGAATATTATATGTCAAGCCATCTGCTAGTTTTGGCATCAACGTGCTCTGTCTCAACGTATGTCCATTTTGTCCTGAAGTTTGGTTCGGTATCGCCGAATACTCGATCAAGTGCCTGGTGCTTGAACTTGTGCTAGCAGTCGTTTTGGCAGTACTCTGCACGACTTCAATGATAGGTTTTGGCAAACCATAAGAGTCAAAAATTCCATTTCCTTTGTGATTGCGAGGCATATCTATTGTTCATGCAATATGGAAGGGTTTAAAAAGATAGAAGGTTGGATATTGAGAAGTAAGGAAAGCTGAAAGTTCACAATTTGTGCGAGGCTTGAGGGAAAAAAGTAAAGTTGTGGCAAAGATAATCGATCTTGATTTTGAATGTAATAGGTCACATTGAAGCTCTCCGCCGACACCCGAGGCAGTGAGCCTGGAGGTGCAATTTCCCGCAATAATATCAGAACTCGGAAATTTTATGCTTGTTTGACTCCTCTGAGAGAGTGAGGCTGCCTTACTTGAGACAAATTCATAATCAACTTTACTCGCCAAAAGTAATTTGGGTCAATACGGTTGTACCTCAACACGTGGCAGTTAAAGTAGATGCTTCAATATCAAGTCTTTCATTGTCCTATGGAATTTTGCACATTGGGATCATAGTAGGTTGATTGGACTAAAGTGGGAGATTTATTTTGGATATCTGCCGTCAATATCTAAAGGACGCAATCACAAGAGTTACAATAAGTGCACGACACCAGGTTTGTAGCTCTACAACCATATGGTAATATGGTGTTCGTATACCAAGATAGTGTTTCGCTGTATTCAATATTTCCACCATATCATATTTTGTTCCTTGCATTAAGTGCCTGTTTGAGCTCCAAATAATGAAATATTTGAGACCTTTCGAAAAGAAAATCAAGGGATTTTTATTGATTTCTTGCGTATGTGTCTCATTCCAAATGACAGCTCAGGATGAGCTCAATACTATATACATAAACCCTTTGTGGAGTTCTTTCATGAGCTGTCCGCGCCTTTCGTTGTCTGTCATTTCCTGATTTCTAAACGTTGAACTTTGACATCATGTTCGTTTCTCAGGGATTTGTTCTTGTCGCGCTTTCTATCTTTGAATCTTCCACTGCTTACGAATTTGGCAAAAGACAAGCGACGCTATCTTTATGTCCCACTCAGGAGACTATTACTGTAACTGCCTCAGAATGTCCTATTTTCTCTTCTTCTGCACCCCTCAGTAGTGGTGTATACTCGACTCCCGCCTTCACATCTGCCTCTATTAGCTCTGAGGTTCTAGGCAGTACATCAACATTCAGCAGCGTAGCTGCTACTTACACATCTCCCAGTCCTGTCTCTTCAATTGAATCTTCCACGCTCGTTTCATCGTTCTTGGGGACCTTTTCTTCTACAGAAAGCTTGGTGTTTTCGTCATTCTCTTCTGAACCTTCGCTTGTATCAACCAGTCTCGTTAATCCTGTGACGACATTGGAGTCTTCTTCGATAATCACGGAAGGATCAACTTCAATTCCAACCTATACTTCGAGCAGTGCTGTTATTTCAGAACCTTCTTCTTCATTAATCCAGACCTCGGTAGAATCTTCCGCGGTAGTCTCAGAAGTCTCTACAGAATCGTCCTCAGCCTATGTCACGCCTACAGTATCAAACAGTATATCTGTATCATCTGTGCTAGTTTCCTCCGAATCGACAAGCCTTCCAGAGTCATCGACGTCAATTTTGGAACCAAGCAGTGTTATCCAGAGTGAAAGTTCTACATTTACTTCCCTCACATCCGCTGAACCTAGTACTTCAATTGAATTTTCCTCAATTTCGAGCTTAATTCCCAGTACCGCAGCTTCCACCACTTACACTTCGCTTCCATCTTCCTCATTCATAACTTCAGCACTTCCTTCCTCTGCAGCCACGTCGACAAGCATATACACAGTGACCTCTTCCGCACCTCTACCCTCAATTTCATCCATCACAATAACCACAACCGTTATCAGTACAGTTGGAGGGCAAACCACGACCGTTTTGTCAACATTTACACAAGCCACTACTGTTGCAACGACCGTCATAACCACTGTTCAAGTACCAACTACCGTGGTTAGCCTCGGTACCACGACTGTGATACAATTTACCACTGTGTCACCTCCAGCCTGCACTATCCATCCTAAATTGATCAATGGTGGCTTCGAAGATGGAAATGGTATCGAGCCTTTTGAAGCAGTGGCTACGGGACCGAACGCGCCTAGTTATACCACCGCAGCCGTTCCTCATAGCGGATACACCAGTTTGTGAGTTCCTCCTCGTCCCTCAAAAAGATAGATACATGTACTAATCCTTGAACTTCCTTTTCCAGAGAGTTACTTTTCTTCCCATCATCCTCAGCTACCTCATACATAACTCTCACCCAAACTGTATCCGCTTGTCCCTCGTCCAACTACCTCCTTACCGGTTACGTGAAAGCAAGTAATAACCTCAGCATCAATCCATCATCAAATTGTTACATCTATCGTAAGTCCTCATTAACATCCCGTTCCCTCACTTTCCCCCGAACAAATCTCTAACCCTCTCTTTAGTCCAAACCCCCACACAGTCCTCCCTCACCACACTCATCAACTCCTCCACTTACCCTGGTTGGAGCATGGTCTATCTCTTCTTCACTGCTCCCGGAAGCGTCGGAGATGGAGTGCAGAGTGTTCCTTTGACCGTGCATTCTTACTGTGATAGCGGGGCTACCGATTCACCGGGATTGTACGTCGATGATCTTGTTGTTAGCGGGTAATGGTTTGAAGACAGTGAGAGGGATGTGAGATGAGCAATGGTGGTTGGTTTGAGATGGAGGAAGGAGAATGAGAAGTGGGAGACATAAATTGGAAAAGCCTTTTCATTTAGTTTGTTGTTTAATTACTGTATTGGTGCGTGGTTTAAAGGTTGTATGAGTGTAAGAGGGAGCGTGTAATGTTAGTGACAGGTTTTGGGATTAGTGATTAGCTGTTGTATGCATTAATAGATAGATGAATTTGAAGATTGGTCTTTCTTTGGGAGAAGTAGCATTTTCTTTTTGTCGGACAAAACATTCACTAGGTGACGAGACAATGTGTAAAATTTGTATGCCATAATTGTGATTAGGTCTTTATAGTATCTATTCTGTGCCTACATCTTCAGTTTGTGTAAACCCCCGCCACGCTTGACAATTCTCATAAGGAGAAACCCGATTCGTTGATGTGAAAAGCAAACAGAAACTTTGAAGTGAAAAGTAATAAGCTTCCGCAACAGTAAACCATAAAGTATCGCTCAACCGTTCAACTGCTCACTCTCTGCCTTATCATAAATCAACAGTTTTCTACCGTCTCCCGCGGCCCAGACAAACTGGTAACAACTAACTCCCCATCCCCGATTGATTTCTCGCCGGCCCATTTCAGGTACCATCTCAATATATGATATCTTTGGAGAAATGTCCAGTAATCTATTTATAACTTCCGCGCCTTTACGTAGGTTTTCAGGGCTTTCTACGCAGTGTCTGATTCCACAACGTCTTGGGGGGGTTTTGGTTTCGAAAGTTTTGATACTGAACGTTGTGAGCTGAGATAGAGGGGCAGGGATCAAAGAATGAGGGTTGGTGCTTAGAGTGTTCTGCTTGGGCTCGACAGCGAGAGAGCTCTTGAGGGAGCGGAGGATAATCGGAAGGACCGTGGTAGAAGGGAGGGTGTCGGCTTGATCGAATGGGTTTTCGGAACCCCGACGTTTATGGCCCAGAATGTAACAGAGGGAGGCGAGGTTTGCAGCGTGTTTCATATTCTGTGAGGAAAATTAGTTGGCTGGTTGGAGAGGAAATGGGATGGGAGATAGACATACGCAGCTGAGAACGGAGAACGTAGGAGCAGAGCGTTTTTTCCATCGCTCAGCACCGATATACTGTGTTTGAAGGTAATCAATGCTGTGAATGTTACATTGTTATTAGATTTGAAGGGATGTGAATTCAAAAGGCACAATATGACATGTCGAAGTAGAAAGGTGGATTGAGGACAATCTAGATATCGAATGTCTCTCGGTCTGACGTTTCCAAGATAGGCCCTCGACTTTAAGAGAGGAATGAGAAGGGAAGAGAACTAACCTTAAGATGATGTAAATACTGCGAACATTATCCAACATTATTGGAGATAATTCAGAGAGACAAGGATAATGGTAAACCCAACCACGTAGAGGCAGATCATGATTACTAGTGCCGATGTTGGGATGAAGACCAAGCTCTTTTTCTTGCAAGTAAACCCACGCCATATACTCAAAACTGCTCTTCGAGCTATCGGTCACCCACTCCGTGATCTCCTCAGGAGGATCGGCAACTTGAACTTCGGGAGGGAAACTATAGACGTGGCTCCATGTAACGCTAGGACGAAGTTCAAGTGTACATTGCTTAATCCTTAAAGCAAAGAACTCTCGATAGAGCTTCTGATCAGGGATCAAAGCGATTTCAAAGGCAGGAAGATCTTTGAGAGGTAATCCTGCATTTCCTGATATATTGATCTTTTTACAGGGTCCCATGATCCAGTTTTGATAGACCAACAGTGAACGTTCAGGGAACTCTTCAAAGTAATCCTCGAGAATAAGACGGAAGACCTGCTCCCTGACTTCGGGTGGAACAATATTGAGGTTGCATGTCTTCTTGATATTCTTTCGCTTCTCACCAACTAATTTGGTTCTGAGCTCTGTGTGGACGCGAAGTGTGTCTTCAGTTGGTGGCATTAATTTCGACCTTGACTTGTAAGAGGCGATAATATCAACAAAGAAGTTTGGCGGCGCAATTTTTGACTATAAGATGAGTTATAGACATTGATCATTTGCAATCTGGTGTTTGCAAAACTTACAAGATGTATAAAATCTTCCTGTCCCCAAGGTTCAAACTTCTTACAAACATCAAGATATCGTTGTTAAGCTCCCTCCTGAAGTCTTCCTGTCACTTCGTCGCGCGACTGAACGTCCAATCCATCAATAAGCTTCTGAAATGACTCCACGTCAACCCGAAACAAACCTTGTTGATCCATTATGTCAAATCTCGAAGTTGTCGGTCCGAAGAGTTGTCGATCTGCAGAGTTTGATTTTATGTAAAGGAACAGAGGGAGAGAGGAAGTCAAGGTTTCGGGCCTGGGCTACTTGAGATTACTAGGTTGGTGTGGTATCCGAAGTTTTTGGGTGACAATTCTGAGAGTGAATCTCGCTTCAGCTCCGCTCAAGATGAATTCACTCGCTCTTCAACCCTGGGTTGAGAAATAGTATGTAGCTGGTGACATCCTCTATCTTCTTCAACTATTGACTGTGAGTTTTTCAAGTCGTGACGAGGATAGTTCCAAGTAACTTGACCACACCGATACCTCATGAACGCGACCAGATTGCATTTTAAAAGATGTCCTGACATCAAGATAATTTTCCAATTCAGATCTGGCAATTTAATAGCCCTTCTTTTTGATGTGATTTGAAGTACTTGGTCTCGACGGGTATGTCACTCATGCTTCCCCCAGCAGGCAAAGAGATGATTTTCTATCACAACGCATTCAACATGTTCAGAGACGTGTTACATATCATATTTCAAAAATATCAAGAATTAGATGTAGACAGCTATTTTTCATGGAGGCATGTAACTTTACTGCACCCAGAATGTAAATGGTAAACCATGATAGAATCAAAGAACTGTTACCAAAGTACTATGTACGTACGTGTCCCGGTATTGCAATATCTTTTCTACCATCATGTTCGAGATCGTTATAATATGTACCTACCCAGGCAGTATAAAGTGTGAAGTGTGAAATATGACGTGGCGGATCTTGAGGCTCTCCAGCTCTCGCTCTCTCCCCGCTCTGTTTGGAAGATGATCCGTGATTATTCATACTGTAACCCCCGCCCCGCCGCTTGCTCGCTGTCAACCTGTCACATTGCGAGTTTGCATTAACACCCGTTCTTGCAATCCAAAGTTGTTTCCATGGAGAACAACTTCAACAACTTCAACAATGACCAAATATGAAGAAGACTATACTTCTTTGCTTTATTCACGGGTAAGAAAGATATGCAGACACTCTTTTTGATATTGCACAGACTAATTCTCGAGCCAGCTTTAAAGGAGGAGATGATACTTTTGGATCCTTTCCTGAACATCTTCGGGCTCTCGTAAGCCATGGCCTCCCAAAAGTTAAGGTTCGCGCGATCACATATCCGCAATACGAAACTCGAGGAGATCTGGGAGAATGTGTGAGCAGGTTCAGAGATTGGTATTGTTACCCCTTGAATTAATATTGAAACCTAAAGCTAATCGATTTTGCACAGGCTTCAAGAAAAGGTAATCGATATCGAAGTACAAAATGGAACACCTTCTCCAACCGTCGACCCTTCTGTCCGCACGATACTTATTGGTCATTCTATGGGAGGAATCGTCGCTGCTGATACGGCACTGGCAATCACATCCGATAAGGTGATAGATTCGAAAGAAACTACAGATGCAATAAATGCTTTCATGTTCCCATATATTCAGGGCGTTCTTGCATTCGATACTCCTTACTTGGGCATATCACCAGGTGTAGTTGCGCACGGTGCTGAAGGTCATTACAATGCAGCTACGTCGGCTTTCGCGCAAGTGAGTAGTCTGGCGGGTGCACTATGGGGCGAGAGGGAGGTAGACAAAACTGTAGAGGAAAAGAAACCAGTTGCGGCATTACCAGCACCACCACCTGCAGAAGCACCTGCCTGGAAAAAATGGGGAACGTTAGCAATGTATGCTGGAGCAGCAGGCGCTATTGCTGCTGGAGGTGCAGCTGCGTACTTCAAAAAGGATCAAATTCAGGAAGGCTGGTCGTGGGTAGGATCACATCTTGAGTTCGTGGGATGCCTAATGAAGGGTGAAGAATTGAAGAAGAGGGTAGCTGGGATGGTTACTTTACGAAAGGAGTTAGAGGTCGGCTGGGCAAATTTGTATACAAGGTTGGGCAAAGAGGCAGTGAGTAAAGCTGACGGAAGCTTGGTGGGAAGTGTGATTGGAAATCAGAGAACATTCTGCAACCTGCCAAAAACCAGCGCCAAGGATTTCTTTCGAGAGGCCATCAACGACAAGGCCGCCGATGAGGCAAGTGCGCATATGAGTAAGTTTCCACGAATGCTTGAAGTTTTGGGGGCTAATAATTTCCCAGCTATGTTCTTTCCGAAAGACAATCCAGGATATTATGCTTTATCTGAGGATGCAAAGAAACTGATAGTGGAGTGGTCGACTAATGAGTGGTACGAATCAAGCACAAGAGAACGCTCTACGAGCACACGAGAACGCTCTACACCCACAAGAGAGAGTTCTAGAAGCACACGAGAACGTTCTACAAGTACAAAGGGACGCCCTACACCCATAAGAGAACGTTCTATAAGCATAAGAGAACACTCTACAAGTACAAGAGAACGCCCTACACCCACAAGAGAACGCTCCTCAATTACAAGAGAGCCTTCCACAAATACAAGAGAACGCCCTACAGTCACAAGAGAACGTTCTACTAAGGTCGAGCACGAATTACGATAATAGCAATATGTTTGGAGTTTGATTTTGAACGAAACCGAGAGAGCCGGCGTTGTTGGATGGAGGGTACATGGACGGCAAATAGACAGAGCAATATAGAAAGACTGCACTACCTTTCCAGAATGAATCAAAGCTCATGCAATATATTTTCCCTATATATCATGACTCGACTATGCTGTGCACTGTCACTAGATTACATCATTATCCCACCCATTGCGGGGTTGAAGGGTGTTCACATCCGTGATAGTCGGAAAAATGGCGATCTGGCGGCACATTGATGAAGCTTTTGAGGTCAAAAACATTGGAATGAGCCGCTAGGCTTATTTTGTGCATATTCTGTGAACACATCCTGTGTTTATTCGGATATTTTCCTTGGCTTGTCATGATTAATGCGTCAAAATTCCCACGGTCTATAATGTGATCCCAGCATATACAACGAGTACTACCTAGTAATTCCAGTCTAAGGTTTCAAATGTCATTCTTGCTTTCAATTTTGCAAGCGGAATTGTCTCCTTCATGGAATTTCATTATTGCACGTAGGTGAGCAAAATCCGTCTTGACAGTAAGCTCTGAGCCCAAATTTACAAGTTGAAGTCCGCCAAGTGATTTTTAATTAATTCTTTTGATTTCGATTATTCCGGAATATAATCCTATTTACAGCGCATTTCGCGTTTGTTCATTCGTTATTCATATCATATCCCATCCATAATTTACAACAAGAAAGCAGCGAAACTTGCAACACCGACACTTCCAACCCACATTAAGGTTCCCATAGCACCGTAGGTCATTGGTGCGACAGTCAAAGCTCCAGCCGCGCTGGAACTGGTGGCAGCAGCTGTGCCGGAGGTTCCACTTCCGGAGGCGGTTGCAGTCGCGGAAGCTGGGAGGCTGGAAAGAGCTGCATCAGCAGCGTAGCTTGCCGATACACCGGTTGCGTTCTTGCATGCAGTAGGAGTAGCAGTTGCCGGTCCGGCAAGGAAAGTTACGGGGGCGCATTGGTAGAGGAGTCCTGGGGAAAGGAATACAGTTAGTATATGGAAGATATTAGAGATTTGGGGATTGGCTAGGAGTACGCATACCATCGGGACCATCAGCAACAACATTCACGACACCCATGCTTCCAGCAAATGTGGATGGAACAGTGACGGTTGGTTCGCAGAAATCACCGAGACCAGTTTGTTGGACAGATGGGATGAGGTTTGTCCAATTGGCTGCAGCAGTATCATTTCCAAGCATGGCTCTGAACAACCATGTTGTCGTTGGGTGGGTCGAGGTCCTATTTTCAAGTATGTTAAAATTGTTTTTGGTACAGATGCAAGGTGCGCAATTGTTCGAGAGCGACTAACATTGCGATTGAGTCTCCATCTACGTGGAAGCCGGTAATATTATGATCAAAACCAACGTTAAAGCCACCACAAGGAGCGGTTCCTTCTGCATCATCGTCGAAACCATCTGGGGAGGTGTTAGCTTTCTCTTTCTTTCCCTTTCTCTGGTGAAGTCAAGGCTCGAACTTGGGGAGCTTACAGGACATAGGGGAGTTCAAGAGAAAATGCGCAGAGCATTGGGAGACAACGGTAGCAAGACCGAGAAGAGCTGTGAGACGTGCCATTGTGTGAAAGTTTTCTTTGTTGATATTGGAGGACTTGAGATTATTCAAAGGAAGTAGGCAAAAGTAGAAGTAAGAGATGAAATTCTTTGAGGCTTAAAAAAAGATACAAACTGAAAGCTTAAATTATTCACAATTGATCAAATTCCTGGGGATGAGCACGTTATTTAATCTTCTCTTGAGTACCCTGCTGGATATGCCAATAAAAAGTGCTCACATTCCGTATCGAGCGATTACTTCGTATGTTTGTAAGAGGACCATGCATGCTTGGACTATGCTAAAGGAATATCTTGCTCATCTTTTAATTTTATTTTGAATGGACCCCTTGCCAAGAAGAGGTAGGTAGGTAAGAAACATCCATACCTAGGTAAGTATCCATATGTACGGTATGTGGCTAAAAGATATTTAGTAGGTAGGTATCTAATATCTATCTATCTACCCGTGACTGTGCCACCATTCGAATTCCGGATAGGATGATTTCTCCGGGTAGTTACTTCCTAATTCTTCTCATGTTTCGGATGGTTTCTGAATCCTGATGTTCCTGTACGTGTTCGGACCAGTAGGGATCATGTGCATCAGACATCAGAGAGTCAGAGACACTCACTCGAGACTCACTAGATGAATACTAGGTAGATTATTCCAGACATACTATTTCGTAGGTAGTTACATACTACATAGTCTCGAGATAGTATAGTATATCGTATCTTGCTCATTGTCTATGCTCACTCAAGCTATGCTGCTCAAGAATGAACCAACCATCAATTACTTCAGTAGTATATAACCTTACCCATTTCCTAACCCTTATCGTAAACGCACGATATTTATGCCCCTCTTTCCCATCCTCACTCTTCCTCCCTTTCACGATGCCGTTTCCCCATAAAATTACAACTCACAACCTCGAAAAGGTTTCAATGCCCCAATATCCTATTCCATGTGCAAATCTCATTGGTTGAGCAAGTTTTCTGGTTCCTTCCTCATACACTCCATCGATACAATCCAAAGTGGTCCGTCCCTTCTTCAATGAGCAAGATATGGTAAACGAGCGCAATTGAGCACATTTCACGCCACTTGGCAAGGATCATAGCCGAGTTTAGTCGCTTGGCATACACATGTTTTGGTCCTCTGTTGATAATTAGTAAATGCTTGAACTTATTGGATTCGGATTTTGGTTCTTGATTTTGAATGACGGTGAAAGATTGACTGGATTTTCTCTTTTATTAATATATTTAATTACGATTCTATCTTGAGGAATTGGGGTTGATTGCGATTCATTGATACCGGAAGTGAGGGAAGGAAAGTTTAGTGACTTTGGTGCACAGTTGCATTATAATTCAACAAACGAGGCTCCTTATCGATCAAAGAAAGAGCAGAAATACAACATCCAGGATTGATCAATTGCGAAAAAGGTTGTCGGGAACATCGAATCTTATTGAAGTGATCCGGGCTTTCAGATTCGATTACGATAAGTGGGGAAATCATTCATCAACATATTCTCGTCTTGCCTTATCATTTGGAAAGAGAAGAGGCCGACTTTCTTCAAGGAGACTATTTCCGCTGGTTCGGAGGCCAGGAAGGCTGCGACGTGGAAGAAGGAGAGGAAGATAAGACGATCACGACTTACGAATTTTCTGGTGGAGGCCGATACATCTAGGACAAGATGGACGCACTTATGAGTGGGATGAGTGGTGGGATGGATATGGGTTCGAACATGATGTTCAGACCTTATAATCAGAAGTTGGCGTTGGGATATTGGTATATTATTGCCGGGTTCGTCGGTGCGGTGTTGCTGTGTAGGGGGTTTGAGAGGTGGAGAGATTGGGTTAGGTTAGTGTATTTTCATCATCTTCTTTGGAGTTGTGGAATAAGTTCGTTATTGGTGAATTGAGAAAATGATTGCGGTTGTCTTTTGCTTGAAGACTCGACCTAGAAGATCGATCAATCATCTTCTTCCGTTGTGATGGGAGGGATGTGGGCATTCAGAGGAATATAGAGTACCCACATCCCAACAACCTCGCGCCGAAGGGAATCATGAAAGTGCTTTGGAAACGGTTCCAGGGCATGAACAAGAGCAAGAACAGTGACCAGGAAAGACCATAAATCGCTAACATGTATCAACAGACTTCGGAGAAGCAAAATAGTCTCTCTAAAATATCCCACTAAACCTAGCAATCGAATCCAAGAGATATACGCAACAGCCACAGCCATTTTCCGAGAATCATCATATCCTCAAATTCACATTTCAACTCCTTATCTCTCATGGTTATCTCCTCCCTCGTCAGGCCGCACTATTCTTCTTCTTTGCTACTGGGCAATTTTGATCTTCATGATGACATACGATGTCACAATAAAAGATGCCTACTACTATGAACGTATTGGATTTCGGGGCGCTTGGATCTCAGTTACACAAGTTCCGCTCATCTATCTACTTTCTTCCAAGTCGAACATTATTGGAGCCTTGATTGGAAGTTCACATGAAAGATTGAATTGGTTTCATCGTTGGGTTTCGAGGACCTTACTCCTCACTGTCACGGTTCATGGTGCCTTCTTCTTTCGGGAATGGGTCCGAGCTGACTTTGTTTCCTTTGAGCTTAAACTTATGCCAATGGTAAAATATGGAATGGGCGCATGGGGCATATTGCTTTGGACTTTCTTAAGCTCCTTAAGTCCTTTGAGAAGGATGGCTTATGAAGTCTTCGTGTTGCAGCATATTGCTTGCGCGGCTGTATTCTTGTGGCTGCTGTACATTCACGTGCCTGAGTATGCTAGGTATAACGTATGGTTTGCTGTGGCGGCCATGTCATTTGACTGGGCTTTGAGAGGTATCCTGCTTGTTGTCAGGAACTTCAGAGTGAAGGTTGTCGGAGCAGCCTGCAGAGGAATGCAAAGGGTTGGCCATCAAGCGGCGTTACAGGCTTTGAGTGATGATATAACCATAATCAGCATCAAGGACGCACCATTCACATGGAAAGCAGGTCAACATGTGTATCTATGGCTTCCAAGGCTCGGTCCACTTGAGACTCATCCTTTTACTATCGCGAGTCCGTATCAGACGTCGAATAAGTGTCATTGTAATGAGATCCAACTGGCAATCCGGGCTCAAAAAGGATTTTCGAGAAGAATACACAATTACGCATCGAAAATGCAGAGTGTCGATAAGACTGCTATTTTGACCGCATTTGTTTCTGGTCCTTACGGTGTACCTCCAGTATGTGCATTATTCTCTCCCTCAAAAATCCAATGATTCCATACTAACTTTACTTGCAGAACTGGAGCTCTTATGAGACCATTCTTCTGATCTCCGCTTCCACTGGCGCATCTTACACCCTCCCCATCCTCGAATCTATCCTCCATAATCCCACACCAACATGTGTGCAGCGAATTCAGTTCCTTCTTGTGGTCCGCGAACGTAGCCATATCGACTTTTATACGAAACGGTTAGGAAGCGCGCTTGCTCTTGCGGATAAGAAGGGTATTCAATTGATTGTGAAAATCGCCGTCACTGGCAACGATGGAGCATCAATGACTAGCTCAAAAGCCGAAGAAGGCAGAGCAGGATATCAACCGAGTGAGGAGGATAAAGAAGAAGATTCAAAGATAAAATCTATTGCATCTAGCTCATCATCAGAGGCAGGAGGATGCTGCTGTAATCCGCGATCTAGTGGGACAGCAAACGACGACGAACTCTCTATACGAAGTTCCAAACGTCAATCATATAACGATGAAAAGAATTCGGATAAAATGGAATCCCTCGTCACCACCCAGCAAATATCTCGCGTCTCTGGAGATTCTCCTCAACCTGGTAGTGGTTGTTGCTGTGCCAAAAAACCAGAGGCGAAATCAAGCGAGAAATCAAGGAGGGGAGTGAGAGATATAAAATATTTGAACGGAAGACCAGATATTAGTCAATTTATTAGAGGGCCAATAGAAATCACGGGAGGAGAAACTGCCATAACAGTCTGTGGAGGAAAGAGTTTGGTGGCTAAGGTTAGAAATTCAACTGCCAAGTTGAGTGATGAGAGAGCAGTGCATAAAGGAACGGGAGCGAATGGAATCTTCTTGCATGTAGAAGAGTATTGTTTTTGAGCGAATTTAGATATCCAACACCTGTATATTGACATTTTTACCATTCTTGATCGAAGCCTTTCAGCCTTCACTTTCTCCTGTTGGGCGACGCATCTCGACTCGAGGGTTTCTTGTCTTTGTGGTATCAATCCGTCATAATACCCCTGGTAGATGTTTCTGCCTCTTAACATCCACTCAAAGCTAAAATTTCACTGCCACGCCTGCGAATTATCGTATCTCGTTATCACGTGATTGACATTTCATGCTCATTTTTTCCTATCGAGTCTAGAGCATGTCGTACCCGAAGGTCCACTATGTCAGCATGCTGTTGGTGTTGCTTCTATCCATTTATTACAGGATACAGATGCCAAGCATATTGCCATGTAATATACGACTCATAATGTCCAGGGGGTAAGCTGAGGAACCATTTGACGTAAGATCTTACAATGAGTCCAAATGAGTGTGGTGATGGGCCAATATCCCTGGCTGTGCATCACAAAATGATTTGTTCATGCAAGGTAACATTCCTTCTTTCCTTCGGTGAGAACATAAAACCCGGTGCCGATTTACCAGTATCCTACGAACAACATGGGACGGCTTACTTGGCGCTAATCTCACTTGATTTACAAATACGAAATGTGTAAGACTTACAACGTCTTTCACTATCATCTGTAAGTAAATTATATTGCGCGACTGTTTGTCAGCTTCTTAGAGATATCATACCACAAGAACTACATGATACGAAAACACGCCAAAATGTCAAGCACACCCAGCGATCATTTCCCGCCGTCTAGAAATCATCTCTGGGGCCCAGAACGAAGACGTCTTTCTGCTCATCTCATTCAGATGGCTATGGATGCACTGCCAGGCTCTCGTTCTTCGGAACACTTACCAAGTAAACCATACAAGACGATCAAGAGACCGTATGAGCAACATAAGTATACGGGAAAAGCGAGTAAATCTTACGTGCCTCCAGCGCCTGTGAGTGAGAGAACGAAGAGAAAGGAGAGACCACTGACGCCAAGTGAGGGTTATGGATTGGGCGTTTTTGGGATGGGATTTGAGGTTGATGGGAATGAGGCGGAACATATGGATAGGAAATTCTTTGGTCAAGGGGGGAGTACATTTTTTGGTTTGTTGCCGTCGGAGGTGAGGATGGAGATTTACAAGTGGGTGCTTGGAGGGAGGGTACTGCATATCGTAAGAAGGAAGGATAAGTTGAGTCATGTTGTTTGTAAAAGTGATAGAAGAGACTTGGATGCAGGGACGAGGGAGGAGGATGCGTGTATCGTTGCGGGGTGTAGGGGCGTGAAGATACCTGGCGGGAGTGGGGTGCATGAGATAATTGGGAAGGGGAGCGGAAGTTTGATTCCGTTGCTACAGGTTTGTAGACGAATGTATGTTTGTATCTCATATTTATCTCGCATTTACCTTCTGTCTCTCCGTTTCATCTCTTCTCTTACTTCGATCAAACATCTGAGTTTCATTGAAAGATTGAAGCAAAACCTGAAGCTAACAAACACAGCTACTCTGAGGCAATCTCTCTTCTCTACTCAACCAACACCTTCAACTTCGACAGCATGGAATCCTTCATCTCTTTCAGTAACGAGATTCTTCCCCGTCGCTTTGATTCCATAACCTCCGTAACCCTCGATTTCTCCTTTGATACATCATCTCGTAAGTAGAATCAATTCTTTGATTTGCTCCCCCTTCTGCCCTTACATCTATTCATTCCCAACAGCTCGCTGACCTTCCCACCTATACAGTATATAACGAATCCTCCTCTAACGATGTGCCCCGTTGGGAACGTACATGGATGATAATCGGATCCATGAAGTCGCTTAAAAGTCTCAAAGCAACAATCATCTGGCCTAGAAAAATACCAGCTTGGAGTCACGAACTGAGACTATTGGAACCTTTGAATATGGTAGGGATACTAGGTAAATATGCCAAGGATAGTAAGGCGAAGAGTAAAGATGGTGAGCGTAGGCCTGAAAACAAAGATGGGTTTGAGGTGAGACTGAGGGAGTTGACAGAGGAGGCAAAGGGGAGAGGGAAGGCGAGGGCTTATGAGGTGGGAAAGGGATTTGCGGTTGGGTGAGTTTTCCATTCTCATTAGTACATGGTTACTGACTGCGATGGTGTAGTAACGCGAAGATTGTACCGGCAGCGGGATTTGATGAGATCACTGAAGAGGACTTACCGTTCAAGGTTGTTAGGATGAAGTTGTAAGAGCCGAGTATTCAATGCAGACAGTATATTCTTAAAACATTTGCTATGGGGTGAAGGTGACGCAGGAACAAAAGGCACGGAGTTGTAGATCAAAGTGAATGAAGTTTTTGCAGTTATGGTTCTAGTCTCTACATTTCTAGAGAGCTTGACGATGACCATAATGGTTGAGACCATGGTCAACTCGGAGACTTGAGGTCGAGTCAAAAGTCATTACATGTTCACCCTTTCTGAATCTAGGTATCTCCTTGAATATTTGGGATGATAGAGAGTACAGGATATCAATAAGACTATGATGGGCGCAGCAGTGGAGTTCAACGAATGCAATTTCATAATTGTCCACGGGTATCAAAGACTTCCGTCTCCCAAAATTCACTTCTATTCACCTCGACCTTGAGCTTCAACTGGCCAATTAAAAAATTCAGATGGAGGGCACAGTGAATTTGAAATGATGCCACGGAGACAGAGTTTTCACGGCAATTTCCACGCGTAGATATTCCCCATATGACACTCCCACCAACAAATCTCCCACAACAACCTTTTCCCTAAAACCTTACAACGCACACAAATTCAAGATCGATTGATTAAATTCTTTTGTATTTCTTTCTATTTCCTTTGGGAAGTGGATTTCTTCCTTCTTCTTTCAACCAAAGTACATCATTTCCCCATTGCATTCTCACTGGCTTTGCGTTTTTCAATTGCTGAGGCGCTCTTTCCAGACAACGAGTACCTTGGAAGCGCACACACTTTTCAGTGGCTTCTGTTATTATTTCAATTCAAGTTCTCCCGACTGTTCTTTCCTCTTTCTTTTTCAAGATGGACGAATCCAGAAAAGTCAAACCCACAGCGAAAAAGATCGACCACCTCATGGGGGAGATGAAACTTCTCACTCAAGAAATGCTTGGGCGCGATGCATATACCAGACGCAATGACTATGAATTCGTGGATCAAAAAAGTCTAGAAGAACACAATGTCGCTGTCGCAGGTTTGGGAGATCGATGGGCTCGTGCTACGGCTACCCTCAATAAAGATGAGCTTGCGGAAAAACAAATCATCACCGATAAATTTTCAATAAAGCTGCAAGTACTTGAGGCAGATTTTGACAAGCAGCAAGATGATCTGGATGAAGCTTTGGACGAGAAGAACGATAGAAATTATAAGATAATTCAAGAGGAACAGGCCAAGACTTTTTTGCAAAAGTTCGAAGAAAAAGCCAGGGATATCTTACTTTCGAAGAGCCCGGAACAAGAAAATGCCATTCCCACGTTGGGTTCCGACCTTGCGATCCCTGGCACAGCCACTGGCGCCGCCGTTGATACCCCATCTACCAGTTTCGCTGGTGAATCGACGATGCCTGTGAGTCGAACTGAGAGAGTGATTCAGGGTCAATATCTTGTGGCGAGCTCAGATGGCAAACAGTCACTTTTCGTGCATTCTCCAGAGTTTGGCCCCAGGGTTCCTTCAACTATGGGAGCTTCAGTGGATTCTTATCGTATGACTGCAAGCCTTGGATTCAGACCATCTCGAACTGATGATCACTCGATTAAGCGTCAAAAGACTAAGGCCTTTCCATCTACCTTGATTGAGAGAGAGAGAAGTCCTTCAATGAATGATGCACCCTATCTTCGAGACCGTTTAGGCATTCAGGTTCCAACACAATCGTCCAGCATGGCCTCTAACAAGCCTTTTGGCTCTCGTGCTCAGTCCTGGCTCCCCTCTGTGGATACCGCAGGCCGAGATTGTGGCCTTGGCAGGGAGAAGGCAGCAATTCCTCGGAATGATTTTGTGCCACGAAATTCGGCTTCGACTAGATTTCAGCCAGCTTTTACGCAGCAACCTTTTGCTAGTAGACGCATATTGGACTTTTCAAACGGCCCTTCTGCCTTTGCACAAATCGCACGTCAAGGTTACTCATCGTCACAAATCAGTAGCCCTTTCATGGGCGCCTCCAGATATGCATTGTCGAACGCTGGACTCACCGACAATGCCTCAAGAATGGGAGAAAAACAACGCACCGGTTACCGCCAAGGCCAATTGATGACGCCCTTGAAGCGAAAGGCATTGGACGTCAATTTGAGCGATCTTTACGATGAGACATATACCTCGAGGACTGGAGCCCCGATTCAAATCCAGAAAAAGCCTGATGGGGTATCTAAATTTCGAGCAGTACGCCCGAGTGCAACCAATTCTTCAAGTGCCAGCGGTGCGAGTAGGAACTGGAGTGGCCAAGCCCCCCAATTTGGTCGGCAGGAGGGTATCAAGGAGGAGCCAGCTTCAGAAGTGACCGGTGTATCTCGATCTATGAATGTAGAGTCGGCACAAATGTCAATTCCCGTCCATCAACCTAGTTATGTAGAGGCAATGCAATCAAAGGTCTTGACTCCAAGACATAGTAATGTAGGCTCATCGGGAAGAACAATCACTGGCACTGGATCCTCCAGCTCAGAGTCATCTGGACCAGTAGCTGTTACTCACAAGCTTAGAATTACAGAGGCTGAACGATACTTCCTTCTTATTCCTATCGAGTATATTTCTTACAATGCTGGCGCCCCATCTCGTTCCTTCCCTGTTACCTGGTCTGGCAAGAAAGGTATACACAATCCTGGGCAACATTTCGGTCAGAACTATAGCCTACAAGTGAAGCTCAGGAAAAATGGAGTCTTGCACCCCTATGATGGCGCTGATGACAAATCCGCACAGTATCCCACGTTGGTAGTCGATGGTTCTTGGATTCTAGGTGGCTTCTGTCACAGAAAGTCAGGCAACTGCAGAATCGAGATTTATAGGCCGAGATCGAGTAAGAAGTATATGGCGAAACTTGAGGAAGGCCATGACCGTGTCGAGATTCAAAGCGCGAGGTTGAGAATTGTGATTGCCGAGGAACGAGATCTTGATCACTTTCTTCATTGGTATAGGAAGTTGAACCCCAATGCTGAAATTCGTCCCGAGTATGTCCCTCATGAAATCGTCGATTGTTCTTTCTTTGCGACCTCTAGCTAATTTATCTTCCTAGCGATCGCCTTGGCTTCGTCCGTGGTTTTCATGATGAGCGCGGTGAATCCGACCCGGAATTGAGAAGAGGTGAGCACATATCCACTGGAACGGTCCTGGTATCCAAGACAAGAGACTAATACCACCACAGAGATCGAGGACAGAGCTCAAAGATGTGCACCTGTCGCACCTGTTGCAGTCAATACTTCGGCTTGATCGATCGATTTTCTCGATTTTCTCCTGGCAGAGGTCGAAAATACAACAAGAGCCGCCACGAGAAATTTGTACGACTATAATGAAGTCAATGTCTGACTAGCTAACACAGCATCTCCTGAGAGAATTTACCTTGTGTATCACCAAGCGGAAGCGCACCATCAACAAAAAGCATCGCAAAAAAACTCCAAAAGCTAAAACCCCGAAAAAAAAAACACCCCCCCCCCCCCCCCGACGGATAATGGATACCTGGTACCTACGAATGACGAATATTATGAGCTTACGATGTATGAACATAGAAATTGACATTCAAGGTAACTCATCGGAGCATTTTGTAAGACTGCATACATGAGAGATATTGAGAGAGTGACGGAGATTTGTCCTTGACATTTATGACGATGTTGGAAACCGATTTCGGCCTGGAATACAAGATTGGGAATATTCATGTAGAGGGCTATATGATAACAATCATCTTGCACTAGCAAGAATGTTGCCATTTCAAAGGGCTGGAGAAAGTTGATGACGAGTTTGCAGAAAATGGTTGAAAACAGAAGAAGAAGAAAAAGGTGAGGTAAAGAGAGAACAGTTCTGTCAGAGTAGATGTAAAAAGGTTTTTTTTTTTACCTTTGTCTTTTGACAACTTTGACCTTGACATAAGGTCAAACTACTGCTATGTGATGTCCACTATTCGCCCTTGTCTCGGGATATGTATACTTGAATTTGCAGATTGAAACTTCCACAAATGATTTCGTCTCTGGTTGACCTCGGACGAGCATGCAGAATGTTGAATGTTCTTTTCATTCCACCAGATTGGTATGTTTTCTGTGACCAGTGTCACAAGACACGTCTATGCTGTATTCATTGATGTGGCCCAATAATCTAGATTTTATGATTCATGAGGGAAGCAAACCCCCCTTTTCAACCTCCAATTCCTCAACTCCCTCAAATGCAGGTATATCTATCTAAGCACCATCAACTCCAAATTTACAATTTACAAAAAACGGTTCCCACCTCTCCACCTCCATTCTGCACCAGAGTACTTCTCTCTCTAACCCATGCATTTAATCCCCTCCTTCCATTCTCAACACCTACTCCGCTCATTTTCCAACCTCCTACACTCATTTCCGCGGGACTCTCTCCCCATGAATTAATCCATGTGATACCAGCTTCAATCTGACCGATCACTTCATGACATTCATTAATATTCTTGCCGAAAACACCAGCTGCCAATCCTAGTTTTGTATCGTTGGCGCGACGGATAACTTCTTCTGTGGTAGAATATGTGAGGATGCAGAGAACTGGACCGAAGATTTCTTCGCGGGTGATGAGCATATCATCTGTACAGTCTGTGAAGACTGTAGGGCGAACCCAGAAACCTGATTCATGGCCACTTGGAATATTGGTTGGTTTTTCGGGACCACCGTAGAGGAGTTTTGCTTTATCATTTTCAATTCCGTGTCGGATATAGTTGAGGACTTTTTTGTGATGGATTTCCGAGACGAGAGGACCAAAATTACTGTTGGCATCCATTGGTTCCAAAGCTCTAATGTATTCCATCTTTTCGATAAGACGTTTCTCGAATGCCGATTTCATACTTTCGTGCACAAAAACTCGGGTTCCATTTGTGCAGACTTGACCGGTGGAGTAGAAGTTGGCCATCATGGCACCATCAACAGCATTTTCAAGGTCGGTATCTGGGAGGATAATGAGAGGGCTTTTACCGCCCAACTCCATGGTAACATATTTCATGCCGCCAGCTGCTGAAGCAGCAACCTTTTGTCCAGTTGAAACTTGACCTGTGAAACTTACTTTGGCAATACCAGGATGGGTGGTCAAGTATCCTCCTACTGATCCATCTCCATGTACAATGTTGAAGACTCCCGGTGGTAATCCAGCTTCTGCATAAACTTGTGCGAGGATTTGGCCATGTAATGGGGTTACTTCAGATGGTTTATAGACCATACAGTTTCCAGCTGCTAAGCAAGGTGCAGATTTCCACAAAGCGATTTGAATTGGATAGTTCCAAGCTCCAATGCCGGCACATACGCCCAGAGCTTCCTTTTTGGTATATATCCATGCATCTGGTCTTAATTGTGTAGTTTCGCCGTTCATTCCCCCACTTGCGACTAAGCTTGCGAAATATTCTAGCACGTCTGCTCCAGTAACAACATCGACTGCGCTGGTTTCTGAATAAGCTTTGCCTGTATCGTGTGTTTCCACCTTAGCAATTTCATCGTTTCGATCGCGAAGTATCTGAACGGCTTTGAGAAGAATTCGGGAGCGGACAATTGGTGGTGTCTGGGACCATGATGGGAATGCTTTGCGTGCCGAAGCTATCGCGGAATCAATATCTGATGGAGAAGCCTTTTGTACCTGTGCTAAAGGTTTTCCTGTTGCGGGGTTGACTGTTGTGAATGTTTCTTTAGAAGTTGCTTGTTGGACTTTGCCGTCATAGTAAAGCTGTTGTTCTGCGTATGTAGACATTTTTGAGAATAGGTTTTGATGATCAATCTTCTGCTGATACTCAAAGACTTTCAATGCTCACTCACTTCTTTCACCAATGAAAACCTTAGGATGATACTATACAATGAGGTAAAGAAGGGAATGGGTCTCGAAGCAAATAATTTCCTTGGTGGGGCAAAAGGAAAGCGCACACCCTTGATACCGGTATTCTTCGGTAGCTAAGAAGTGAATTCCTGGAATGGACTTGATTCAAACCTGTACACCAATACTAATTGGGAATCGTGGCCAGTGTGGAGTGGGAAAAAATGGATACGATGGAAAATATCCAAGATGGAAATTGTCAAATATGGCGGAATATCGGACCAGAAAGAGAAGCGTTTGTCAGATACCGAGCGGAATACTGGATACGGGAAATCGCCTTCTTCTCGGGGGATTGCAGATGCAGATGCAGATGAGGCGATTATATGTTATTGATGACCAGCCACCTTCACTTCGTACTCCGTAGATAGATCTAGATAGCGGGAAGGCTTGTGAATCTTTGGAGATGATGATAAGAAGGAGAAAGATCGGAAGTTTAATGGGATTGATTGATTGATATGGATGATAAGTCAAGGGGCAATACGATATCCAATGGTATTGGTATCGATAAGACAAGACAAGACAAGACAAGACAAGACAAGGGGCTATGGGTAGCTCGTGTGTCTGTTGTGTAGAGTGAAAGACTTTACCTGGAGAGAGTTAGGTGAATGAGTGAAGTTTTGACTGCTCAAAGTCAGATCAAAAGATTATGTACGACGAATGGATGTATGTAGGGAAAACCTCACTCCATTTGGTAATGACGACGATTGACAAGGATAAAAGTAACGGCTTGGCATTTCACATTAACTTAGATTGTAACAAATGGGTGTCAATATAAGTCATTATTGGTCAACATGTTTCAGTCCCCCAGAAAAGCTGACCAGACCTAAGCCTTATTTGATCTAATGCATGATACATCAAACAACATCAGAGCACCGGGAAAAAGTTTTCCTTTCAACATTATTCATTCATCCATACACATCGATCCATCCATTCATTGACTTCCATGATTCCATGATTCCATCAGACATCAGACATCAGACATCAGACATCAGACATCGGACAGCATCTACAGACTACATCAGACCTCAGATTAGACTTTTCTTTGTGCAGTAGATGATTTCATTGTTTGCAATGGTTCAGGTCGGCAGAGTAGAGTAGAGTCGGTATCTGCTATACTACTATACCAGAGAATCTAAGTGATGATTAATGATAACCTTAGATGAATTCCTAAACACATTGGAATCTCATTCAACTGATCGACTGACTGACTAACTAACTGACTGACTTATACCCTCTCCATGTACCATTACTACCTACGATAATGATTCAAAAAAGTCATGGCATATGGCACGATCATGATTCACTCATTCTTTTCTTGACCAAAAAAGTCAATTTTACTATTACAGTACTACAGTATTGCTGGATTGATGATCCTTGATAACTTGGTAAAACTACCAGGTACTTCGTAAAGGACTTCTTAAACATTCACTAGGAGGGAAGTTAGTTTCCTAAGGCTAGACAGATATCTTTTTCTCTCTCCATTTTTAACTAATTTTTTTCCTCTCCATTCTCTCTCACTAATAAATTCCATCTTGATTCGTCTTCACCGTCATTTCATAAGTCAAACCATCCAAACGACCACGCGCTCTCTTTCCCTACTTGGCAATTTTTATCTATCATTTTATATCTTTGCATACCTGATAGGCAATAGTACAGTCAACCCCAGGGGCTCCGTCTTCGATCGTCCATATTCTCTTACGATACCGCCTTATACGATTATACCGAATAGCCTCGATTTGGAATCCACTTCCAGCCCCTCCTTGACTAGGATATCTTCAATCTCAATCCCTAGATAGAAGTCACCTGAGGACGACCTTCTACACGTTACTATTACAAATACGTTCATCGTTTCTTATTTAGATCTTTCTCTTCTGAATAGAATAGAATCCTTTCCCTTTGGATATTCAAAACTTATTAGACCAAGCATTCAAGATGACTACCGATCTTCTATCCCCATCTCAAGTCAATGACTTTGACTATGTCATCGTTGGAGGTGGAACAGCAGGCTGTGTTATTGCTAGCAGACTTTCCGAATACTTACCAAATAAGAAGATTCTTATGATTGAGGGTGGTCCAAGTGATTTCAATAATGACAAAGTATTGAAGCTCAAAGAATGGCTTACATTACTTGGTGGAGAATTGGATTATGACTACGGAACTACGGAACAACCAAATGGTGATTATGATCTTCCTCGGAGCAATGGAAGTTGACGCTGACAGAATATAGGAAATTCATACATTAGACACTCACGTGCTAAGGTTCTTGGAGGTTGCTCCTCTCACAACACTTTGATATCATTCCGTCCATTCGAATATGATTGTCAAGTTTGGGAGAGTTTGGGATGTAAAGGATGGGGATTCAAGACCATGATGCGTCTCATTGATAACCTTCGCAACCAAACTAACCCTGTTCATCCACGCCACAGAAATCAAATCTGTAAGGATTGGGTCCAATCTTGCTCTACTGCCATGGACATCCCCATCATCCATGATTTCAACCACGAGATTCGTGAGAAGGGTGCTCTCGAGCAAGGAGTTGGTTTCTTCTCCGTATCATATAACCCAGATGATGGACGAAGAAGTTCGGCTTCTGTCGCTTACATCCACCCAATTCTCCGCGGTGCCGAGAGTCGACCAAACTTGACTATCCTCACCAACGCCTGGGTCAGCAAACTTAACTTTGACTCCAGCAAGACTGTCAAGAGCGTAAACGTAACCTTGAAATCCGGCGAGAAACTCACCGTTTCCCCTAAGACCGAAACTATCCTCTGTGCTGGCGCAGTCGATACCTGTCGTCTTATGCTCCTCTCTGGAGTTGGCCCTGCCCAACAACTCAAAGACCTTAACATCCCTGTCGTACACGACCTTCCAGGTGTAGGAGAGAATCTTATCGACCACCCCGAATCCATCATCATGTGGGAACTCAATGCCCCCGTTCCACCTCAAACTACCATGGACAGTGACGCGGGTATTTTCCTCCGTCGTGAACTACCCAACGCCGCCAAAAACCACACCCACCCAGAACTCAACCCCAAAGGTCTCCCAGATGGCACCATTGCAGATATCATGATGCACTGCTACCAAATCCCCTTCTGTCTCAACACTGCTCGTCTAGGCTACGACGCCCCTCTAAATGCATTCTGCATGACCCCCAACATCCCCCGTCCCAGATCACGAGGACGTATTTACCTCACCTCCTCCGATCCCTCTGTAAAACCCGCCCTCGACTTCCGCTACTTCACCGATCCCGAAGGTTACGATGCGGCCACCATTGTCGCTGGTCTCAAGGCCGCACGTGAAATCGCAAAGAAGGCACCTTTCTCAAACTGGCTTCTCCGTGAAGTAGCACCCGGCCCAGAAGTTCAAACTGATGAACAACTTTCAGAGTACGGAAGAAAGGTTGCTCACACCGTTTATCACCCAGCTGGAACTACCAAAATGGGTAGTGCGCAGGACAAGATGAGTGTGTGTGATGAGAAACTAAAGGTCAGAGGACTTAAGGGAGTGAGAGTGGCGGATGCCGGTGTTTTCCCAACGATGACCACTATCAATCCTATGTTGACTGTTTTGGCAATTGGAGAGAGAGCCGCGGAGATGATTGCACAGGAGGCTGGATGGAAGGGAATGGTGGAACCGAGGTTGTAGGTTTCAGCTGTAAGAGAAGAGAAGGAGAATCGAGAAAAGAAGACTGGGTATGTGCATAGGGATACGGATACGGGTATCATTAAAGTGGGCAATTTTAAATACATAGTGTATGGTTGGATGGATGAGGATGATTTTGATTTTTGCACGCGAGCATATAAAATGCGTGGAGAGGAGTTGGTCAAGTACTTGTATAGAAATACCTAAGACAGAATGTTTTGACAATTATCAATATATATATACTTCATCTGTACATGCACGTCAGTATAAATCCCACCCTGTGAGCCTCGAAGTGGAGTAAATGGACATACAAAGAATCATTAATTTCCACTATGCGTGCATCAGAATTGACTCCCCTACACCTTCGTTTTCCATCTTCGTACCCATTTCCCAAGCTCCCCATGCCACCGCCGGGACTCAACGTCAATAGATAGCGAACCCTAATATCAATACCAAGCACGCCACCTCCACACCGACATCTACACCCACACCCCATACGATAAACATCCTCCGACTTGTCAAAAATCTAGGATCATGGAAAGAAAGAACCACCAACATTCCCCCTCCTCTCTCTTCTCTCCCCTCTCTCTTCCCTCTCTTCCAAACGATTTACATGGCGAGATATCGCTCCCTATCATATCATATCACAATACCTTACAATACAACACATCACCCCCCCTCCCCCCCCCTTCCCATTCCCCCTCTAACAAGATATCCTTCTAGTAATCTACACATATCACATACATATCAGCGCGAGTGAAAAAGATGAGTAGGATCTCGGGGAGAAATATTAAGTGTATTTGCATATGCATATACATATCTGAGAATCATTCGTGACGGTTTATTCTGCGACAATTTGGATCTGAATCAACACGTTATAGGTAGGTAGAGAAAAGAGCCTTGGCTCGGGGTTCATTCTAATGTGGGAAAAACGCATCATCTGGAAAGATTCCCACAAACCACTTAGGTTATAGATAAAATCTTTTTGAGTCACTCACCAATTCGTGCATGATATCCGATATTGAATCACTAGAAGAAAAGTCAAAAAAGGGAGGGAGACATACGGTATGATATGGGAACACTATTCGCAGACAAGACACTGATATATTATATTTGTATTTCGCTTTACAAGCTATCATCGTGACCCTTCCCTACCCTTTACCCTATCTCAGTTTCGTCGCTACCCATTCTCTCCCATTTCCAATCGATATACATCCACCTGACCCCCGCCCCCCCCCCCCCAAAGCATATCCAACTTCTCATTCTCTGCTCCCAATCCCTTCAAGAACCACAACGCTTCCTCTTCGATCCCAAAACTAACAAACGCCCCCTTCCGCTCATTTCACATGCCATGTCATTTTATTGACCAAGAAGACGACTAGAACAGCCCTTGCAATCTACAAGAGATCCATGGATTCATACAAAAACGCCCAATCCGATTAAACGCCCGCCCAAATTTCAAAACCTCTCCATCCTTTCAGTATCTGCAATAAAATGCAATATGAGCCCTAGTATTCTCATCCCATGCCATATCGCTCCCATCTGTACTTCCTCCATTACATTCCGTTTTCGATCACTCCCCAAATTGCAACATGGCTCTTCAATAGTTGAAGCCGCCATAGTTCGAGTTTCGAGGTTGGTGACCGGGACTGTGTTGATAGTCCATGTCTTGATACACGGTGGTTCTTCGGTCATCTTCGAGAAGGTCCTTGACTTCCCAGTTGTTCTGCTTGATACCAACTGAAAATTCAAGATCTTCTTTAGTGATAGAGTCCCAGTACTGTTTACAGTGTTAATAAGAAAAAAATATGTAAAATTCAGATATAAAACTAGGACTGACCTTGTAAATCATCATCACAGCTAGAAGATTGGCGATTGAAGCGAAGAATAATCCGTCCAAATAGTGGCTGATAGCATTGCAAATGCTGGTACTGAAAGCGTAAAGAACAACTTGTCCCGCAGCGAAGAAGAAAAAGGCAAAAGAGAGTTCACCCAAGGGCCAACGATCCTGGAGAGTGTTCACAACAAGAATTACTTGCATAACACCGTAGATAGCTAACTCGATAGCAGAAAGTAGGTATAGCACAACGAAGAGTCCAACAGTTCGAGTGGGTCCAAGTCCTGCCCAGGACATATAGGTAGCGAGGGAAACGAGGAACGTAAGAATGAACATGGCGGCACTGATTGAGCGAAGGAGCCAAACTGAAATTCGTGTTCCATCTTCATATAGTTGGAATCCAACAAATCCATTAATCAATAAACAGACAGTAAGGGCAGATGTGAGACCATTTTGTACAGCCGAGAAGTATGGGTAAGGTCCAGTCCCAGGTGGGATAACACCAGCATCGAGAAGTAGTGTAAAGAATGTGAGGAGCATATATATGTAGAAGAAAGTTGTGATTTCTTTTCGGCCTGAAAAATGTTGCATTAGTTTCCATCATTTTACTCACTCTTCATCTTAAGATAGACCCCGGCCTAACCTACCAACAGCAGTAAATTTACTCCTAACGTGCAATATCATAATAACCGTCATAATTAACGCGAGGATGTGTACGAAACTTGCGGCTCCTTGAAATATGATCGTGTTGGCCAATTCAATATTGCGCGAATAACAATTTGCCTCAATTCCATGACTTCCCGCGATTGTTGTTATCGCTCCGACCTCTGCACATAATGGAAGCGCTGCTTGTTCGCAGATCGAGTAAAAATCCCCAAAGCCCATCGTGAATTATACTGTTGTCGCTCGCCGTACTGAGAGATATTCTGAGGAGGTTGGAAGTCGAATGTTGTTGGGCGCGAGGAATGCCCGCGAACACGATGGAATGGTTGTCAACTATCTCAAAACTGCAGCAAGTGAATGTGGTGTAGCAAAAATAAAACTAGCGATCGTAATTGTGTAGGTTGATGTTAATCTAGCAATATTTTGATGAAATGCAAAGATTGTGAATGTGTGAATGATGGCGAGTCGTCGTTGCGACCAAGGTGGAGGAAGAATGCACCAATAGCATTGATTAATCTTGGACATCTCGTATGTCTTCTGGCAACTAGTTCTCGTTGGCGGCGAAACCACTCTTTCGACCGACCAAAAATAGAACCTTTTTGCCTTAGTCATACGGTTAGTAATGGCAAAGAGTCAGATGACATTCACGTGAGCATTATCACAGTGAGAAAATTAGACACTCATAGGGTATATCCATTACAATGTGTCCTTGATCATGGCCTTTTTGGAATAATGCTTAATATTGATAGGAAACCGGTCAATATCAAACTCTAACGACATTGCCAGTAATCCAACCGACCTACCATCGTTTCACCTTGAGTAGTACGCTCGTTGTGATAAGTTACGAATTACGATCCAAATGAAATGCGAATTCCCCGCTGGCCCAGCATAATGTATAAGAATGAATTGGAAACTTGTCAAATTTAAAAGACGACGGTGACACCCATCGTATTTCCTGGATTGAACTGTCGGTATGCGGCCATCTCAACCACAATGCTCATAATCTTAGCCACAAGAACAATTTCACATTCGGTTTTCGGGATCATTTGTACAACGGGCGGTACGGGGCGTATGTTGCTTGACATACAACAGACTTTGGCTGGCCGGATGTTCGTCTGCAACCTACCCGTTCACACAAAAACATATGCGAGGCTGGATATTTGATGGGAAATCGGCCTCTCTTTTCATAGAGTACCTGAGTTCCAATCGATGAGACCTTCCTGGGCACGCGCATATAATCATGACTCTTGCTGATGTGTTCATGGTGATAGTAAGACCCTTAGTTTTTCATTCATATAAGACATCGGCCTGATCGCTCAATGCGAGTTTGAATCTCGGGAGGTGGAAGATTATCACTTGGAAACCCCATCCCATGAGGTGAGGCAACCCGGCTAAGATGGTGAAATGTTGCAATGTGATATATGTGTGGAACATGGATTCTCAATCAAATGATCCAGGAGTGTTGGCGTCGATGGTTGGTAGACATGTGTTAATTGCAAATTCAAATTGCTGATGAATTGCTGATGAGGGATCCAGTTTTCAACCTGGAGATGTTACCTGATGTTGGGTGTGCGGCCTTTTGCATTGATTAGATGCAGTAGCGACAGGGGGTCCTTTGCACCGGAGGACATGCTGAACCTACCGAGCAGGCTTGTATTCCTTTCTTTGAGATCAGCCAACTTTCAAGGACAGCTTGTCTGCATATGACCGGTGAGTTTGGTTGTATTATTTGGAAAGCCTAGGTAGGTCTTAGCACCAGAAAAAGACGGGAAAGATAAATCTAGTTTGCCGTGTTGTTCGGTGGGGGGCTTAAAGGAGTAGCATGACAGATTGTTCAAGTGGTGGTGTAACGCTGGGAGGGAAAAGTTGGTTGATGAGTAGCCAGATAGCAAGCACAGCCGGTAAAGAACACGAATGACTTGTCGTTTTTTTCTTGCTAGTAATCATAAACACAACGGGCAAGCATCTCTGCATGCGACGTCGAACAAGCTGACCGAGCAGATCGCCCATTTCTGCGGTTCTGTATCTTTACAATATTACGTGGGCATGATATTATAGTACAGCCACAAGATGCCATGGTATGGGTATGGGTTTAAGTGGCCGGTAGCTCAGCAGTCTTAGAATTGCGAGAATCAAATGCTAATTCCGTGATGTCGTGGAATTTTGCCGGGTATCTGAGTGCATAATGTTCGAGTCCAAATTTCTTGTCGGCGTTGCTCAGCCTGGTCTAACATATTGATACCGTATTCGAAACGATTCCATGTTGGAGATGGTGAGCATCTTATCCCATTGGTAGTATCCGCACCCAAGAAAGTATATTGTGATAATTATCTTGGGTATGCCGAGTGTTTTTTTTTTTCTTCTCTCTTTCAGATAGTGTAGGATTGGAAAAGGGGGGCAACCTCCGTAACCGTCGCATCCCAAAGTCTAGACATAAGGGGTGCTACCATACAAAATAACGATACCGTACCAAACAAATTTGTAGACCGAGTTGTAGACCGAGCGTACCTGTGTAGACTCGCATTTCGATGTGCCAATAGTCATTCCAATAGATAGCCAGTTATCAGTCGATCGATAGTATTGCAGGGCATGCAAGATAGATTGAAACTTGATCATTATGGCTATACCAGGTTTGACTGTACAAGGTAAAATGCGTACTCAAATGATTTTTGGTTTCTGTTTGCCTTTCACTTCCTTGAGGTTCCTTCCCACTTTCAACTTGCAAGCTGAAAAAAAGAAGAAGCCGGAGCTTATCACACTGGGGTGTGTATGAAAATGATCCCAGACAAGTGTTCAAAAATTCAAAAATTCGAGAGATGTAGAATGCCAATCCCACTCTCCCCACGCTAAAATGAGAGAAACGAACGGTCTACGGCGCTTGTGGCCACTCATCTGCAGTGAGCCATCCATAAAGCCGAAAAAAATAGACTACACCAAGATTTGATTCGATTGGAAATTGGAAAAGGACCAGCAGCGGCAAGGTATTTTACCTAGATACTATAGCTTCTTTCGTATATATACCACACTATACAAAGTTGTTCCGGAAGATCTAATAGTTCTTCTCCCCAATGAGTTATAGCCAGTGAAAACCTAATAGATGACGAATTCTTCTCGTATGCAGTAAGTACTAGATTAGACAGATGCCGATTGTCCTATCTTGCCTAGACCATCTCGAGACCCTATAGTCACTAATAATCCATGTGTGTTTGCCTCGCTGTTAATCACACATGGTGTAAAAGTCAATTTCAGTTGAGTAGGACACCCATTACTTCGTACATTGCTGCGTGGACTCTATAAAACTGGAGAATTGGGGTCTTTTCTTGACCCGTCGATGTGATAATATGACAATGACAATATCATAACGATGAAGATCCTTGGTAAAGTACCGAGTAGGACAAGTAAAGTTCTCAGTTCTCTTTCCCTATTAGCTAATTCTTTAGAAGCATTTATAAATTATCATGCAAGTCAAACCGAAACCCAAGGAATGAATCCATATTACCTGTATTCATTATCTTCTGCGGTTCTACCTATGGATGATTCATATCCAGGTGTGAAGTTTGAGGTTTGAGCACGCTTTCCATTCGTGAACTCCTAAAAATACGGGTTACGGAGTAGGTCGTCTAATAATTACGAAGTATACAATTATAGAACTTACAACATGCTTTACCGTTGTCCCAAGAAGGTCCCTCACCTCCTCCCAACTAGATTTAGATATTCGTCAAGACTCAAGAGACTTTTTATCTGCGTTCCAAGATACGAATGTGAATGTCACTGTGATATCAGTTTGGAACCTTAGAATAGAGTTCTGATGGTCTTACCACGCTCACTCTATTTGATAAATCAGCGTCACGCTTCTGGTGCTGTCCATAGGCGTCGTCAATCAATGCCCCGAATCACATCATTCCTTCCAATCCTCCCCTCCTTATTTCTTGATCTCAAACTCCTGCCAAAATGGATGCGGTGAAATAATAACCCTCTAACGTGCATTTTCTCAGAGAAGCATAGAAAGTAGCCATATCCACTTGATCCAATCACACATCACACATATTCGAGGATGAATTGGAAAGGCTGTGCCGCAGCCGGGTCCGGGCAAAGGTTCTTGTGAGTGTACTCAAGACGCTCAAGACTTCAAGGTTCTCATTTCGATATTACTGGATGCATCCTCTGAGCCTTCCCCCCACCACCTGAAGAGAGGCTTGAGGGTCGCATGAGCTGTAACGCGAGTTGAGTGGAGCATTGGACCGCGGTTGACGATCAAATCATAAATTCAATTTACGACCACTTCGTACAGCGTGTGTTCCGAGAATGAATGAAAAACGGCACGCGCGGACATGTGCCTCTGAAGAGCAAGGACAAGTCAGACTAATTTACAAAGCTAGCACTTACAGGCAGGCAATGTGAAGCGGCGGTAGGTTACGGAGAAACATAGGAAGCGGAACAGGAGTACAGCGATTGTTAGCCAAATGGAAATATGCGTCGTCCTCGGTCCTCCTTCAACCCAACCTTCCAAGGAATCTTCCAGGTGAAGGAATCCATGGAACATTGGATTGGAACCAAGAGGGTTACTCTATACTCTGACTCAGATTAATGATGGCGACACACACGCAAGAAGGACTAAAAACAATTATCGGATCACCAACAAAAGACGATGGTATGACACACTCTCTTCTTTCATCGCAGCCACTTTTTTCCGCCCCCGCTCTGCATACACAAAACAGGACCGACCGGCGAGCAAGGAAGTAGGTGAACACAATACACTGGCAGCGGAACGAATTTGTTAATGCCTTCCGGTTTTGCCAAACCAGACCAAACCACATCCAACATCATCGAGCTCAACCTTCATCAATACATTACATAGCGTATTATTTTTATGCACCATGCCCCTTCATATCAATCATCCGCATACGGCATGTAGGATGTAATCATGTAAGTGTAGGAAGATAGTAAAGGACAATAGTGGGTGGATAGACGATGATATGCTCAGATGATGGATGGAGCATAGGTAGCGAGCAGGGTTACGATGCCAGCTAAATAAAGTAGGTAACTTTCATGTTAGGTTTGATGTATCCGAATCGCTATCCGTTTAGTAGCTCATCCCACCTCATTCCTAAACTTAGCTGGACAAGTAAGTACTCTATCCAAATCAGGTCTTGTTCGCCTCGTGAAGAAAGAATTATGTATGTGAAGGGGGCAACGGTCCTCGATTCTACAGGGAAACCACCGTGTGAGGAAAGATGTGTATTGTACCGACATACGAATACGTACACAGATAATCATTGATGGGGCGCAGGACAAATTGCTTGATACACTTCAAAGTCTATGCCTAGGTGCTGTATAGTTGTGAAGATCGATGTGTACTAGCCAAGATAGATTTTGCTTGGGCCCAACAAAGGAACATTGCCCCTCCTCTTGCTTCCCCACCATCTTCAAAATTCCATCTAATCATCGATCTAAATCCATTAAACTTCCCTTTCACGTACAGCACTGAAGACAAATATGTAGACCACGCGATTCGCGAGTCGCGTAAAGTGGAAAGAGCGGAATTCTTGGACTCTTGTCAGGGGGGGGGGGAGAGTTAAATTTCTTCGATGATGGTGACCTGCACCTAAGTTCAAAATCTAGAAGCATTCAATCGTTGGCGAGCAAGATACGAGAAAGGTTTTGATCATCAGCAATATGTGTTAGCAAAAACTATTCACATATGGCTATTTCCCCCTTCCTTGTTATGTGTTTCTCCACAAACTTTGACGGTAGGTAGGGTTCTATCATCTATGGAAGCACCGCCCAACGGCTAAGTACGAAAGAAAAGAACTCTAGAAGCAACTACTATGGTGGGTTGTGGGAACGGAATTTAGTAAATCAAAGTCCCAAATTCAATAATCATACCCTAAACCAGGATCGACACCGATGGCTATAATATAATTTAGTTAATTTTATCCATTCCATTCTCTGCCGGAAATTGTTGGAATGGAATGGTGGATGAACCAACGGCTTAAAAATTTGAGAGCTGCATTTCCCCTTGGAAAAAGGAGTGTTTCGAACAAAGATCATCAGTTCAACTAATGAAAATGCAGCAAGCTACCAGGCTACGTATTTACTTTTTACTTCCTAGGGTGTGTATATAAAATAATGATTATTTTACATGGCTTGTATAGTAAGCAATATATGTGATTGAGCGTCCGCATATCGTATACACCAGTCAATGCCCAGCTGACGACCCGGATGATATGGATCCAATCATTGGTGTCGGATTGAGTGATTAGATTGGTGACCGGGGGCGGCGCCCATCGGACTTGGGAAGAATCTGAGAAGTTCAGCCACAAAAAGTGTAAGTCTCTCTCTCCCAGAATCACGGGTCAATTTTGGGAAAATGTGCCGATGGATGATCATGGAAAAGTCTCATCTTCATTCACACAGCCTGACTGATACAACACAGAAGAAGTCAGGCCATAGGTGGCCCCCCCGGTAGGAGAGCACTTGCGGATCATGTTTGATATATTTGACTCAGTGACTGGTAAGGAACTTTGCTCATGCTACTGCCTCAGCAGGGCCTGCCTTGCTTACGTAGAGGGAAGGGGACCTTTCTCGATATCATTTTGGGGCAGGCCAGCGGAGGAAAAATGTGATGGTGCAAAAGAAGAAAAGAGAGATCCTAGAATTTGACACCAATCATATGTGTAAGAAGCGGTGGAACGTCAATATCTGCAGCCTGGAAGACGGAAACGGATCCCCTCACCCCTCATCGATGATATCGCATCGATTCGATTATTCAGGATCCTGAGCGTCGTTGTCAATTGCATACGAAATAAGTACATACGATAGACGGTCTGCGTTATTGCCTAGGAGGGGGCTTTGAAATTTGTATGGAGAAACGAACGAAAGCGCCTTTTCTCACCTGGCCACTGAAGAGGAAAGCTTCGTAGCTTGAAAGTAATCCCTTCTATCCTATCTTGATTATCCTAGAAACACTTCATCTCCTTGGTCCATTCTTGCCGTGTTGTGCTTTCGTACCGATGCTATGGAAATCGAAAATGGTAGGTTTGATTAGACCTCATAGTCAGATGGAACATAAAGCGTAACGCTAGGTGTCAACGAATGATTGTCAATAGTGGCACACTACTGATACATGGACATGTTTCCCAAACAATTACCAATCGAATTCACCCAAAATCCTCACTTCCACTAGTAATTTGATCAATTATGATCACTTATTTCATCCTTACACTCCACCCCTTCATCTACTCCGTGTACTAACAAATTTAGACGACCTAGCACCATGTCTATCTTCATAACATTCCCTTACATTCTTATTACTGCACAAGCACAAGTCTCATCTCAAGAGCCAATCACTATGGAGTATTCACAGCACACGAGTGGTAGTCTATGCTTCTGCATTACGGAGTACTCTTACGCCGGGCTTCTAGCACTGCAACTGGCAAGGCTTTGCTCATTCACACATCCGTATTTGCCATGGTACCGTCATATCACAAGAAGGGAAACCAGAGAGACTGGCGCGTACGCATTGATAATCCTAGTTTGTCTCTCTGTTTTGGCCTTTTCCTTGCAAGACTGAATAGGCAAGACTCTGCCTTTCTATGTACGTGCCAGCAACATCCAATTTCTGCTGCACCGCTTTCCACTGTTCCACGCGCTACGCTCCACCACAAAAGAAAAAGCATCACAGTGAAAGTGTTGCAAACATCCCCGCTCCCCATCGTGTTGCCCAGGTGCTCTCGTCAGATTGGTCGCTCGTGGATTATGTTTGCAGCACTCCTTGTTTGTAAATCGATATAAGTCAAATTTCACATAGGATCTGACTCTCCAGCTACCAACGAGGTATGTACATATATTAGTGAATGAATGCTTCGGATCATTCGGTGCTGTTATCATTTACCTTTGTGAGGAAGAATGGGTTCAAATGAAATACGAAGCCCGAAGGAGTAATAAGATATCGAGCTAAAATCAGCCCCAATCTGTCTGTTGGAATTCTAGTCAATTTTATATAGATCGACTTATCCATTTGGCCAAATGGAAAGGGAAAAGGCCAGTTTGATAAAATGTCAATCCATTTCAATCCCAAAGGCCAAGAGCTGCATATCTCCCCAGACACGAACAGAACACCAGGTCTGGACCCGACCACTTCTTTAGATATACTTCATTCAATATATGTTGCCACTTTAAAGCTAGGAAGCCAGCTTGCTTGGAGCCAATCAAACAGGCCACCTCAGGTAAAAAAGAAGACAAAACGTATGCGAGGCAATCAAAAGGCAATGATGCGGAGCAAAGAAGGAAGAGTAGAGAAGGCGTAACCGATACATTATTCATCTGTGAGCCAGCTTCAATGAACATTTTTTATATTCAGACCCTCCCTTCCACCTTCATCAACCCATACAAATTTCATTATTTATTCCATCGACCAAAAACAGGACAGGATTAGCTTGCTCTTTTTCTGATAGATCATACCTACATACCTACATATCTACATATCTACATATCTACATATCTACATATCTACATATCTACATATCTACATCTCTACATCTCTACATCTCTACATACCTACATAGCACATCCACATACACACACACATACCGATACACCACTGACTGGCCTTCGTTTCGCTTCGCCTTCCATGTTGAAAAGCTTGGAAAGTTGTTTTCTCACACAAACTCCTCCTCATCCTAACCTCATCCTAACCTCATTCATCGCGTTCATATCATATACACTTTTGATAGGTGGTCCTTTGTATCCCTGCACACAATCCCCGAAATCCCTAATTATCATCATCATTCTTATATAATCCTGGCCGATTGATAACCTTTTTACACCTTTTTACACTTTTTTTACATTGCACTAGCTGGGAGGCTAGCAGCCCTAGTACCAAGCCCTTTCTTTCCTAATGTGCATAGGTACCAACTAGCTTGGTATTATTATTATTGTGTCTAACCAGACAGACTAATTTGGAATTTCTCGTAGGAAAAGGATCCTTCCCTTCCTTTCTTCCTTTCTTTCGTTGCATCTTGTTTCTTCTTGCAGACAGACAGACAGACAGACAGACAGGTGTAATGGCTTTGGACAGGAAAAATAAATAAAATAAAAGTCCTTCTAAAACAAATAAATTGATTTTATTTTATCTATTTATCCTAGTCATACATCGACCTAGGTTTGAAGTGGTGTGTTTTCTCAAACTATCTTATCCACATTCACTCATCTACTCCTCTCTCACTCTTCTCTCCCTCTCTCCTTGTACCTGGCTCTTTGCCTGTGACATCAATGAATGCTTCAATCAGCCTCCACTTTCTTCTAGTACCAGACTCTCAATTCCATATTTCCATATTTCCATATTTCCATTTTCCATTTTCTATTTTCCATTTTCATAACCCTTTGTCGTTCGTACCATACCAGACAAGTTCCATCTCCATACCAATGATACTATAATCATTGCGTATCCGTATCTAATATCTAATACAGATTCGACCCTAGTTGATTCTTTTACATATCATATCGGTCGGTATTGTACCTAGGTATCATTCCGATATTTCACATTATTCGTTCCTTCTTTCATAGTCTCTTCTCTCTTGATCCAACGTCTCCAATTTTATATCCATACATTATTTGTTATAATTGTTTCCCATTACTTCATTCACATTATCAGGAAGCTCAGATTCCTAATATCTCTCTCATAATACCTCTCAGCTCCTAAGACACGTTTTCTCTATCTCTCTTACTTTCCCTGGCTTGAGATATATTCATCAAGCCAAAGTTCAATATTGTGTTCCTTGTCTGCTGCTACTCTCAAAGTTTCGACCCGTTTGGGAAAGTTTCCTCAATATCAAAACCGACTCCTTCCTCATTGAAGAAAGATCAATTCACTTCACACACTACTCTACTCAGGATTACTCTACACTCGACAGATCGGCAGCGGCCTACTAACTATCTTCTCGGCTTCGTTCATTTCAAGATATCTATCTAATAGTCCGTGAATCTCTGTACGACGGGATTAGACGAACTTTCCATGGCTTCGCGGATAGCCCAATCTTAGCTTCGATAGTTCGTCTTCACCTTCGACTACCACTGGTAAACCTCATAGAATCACATAACGCGTGTCGAGAATCACTTGGAGATAATTGCCATCTGATCTGAACATTCGGATTCCATACATACCACCTTGTTTTGAATCTTCTCCGAGCAGCAACCCTCAATCCTTCAAGAAAACGCAATCCCCCTTCGAAAGTCAACATACAAGTTCATTCCCAAATGCATCAGACTTCAGTTAGACCGGCTCCGTTCAGTTTTCTTTTACCTCCTACACCACAGACTCCCTTTGGAATCGATCGTCGGAAGGACGTTGGTTTTCCCCTAACACTCCCACAAATAAACCAGTCAAGATATATAGAAGCTCCGGTCAGAGTTGGGCTTCGAACACCACCCGAAGACGATATGCACGCAACATATCCAGCTTCTCAATATCAAAACTACAAGAGTCGGCAAAATGAAGATTACCCAGCGTCAGCCAATGTTGGCAGGATGAACGATTACGATGGACCAGCTTGTCATTCGCGAAAGCCTTCGTCAATCTCCCAAGCGTCGGCAGCTCACATTAATAGTGCGATAAAAAACTCGGAGAGCTTGCAGCCTGAGTCGTCTTATAACTGGCCTCCAGTGAAAGAAACCCATCAATCTCAAGCTACTGCCCTTTCTACTCTTGAGTCTGAATCTACTCGAAAGCCGCAAGCAAAAAAGCCATCAACCACAGATACTATTCACCCTAGCTTGCAAATCCCAAAATCAATAAACGACAGCGGTGGAAGTTTAGCCGAATTTGCAGCTCAGGTAATTCATAACCCTTAATAATTCTACCCCGATCATGTTCAAGATCTAACTTTCCTAGATTACCTGTTTGTTCTGGTTTGAGTCTACCGATACTTTGAAGAGGGCGGAAAATTCGTGGGTGGGATCAACTACAACAGAAAGGCTGCGTCCAGAAGCTTTCCCATCCGTTGGGTTCACAAAATGGGTTGTTACGATTCTCATGACTACGCAGGTGTCACAAAATGTCATATTATTGGCACTACTTTTCATCTACCGTCTGAAATCCATTAACCCAGCAGTCAAAGGACGAAGTGGAAGCGAATATAGACTCTTAACAGTGGCATTGATGTTGGGCAACAAATGTGAGTGAACAAGATTTTTATGGAGTGTGAGAATTCTTGCTTACCAAAAATAGTCCTCGATGACAATACATATACCAACAAGACATGGGCTGAAGTTTCGGGAATTTCCGTCACCGAAATCCACATCATGGAAGTCGAATTTTTGAGCAACATGCGCTACAGTTTACTCGCAACCGAAGAGGAGTGGAAGGAATGGCAACAAAAGCTTGGAAAATTTTGGAGTTTTTGTGACAGGGCAACAAAATTATCACCTCCGCCCATGTACCAACCTACGCTTCCTTCACCTCCTGCATCGATGCAAGCTTCACCTCCCGCACGAACAAGTCAATACACATCCTCAGTTGGATCGAATAATCTCACCCCACAGTGGTCTGCTAGTAATAGTGTCGCTCAGTTGGTATCGCCCTTGACGACTATTTCGACTCCTTCAGACCAAGATTTCCGCCTGCATTCAAGGAAGAGAAGTTTCCCGGATGATGTTGAAGAACCGGTGGCAAAGCGTGTATCCATGTCAACTACCTCGACGCCCAGTGACTTTGGAAATTTCAACATGGCTCCTAGGCCTCGCTTACCGCCAGTTCCTAACTTGACGATATCGACAAGTCAGGCGATGAATGGGTACAACGGTCTCCCTAGCTTTTCTCAGAACGCACCACTTTTGCCCCCTTTGCATGGCAGTCGAGCCATGTCCACAGTCTACCCAACTACTCCAACTTATCCACCACCTATTTTGAATCACACCTTTACCGGAACTCAATCTAGTGGATCACAAATCAATACTTATCAACACGGTAATCAAAGTTTTGGAACACCATCTCGCCAACGTAGTCCTCATTCAGCTGTTCAGGAACTGCTTGCAACTGTGCCTTCTCCGCTTAATGCGTCCTTTCCCGGAAACTCCGGTCACATCTCACCGTCTGTATTCTATCAACAGCGGAACTCGCCTTACAAGCCTATTCGTCACGTGAACACTCTCCTTTATCCACCACCCACTGCTTCCATGCACGATTATAATGTCAACACAAATCACATACATTATCAGCCATTAGGTAAGAGACACGATTACCGATCTGGTGTGGTGCCTGGATACGGTCATCAATCTACCAACCAATGGCCTGTACTACCTCAACCAAATTTTCATGGAGTATAAACTCCAATTTCGTCAACTGATACTAGCTGTGTCGAATCATTTTCATTGTTTCCAAAAACAAAAAAGAGTCGAAATCACCCTTGGAAGAAAGGGAATTCGCATGGCATGAGCATTTTAGCCGGGGCGTTTGTTTATCGTTTTTTATTGTTCTTTCCTAGGGGTCAGCGAGGCTTCATTGCGTATTTATTAGCCAGCTGCTGTTATACCATTATTTGCATGCATTAAGACGGGTGTTTTGGGAGTCCCTTAAATAGGGGGACATTGTATTTTTTAGTCGGAAATTTTTGACGATCTCTTCTTATGAAGAATGGATTCGTGATTGGCAAGATGATATTCTGATCTATGGGATTATGTTAGATCGGTGGTGGGTTATGATTAGCACAAGAAGGAATCAATGATATTAAAGGGGAAGGGCAGAATGTATTGGGAACGACCTCTCATGGAACAAACGGCTTGTTTGAAGATATGGATCGGTGACGGAAATCTTGAGTATTGTAGCTCGATTGATACATTGGCCTGGAACATCCTTACCGTACAGTTCACTCAATGGATGGGTTCGATCAGATCTACGACATAACTTGTGCGTTGCTTTACTGGTTTATTCTAGTGTGTGTGATGCACAACTTCGCCTGCTGGATTTTGTGCGTCCTAGCAACTGGGGGAACATCAAGAGAAGAGAGAAATATAATTGAAATAAATATTGATACCCCCCAAAATTCGTTGCATATTCTGTTTTACTTTGCTTGTGTTATGTTTGATGTCTGCAACCGACTTTTGTCTCTGGCACATGTGTAGGGTTGACAAAGTACCATATGCTGTGTGCACTGAAGGAATACGTATGTTTATTTGAAAACGCCTGAGGAAGCGTAGCTCTGGCTTTGAAGGCGGATTTGTATATATTTTGCCGTTCTCAATCTTTCTCTTGCTCTTGAATTTCGCACTAGTGAATTTCGGGAAACGTGAGAGTGATACTTGAGATGCACGTCTTGTCATGCTACTGTTATGGATGACTCGGAGGGGAAGGTGATGATGGCTCGTCATGTCTAGGGTGAATCATTCTTTATGTTTTATGGTTTATGGTTTGATTTTTTATGTTGCGTGGGATGGGGATGGCGATGGGGAGGTTCTCATCTCGGCCTGAGATTGGTTGGAATAGTGAGGAAGAAAGAATTCGGGCGTGGCGTTTTGTTGTTAATTAGAGTTAGTTATAACAGATAGCTCTGGCTAGGATGGGATGGGCATATTGGTGTTTGGAGGTTTGGGTATTTGGGTATCTGGGTGTTTGTGTATTTGAAATTGTGTGTGTGTGTGTGTGTGTGTGTGTTTTGTTATTCTCAGATTGTACTATACTTACTTTGTTGAGAGATATTTTGAGGGGTGAGAGGTTTATATTTGGTCTGTGGATTGAGATTGGGATTGAGATTTGGGCGGTGGATGGTGTATGGAAATGAAAGAATAGAAGGAATAGAAGGCACAGAAGAAGAGGAACTTCAAGGAATCTTTGAGATTGAGAAAGGTATCAATCGATACGGGGAAGAGAAACTTTCTCTTCGCCACGCAAAGACCGCGAAGATATTAAAGCGAGGTGTTGATATTAGGGTCAGGGATAGTGCTGCTGCTGCTGCTGCTGCTATTTATCTTGTGAGTGAAGTGAAAGATTTAGATTATCTGCTGAGTGTCTAGACTCTTGTAGAAGTTGTATTTAAGACTTTGTTTACATCCGACGCGCGTGCGTGCGTGAACTTGAGGCTTCTCAGAGAGTGTAGAGATGTGCTGGGCTGGGAATGGGACTCACAGCACCGGGAGGAGGTATTTTCAATGTAGAACGTACTGCTCTGTAAAGCTATCGAATGCGACCTTCCTCCTGCGTAATGTTGGGAGTGAACGCGTGTTTTTTTATTCAAGAGTGGCGCTTGTTGGTCTGTTGGAGAGATCTGTGGTGATTTTTATGGATGATGGGTCGGCTTGAATGTTTGTTTTTTCTGTTTTTTATGGATGATGTGACTTGTACTTGCTTCTATTCTTCGCCAATTTTATGGCCTCATACAAAATATCATACATACGATACAATATCACATCCCTATCGCGCGATGCACCCATTTAACACTTCGGGGCTCGTGTAATTAAACGAAGAAAGGAAATCTGGTTAGAATTCAGAGTTCTTTTCTAGTACTAGCGATTCAATCATAAGTATCACATCGGTATACGCTTGCAAGGAATGCGTCAATGGGAGTAAAGAAGACTAGGAGATGTGTATTGCAGATGAGTGTCGTTGACTCTGGGCTCGGGAGCAGCGAGTGGGATTGAATGTTCGGAAATTTGGTATTTAATGGGTTTGGCATGTTTTACTTTGTGGCTGTAGTCTTAATTTATTGCTGGTATAAATTACAGCGCTCGAATTATAAGATATAAGTAGAAGTAGATCTGGAGTGAAAGAAAGTTCAATGGGGTACGGTTGGTGATGAGTGTGAAGTGAAGGATATGTACGAGATATCTGTGAATCTCAATATTGACTACATTACTTTCTTTGTGTGTTGATTCAATATGCGAGAATATACATGCATGCCGCAACGAATTTACGCCACGGTTTTGGCAAGATTAAATGTTTACTTGCAGCTTGATATACAGATATTTTCATACACATCCCTCGACAAGCTACTGCTTAAAGATGTTTTTCCCCTCAGTCATTTGATATCACGCCACCTGAAAGGATAATCTCATTATCGTGTTGTTATGATGCTCCATAATTTGGTATGGAAATATATATCTGATCGTACAATGTATGTGCAGATAGATATATACTCCAGACTTACCTTTGATTTATTTAGTACAGAGTGCACGTACAGGTTTCTCTTGTTCTTCCTGCTAACAAGTGATAGTTCTTTAAAATAAAACAAAAAAGAATTTGTATACTACATAATTGGAATGAGATTCGCCAAAAACTGTACCTAATTCCGCCTGCGTATGTTGAAAAGTTATACTTGACTTCATAGCCTTAATAGTGATTGTCGGTAGCGACTTGGTGAAATGTGTTGCATCAAATTAACATGGTCCATTGATAAGAAAAATTTCGAATATGGCATACTAGAGCTTCTCATCGCATGGACTTCCATGGGAGATAGATAATCATTGCTGTGGATAGATATAATTAACCTTGGTCTGATGATATTCAAGGAGAGTATTAATAGAGCTTTGCCATTTCCCACCATTCTTACTATTTTCTCCCAGTCATGTTGAAAGCGTGCAATCTTACTTAAGATCTAAACGCCATGAACTTACATGAATAAGATATGACAGGTAGCCTCGCCATGATAGCGTGCGTGCGGAAGGAACAGGGAGAATGAGAATACAGTGAAAGCATGGATCGCTTGATACATGACAGCTGAAATTGATGGATAAGAAGCGGGAACCCGGGTCAGGCTGCAGCGAGAGTAAGAAAGCTGATGAGCCTCCTTTGCCTTAAATAGAAAAATACAGCTTTGATATTGTTCTACTTGCTTTCATGACTCTTACAGCGAAACCAGCGAACCCTACCAATCAATGCATCAACATCCAAGTGCGTATCTTCGATACGATCCGTCCATTGTCAAATAAGATGGCGTGTAGTACTAAAAGCTGAAAATGGATTATCGGGATCAAATGGATATTCTCCGAGCCCCAGGAATCGGCGAGGTGGCTTGAGGAGATGACCTTGATTGTAGTTTCAGATGTTTGTTTGAGGTTAGTGGGTCTGTCAACTTGTTTGTGATGGATCGACGATATCTCTGTATGGACCGGTATTATATTGAGGGGTTGTCGTGCGGAATGAGATTTGTCGGCTGCAAAACCGGGTTGGCGGGGAATCAAATGGGATGAGGTGGTAAGCATGCGGTATGGAGATAGAGAGGATGGTGAGAGGTTCAGAATGCGGAGATGAAGATGTGAGCCAGCGATTGGATAGATGTTGTTTTGTTGAGATAGCGAGACGCAAAGCATACTCACTCACGTATATTGAATGAGGGGTCCTACATGCGAACGCATAGAAAGGTAACTAGAGTAAGTAATATATACGAAGAAGGCCGGTGCATAATCTTCTGTGTATCCAAAACACTTTGGCATTATGTAGACATTGACGAAGATTGGATGGAACGTCTGTGTTCGCATATCCGAAGTTTTATCCCATCCATAACTCACCCGCAAGCGCAACTCATCCGTCTTTCACAGACTCCCGAGACTGTCAGACCCCTCGAGTCTTGGAAAATTAAGCTTTGGAATAAGTTTGTTTCAAGATGGTGTGTTCAGATTAGATTTTTCCGGTTTGAGTAGAAAGATATATTACGATGTGCGATTCTGGGAGATGTAATGAAGTCATCAAGGTGATCAACGGTTTCCATCTCCCCGTTGAGTGCGATTGGCCTGTCACCCCTGGATCAACCCTTGTGAGAGATTCAAAAATAAGTCCAAAGTATGTCGGCATATCAACGGCACAATACCTACCACCTTTTGATAATGAGGGATAAAGGGAAGGATAATGATCGTTACTTAGCTCGGGGCTTGATGAATGTGAATGTGCGTGCTTGCTTACACATTGAACAAGAAGACCACTGGTGGGCATCACTTATATTAATATAATTCATAAGTGTCAAGTATCTTGCCTTCCTGACTGACTGGCTGACTGGCTGACTGGTCAGATCCTCCGAATGGTTACGCGGCTTGCAAAGTTTGTGCGTATGTCGGTTCTGCATGTCGACGTAAGTATTCAGGACGAAACTGCTCGTGAGTGGGGGGAACACATACTTTGATAGGAAGGAGAAGAGAGTTCGAGTGAAGACGCGGAGAAAACGTGGTTGGAATATTAGTTGGAGACGCCGCGTTTCCTTGGTGGGGATGGAGATGGAGATGGAGATGGATGGATATCGATGATACTTCGTACCTGCCCAGGTAGTAAGATCCGCCCGTGATAGTATCATCTTTCTTGCATTGCATTGGTTGGAAGATTTTGAGGGATTTCCTCGGATTGTGACTGGATGAAAGGGCAGTTTGATATGTAGATGGTAGATGGTAGATGGTAGATGGTAGATGGTAGATAGTAGATGGTAGATGGTAGATAGTAGATAGTAGATAGTAGATGCATAGGTCATAGATCATAGATTCCAATGATCTGAAAGTATCTTGGTTATACGAAGTAGCCATAGTCATAGCTATAGTCATTCATAGTCATCGTCAATGTAAGCTCCTCCATATTGAGATACAGGAACGGATCCTCTGCATCTCATCATTCGTTGACTTTGCCTGCCTGCCTGCCTGCCTGCCTTTACAATAATACCATACGATGATGAAACTGTCAGTGGAAAAAGTTACCTTTTCACAGCCTCCCAACCATCATCACATTGCGTATTCCAAGTGTAGATTTCTCCTTGACTTCATACGATTATCTACAGGGATGATTCGTCACTGAATTCGGCCCATTCCTACCGTTTTAGTGTCAAAGTCTTCACGACGCATACGATACAGTAATGCCAGTAATGCTAGTAATGCTAGTAATGCTAGTACCACCGGCCTTATATCGCCATGGTTGGTTATAATGATAAGCTTGCCTTGCTGGAAAGAATCACCCAATCCCATCCAGTCCGATTGACGAACTAGATAAATACATAAAAGGAAGACAAAAGGATTAAGACATTCTCTACCAACTACTCTACTTACTTCATGGACTTTTGGTTAAACGAGCAAAGATCAAAGAGAAAGAGAGAGAAAAAAAGGTTCACTGGGGACTCATTTTATTACGAAAGAGATCAACAATTATAAGAGGTCGATCAATGACAGTGCAAAGTATACCTCTATCTCCATACTGGTATCATTTTGAATAAGTGTCTGCCAGTTAATTATTCGAAACTTGGTACGTATATATCTACTTTTCAATCCCCCCCCATTCTCTTACTCCTTTCCATACAATCCGATCCACTCAAAGTCTGTCCTTTACTCTCAAGTTATAAATATCTTTTCTACCTTACTCCAGCTTGAGTATCGAATCGAGGCTCATCATTTTTTTTTCAATCACTTCTAGTCTCATATCAAACGCTAGCTATCTGTTGGTTCCGCAATCCATTATCAAACACGCCTATGTGCGTTACCATCTTGGCATTGAATTGACTACCCAAAAATTTCCTGGAGTCCGGCCTATTCAGCGACCCAGAACCTCTTGACGAGAACATTTCACCATACGTTAAAAGATAATTCTCGGGATAAGGGACGAATTCGTTCGGATAGTCGAGATATTGTGTATCGATTTACTCGGCAGATACAACTTCTGCCAATTTGCGCAAAGATGTTGACCTTCAGGAGAGCTTTAATAGCTGCGGCTTTCTTCCTTACCATGATATTTCTGGTAACACGAACCCACAATCAACCCACACCAAACGATATATTATTACAAGACACGAGTATACCAAAAGCAGGAGAGAAGGAGGAAGCGGATTTAAAAACAAAGCCAGGCTCATCAGCCTCGACGGATGCGGTTCCATCTACACCAAAAAAGGATACCCAAGTTTCCCAAACACTATTACAAGATTTGTCAAGAGCACCTCTGCGAGAAAAGCTCGCATATCAATTTCCATATGACGTAGAGACGAAGTTTCCGGCATACATTTGGCAGACGTGGAAATACACACCAGCATCTGGAGAGTTTGGGGAAGCTTTTCGTCCTGCGGAAGCAAGTTGGTCGGAAAAGCACCCGGGATTCGTACATGAAGTCATCACAGACGAAGTCGCAGTCCATTTGTTAAAGCATTTATATGCTTCTGTGCCAGAAGTTTTAGAGGCTTACAATTCCTTACCTATGCCTGTTTTGAAAGCCGATTTCTTCCGATACTTAATTCTGCTGGCCAGAGGTGGAATTTACTCTGATATTGATACCCACGCATTGAAACCTGCCCCCGAATGGCTTCCCGAGAGTGTGCCACGCGAAGCTATTGGATTAGTAGTTGGCATTGAGGCAGATCCAGACCGTCCAGATTGGCAAGAATGGTACTCTAGAAGAATTCAGTTCTGTCAATGGACAATTCAGGCAAAGCCTGGACATCCTGTGCTCCGCGAAATCGTTGCCAATATCACTCAACAGACTTTGGACATGAAGAAACGCGGAGCTCTCAAGAAATTCGATGATAAGAATGTTGTAACATTCACCGGTCCCGCTTTGTGGACAGATACTATTTTCGACTTTTTGAACGATGAGAAATATTTTGACATGACGACAAGCAAGGGAAACATCACATGGAGAGATTTCACAGGCATTATATCAGCAAAGAAGGTTGGTGATGTGGTTGTTTTACCCATTACGAGTTTCAGTCCTGGAGTTGGACAAATGAATGCAAACGATTATGATGATCCTATGGCTTTCGTGAAGCACGACTTCGAAGGTTTGTCTGGTAGATCTCTCTATAATAAGCACATCAACTAACCTGATCATTTAGGCTCTTGGAAACCCGAGAACGAACGACATGTCGGGGCGAATTAAACAAATATTCGCTTCCCGGCGACAGATACTTTTCCTTACAAAAAATTATGAGCACGTTGCACATACACTAGCCGATTTCGAGCGAGCATCAAATGCATGAGTGGCACATTGACGAGCACAATGGGAGGCTTTTCTTTTCTTTTTTTGTTTGATGGGAAAACATAGAATGGTTGTCCTTAAAAAATACCTCTGCGTTTGCTTTTATTCTATTAGCATGGAGTTTGATTTGAGATTTGGGATATTGGGATACAGTTTCTTTCTTGCTTGGATGGTTGAAGAAGAGTCGAGGGGAAAGTAAAGTATGTGTATGTGGAAGCAGGCCCCGAATTTTTTTATGTTTGGCTGTAATGCCAAAAGCAGAAGACATGGATTTTCAAGAGCTGAGATACGTGTATTATTGGATTTTTGCACTTCTGGATGTTCTTGGGAGGTGGAATAGATGGTGGAATCGCTGAAGCAATGTTGCGACCTGCTTGGGATACGGATAAAATATCTTTAATGAGTACTCCCATAGGAGGATTCGGAGGTGGGTGAAGAGTCCACGGTGGTGGAGTTGTATATATAGTTGTACTATTGGTATTGTGAATAAGGAGAAGGAATCAATAAGTCGAGGACCAAGCAATCATCATGACATGCCACTTTGTTTCTCCGAGACAATTTTTCTTTTGCATTTTATCTCTGGGATAAATTAAATATGACATAGATCTCAGATCTAATATGTAGCCAAGACTCAGGGGTAACTTTTCCAGCAATAGAAATACCCGTGGACTTACAAAGATAAATTATGGGTCTGACTACGGTCGAGAGAGCGGAAAGTAGCGCGGAGCTTACCCCGCCTTTTTGGACCGAGAGCTGAATGAAGTACTTGTTGTACTTTTGTGCTTTAGTGGGACAGCATTTCACAATGTTTACATACATATTGGTTTGTTACATGTATGCCATGAGCTGAAAAGCTTTGGGCTTGATTTCGCAGTAAGTGACTTTCTTTATTCTAATAGATGATATGGCTTCTAGGTTGTGTATTGCGGGAGCGAAAACAGGAACGGAAGCTAGAGCTGGAATGCGGGGATGGAGACGTGGAGATAGTTTGGGGATTAGGTTGAGGAGCGAGATGGGGAGAAGCCTGGGAGGCGGAGTGAGAGCTGGGAGTACAATGAGGAGTAGAATTGGCTTTGCGTTTGGGTTTGGAATGCGCTTTCAAAGGAGAGGTCTTCTGACAGAGAGTTATAGTGCTGGACCTAACGAGGTAACTGGTTCCATTTCTTCCTTCTCCTTTCCCTATACTCGATACTCTCGCACCCCATTTATCTATCTTCAATCTCTTATAACCACCAAGTTGACGACCCGTTTCTTCTCAGCCGCCGCTTCTCCAGCATACTGTTCCCCAACATTTCCGCAGCATCGTCAACTCTCATGGTGACAACCTTGCGCTCATATCTCGCTCCCAAAATAAAAAACTTACATATCGAGAATTGGATGAAAAAAGTAACGTTATAGCATATGGGTTGAGAAATGTGGGTGTGCAGAAGGGAGATAGGGTAGCTGTTAGTCTGGGGAACGGATGGGAGTTTGGAGCAATCACTTATGCAATTTGGAAACTAGGTGCTGTGTTGGTAAGTTGAGGATTAACAAAGTGAATCTCAGGAAATGTAGAGATGGGTCTAAAAGATGGGGAGGTGCTAATCGCTGTTTGAAATAGGTACCCTTAAATCCAGCATTTAATACGAAACAAGTGGTGTCGGCCTTAAACCACTTAGCAGCGTCACACCTGATAATTGGCCATGAAACACATTTGCCGTTTAAGCCCCCCAGAGACAATACACCTTTACTGAAAGATATCATTGGGGATCTCAGGCAACTCGCGAATGAATTGAAGAGTGAAGCTGTTCCAAGTTTAAAGAACGTTGTTCTAGTGAAAGATCCGAATGATGAACTTGCGAGTTTGCCAGCTACAATTGATTTTCAAACGATGATCTCGATGTATGGATCAGATAAAGAGAAGGAAGTCGTTCCAAATCAGGAATTGCATAAGGATGATGTAATCAATATTCAATTCACATCAGGTACAACTTCGACTCCTAAAGCAGCTTGCTTGACCCATCATTCAATTCTCAATAATGGCTATTTTATTGGCTCACGTATGGCTCTCACACCATCAGATATAGTCTGTTGTCCACCTCCTTTATTTCACTGCTTCGGTTCTATTCTCGGATATATGGCAACCGCTACTCATGGCAGCACAATTCTGTTTCCCTCCCCTGCTTTCAATCCTTCGGCCACTCTTCTAAGCATCCAAGAAAACCAAGCCACAGCTCTTTATGGTGTGGCCACTATGTTCCTCGCCGAACTCGAACTCCTTTCTACTGGTACTATTCCTCATACTGGCTTTGAACATTTACGCACGGGTATCGCAGCTGGTTCTTCCGTTCCTAAATCCTTGATGGAAAAGCTTCATAAACAATTAAATCTTACGGGTCTAACAATCTGTTATGGAATGACGGAAACGAGCCCAGTTTCTTGCATGACGACTCCAACTGATCCGATGGAAAAACGAGTGAATAGCGTGGGGAAGCAGTTACCTCATGTATCTACTAAAATAGTCTCACCGTCTGATTTCAATGAAGTTCTGCAATTAGGTCAACGCGGTGAATTGGTTGTCTCGGGATATCTGGTTATGAAAGAATACTATGCAGACCCAGATCGTACCGCAGAAGTCTTGATCACCGATAAAGATGGGAGGGTTTGGATGAAGACGGGCGATGAAGCGAGTATGGATGAAGAAGGATATGTAAAGATTACGGGGAGAATCAAAGATTTGATTATACGGGGAGGAGAAAACATCCATCCGCTTGAAATCGAAGACTGTATCTTTGGTATGGAAGATGTGAGGGAGGTCAGCGTGGTTGGAGTTTCGGACCACAAATATGGAGAGGTCGTTTGTGCGTGGATTATACCTAGACAGGGCGTGAGTCGAGGGTCTGATGATGCGGGGGTGTCGAACGACATTATGGGTTGGGAAGCTTATGACAAACTTGTGAAGAACGGAATTAATGCCAGCAGCCATAATGAGAGCTTCAAAGTAGGAGCCGAAGCTAAAACCACGGAGGGAGAAAAGAGCCAAACCCCATCACTCACTAAAGAAGCAATTCGACACCATGTGAGGACACATTTGAGTGGGCATTTGGTTCCGAAATATATCTTCTGGATGGATGAATATCCAAAGACGGCTAGTGGAAAGATTCAGAAGTTTAAGTTGAAGGAGAGAGCGGAGTGGATCATTGGGAGTGGAGGAGAACAATAAGAAGTGGTTAGTCGATAGAGTAGATAGATATCTGAATTCAGAAAGAAAAATTCAAATCAAAGCTTTGCATAAGTACTCCTCTACTCTCACCACACGCACGCAAGAATACATAATTGCAATCTCCTTCTTCAAGGGTCGAGATAGGCCAATCTCGATATATGCAAACCTACAACGATCAAAACAATCTACCAATGTGCTTGAATCTGTCATCTCTTCATCATTGCCAAACCACATTTCCCATTGACCGTTGAAGTGATGAGTTTTGATCATTCTAGGATACAATAATAGTGCTCTGTATTGTACAATGAGCAAATAGTGCGTGCATCTTTACCATATCCATAAATCCAAAAGTAGAATTACATCTCCCTCGAAAAAATCCCACCACTAGATCCAACGTCACTCACTCACTCACTCAGTGAGTCACTTCAGAACAACGCGGACGGAATATCTCCAAAATTCTATGTTTCACAGTTCCACAATCATGAATTTAACTATCCTATACTATACCATCCCTCTCTCTTCCCCTCCCTCTAAAACGAATAGCCATTCCCCCCTCCCCCCGCTCCAATCTATTCGAGCTACTAGATCTCACTTTGTACATCATGCAGAAGAAATAGAGTTTGTAAGAATACCACAACCCCTGGATTTTCATTTCCATTCCCATATCGACTCGAGAACTTTTCTAAAATATCAAGCACATGTAAGAAAATTATCAATCTACAGAGTAACAGAGTAACAGAAAATCCATACAATCACAGCCTCTGCCTCCTTCCCTTTTCATCTTGAGCGTGTGCTGCTCTCCCTCTCCCTCTCGCAGTCCGGGTTCCCTTGCTTACTTACACTTACCACCCACCACAACATTCTTCAATACTGCATCATCCCCTGCTCTGTACAATCTAACCGTTCTCAATTGTCTAGAACGCATACAAAAAGCTCCTTTTATTAATCAGAAAACGCCGCAGAAGCTAGTGAGACATTGAACGTACTTTCGCGACTGCAAGAAACGAAAGCGTATTGTATAAATAGCACACGATAGTATTATGAGGAACATGTTTCATTCTACCTGAATAAAGTTACAAGTGTAATAGTATCCTTCTATACATGTGCTTAAATATATGCTCCTGTAGGAATTCTTTAGTCGCTTCTATCTTCTGTCCTTCAACAGATCAAAGATTGAATGGACAGAATGAACCCATGAATCAATTATTTTCAAAAGACGTCCGAGTGAAACCTAGAACGGGCCACCGTTTGGTTAGTAGTGAGCCGTGATGCTTGCATAAGGAGCTTGGTAATAATGATTGAGGTTGGTGAAGTGGTAGCATGCTTAGATAGCCAGTACCGGTGTAGGGATTATCTTCAAATCAAAGCCTAAAATTCGCTATGTTGCTTGCTCAGACTTCATTTCTTGATAAACATCAATCGAAATATCAGCGCGGAGATCGTATATTGTCCAATCATAATAAGACAGCGATATAATACAATCCGTTATCCAATCACAAGTTTATATCACCGTGTATTATGCTTGATCTTCTCAACTTGGAGCTTTGGGAGAAGTAGTGATTTGATGTGTTTGGACTGGTTGAGTCTTGGACCCTCTAGCGAGATCCTCGCTACTCGTGACAGTAGCGGTAACCTCCTGGATAGCTGCCGAAGCCTCGATAACAGTGGTTTTAGAGGTGAAAGTAGTAGCAGTTGGGTCTATACATCGTCCGAACCATCCATAACTCTTACAAGATGTCGAGATTATTGTTGTCGTTGACGTAAACGTTGTACTCGCACTGCCTTCATCTAAGCAACCCCACCAGCCGGGACTTTTGCAAGTTTCGGTACGAGTCCTTGGCTTTGACGTTGTACTTGCAATAGTACTTGATGAAGTAGAGTGAGGACCCTTTTCTCGTTTCCAATTGAAGCAATCAACGCAATCGGTCTCGGCAACACACGGTGGGGCTTCATCATACTTCTTGTATACATTTCTGATGGAGGCTCTAATTCCGTGAGTCGATAGAGATACACTCCAGCCAAAATCTGTAACAACATCGTAGACACATCGCAATCCTGCATGACACGTCGACTCGAGGGCATAACCAGCAAAAGCACAAAGTGATGTAGCCCCATTACACGTACCCATATATACTGGATCAGCGGTGTGTCCGAAATTCCAGATACCTACATTATCACGAGCTTCAGAGGCCGAATTGTATCCTGGTGGAGTAGGAAGAGCCAATCGAGAGATTGCTAATTCCTGAGGAACCGACTCAAAGGTCAGTACAGGATGGCCAAAAGTTAATGCAACGAGAGTAGTGACAAGTCCTCCAAGAGAATGACCTGTCAACCAAACATCGGCGTTGGGATATTCCTCTGTAATGTTTCCATAAAGTTCCACGGCAGCTTGATAATAACGATTCGGTTTCTTTAATGCTTTAGAAACACACATTTCGTTGCAGGTATATGTTGCCGTCATACAATCACATACTTTTCGTAGCCCCCATCCACCTTGTCCACAGCAACATCCCGCAAACAGATTATCATTCTCCTTATCATTTGTAGTTGTTTCCGCTCCATCGAATACAGCTGAAGTTGTACCCTTCAACGCGATAACGATTGTAGTATTTGTATCGTCGGCATAAACATGGCCCCGCAGACCATCCGATTCCCATCCAATGGAAGATGAAAGATTGAAGGGAGGTTTTACGTCTTCCCACTGAGGGTCATCTGGAGTTCGCTGATATGTGTTTGCTGCCATGACGGCAAAATTGACCACAGTGGATTTGTCTGTCACATTTGGCGCCGACACATCATCAACAGACCATGCCGATGCAGGTAAATCGGCAGGCCATTGATTGAAAGCTTCTATATCTTGTACACTTCGCTTTCGAAGTCTGTGGATGCCTATTGGAGCTGTGTAAAGGGTAAAAGGTCCAACTTCAGATTCGCCATCGCTAACTTCGAGCTGGTGGGCCGCTTTCTTTATCTTCTCGGGATTGATTCTGAGCCGTCGATGTAACCCAGGGTATTCTTTGGTTCCGCGATGATACACACTTCGCAGAGTGAGGGTTCGACTCTGACTAATAGCTGCATCGCCTCCCGAGCTTTTGGGTGGTGAGGTCCATTGTCGTAACGGAGCTTGAATTGATGGTAGGAATGGCACCTGGAAACCTTCAGCCCAATAATTATTCCATCCTGATACCAGAATAGAAGTATAAATCAGTGGGATTAAACACAAGGAAAGTAGTAGCATCACGAATTATTATAAGTATGATAATGCATGCATGTACGAGTATGTAATTGTTTAGATTGATGATAAACTCTTCTCAGGTGAAGAGGTTAATGAATGAATGCACTGAGACATTCTAGGTAAGCCTCGGTATGATAACTTACCCCAGATATCAACTTTTAGGCTTTCCAGTTCCTATTGCAAAGAAACGCATTCAAGTCGATTTGTCCAATAACGTTCAATATTATCAAAATCTAAATCTCGATTTTTTTATAGATATTCTCAACATAGATAAGGTTAACGATCCAGCCGTTGGAGAAGGTTATCTATCATCTTAGACCCATCAGCATCCCAAACGTTTTCCTATAATCACCGACATGCCCCTTTATTGCTGCCGTCAGGCATAGTATGCGCTTGTCAATTCACCATTTCACGAGTTCTACATTACGCAGAGCAAAGAGTCCTTGTATTAATTGATTAGGACCAGTAAGATTTGTACAGTTAGAATCTAGTCCTCCAGAACGTCATTCATTCATTCTTTTCCTGAACATTGCAAAAAGCTGCAGCTTCAACCGTTATTCATCTCATTACACACCGTCCATTGGTCTACCATCACAGCACTATAGCGAATAGAAATCCAGATAAAACGTGAAACGAAAACTAGTAATTAAAAAGCCATGAGTAGCGATGGCGTAATAGCATCTAAATTTGTGCCACCTATGCCGTTTTGCGAGATGATTGAAACGATTATATGTGCCAATGATCACACCATGCCACCGACCGACTGACCAACCGAACCGCCATGCGTATTATGTTTCCTTACGACCCAGCCCGAAACGAATATGAAGTCCTCAAACCCTCCACAAAACTAGAATGAAACCGATCCCAATCGTACAACTCAGGCCCGCAAACGTGCGAACAGAGTTTCAAAGAATGAAATAACAGACTACTGCCACCCTGAATTATTGAAATGGCACGCTCTTGAAGCTAAACAACCTTTCCTAAGGTTCCCAATTTTGACATGCAATTTCCTATTGCTGTCAGCAGTCAATAAAGAGGGCAAATTAAGAGGTTTCCCTCTATGAAAGTCGGCCGTTGTCCCGTGGTTAGGTCATCCGTCTTCAGAAAGAATGGCCAACAGCTGCTAGTAAATGACCACGGTTTTGGACGTCCTGCGTGGATATGTTTTGTGAGGGCCGATTAATGATCAAGTATTTTATCCTGGATTTGAAACGATGCAAGAAAATGTTGAGTGCTGAGGCCAGGCGAGATACGACAAAATACGCCAAGGTGCAGATAGTCTTCGGGGGGCTCAGTAGCCACTTTGGATGATTTGTGTCTTGTCAGAGCAACGCACAACAACCTTCTGTAACCCATGGAAAGGTCAGATGTTCTGGTGTTCCGGAACGCGATGAGATTCATATGGACAAGGCGACGAAAAGAGATTTGATTAAGCCGATTGGTCCATGATACACACCTGAATCGAACGAACACAACGGAGGGAATATCGAAGAATAGCACGTCCGATGGTTTGAACTTCTGAAATCCAAGAGACGGAAGTCCGCAAGGGTAGCAATCCAGGTCCAAATGAAAAGGCCAATCCAGAGAGGTCCCAAAACCGGATGGTTTCACTGTACCTGTGCTGTGAGACCATGCTTGAAAGTCAGTGATGAAAATCCATGGTCGGGTCTTGACCACAAAAGGATCCATGACATGGAGTGGATGGGCATTGTTTTGAAGTGTTGAAATTATCCTTTGAATGGCTGCTGTCGATGTATATACAAACTCCTCTACAATGCTGCCTGAACCCAGACCTGAATGCTCTAACGAGTATTAAGATACTAACCAAATCACGAAACGTGGTATGGAGGAAAAACCAGCCGGCGAGGCTTCCGGAAATTTGGGTCCAAGACAGCAAAGCAAGTATGAGGGATGGTATCCTAAGATAATCCAGAAACTTTCAAGAAAACATAAACTCATGATGCGCCCCAACGGCCTGTGCGCGTGCAAAAACTGATGCAACTGACAGATGAAAGATGCAAGAAGGCAAAAACACATCCATTATCCTCATTTGGTCCTTCGAAGCTCATAAAGCCCGGGATAAATGCTCTGCACATGCAAAGTTCATGATAAAACATCCGCGGTAATTCTCCGATAATACATTCCGTATTCGGTCCAGTTGGTAGTAGTCTAGCGATGGGTATGATAGAAAATCCTGGTAATATAAAGACCATACCTCGATATCCAAGATGCAATACCTATTGCATTCTTGGCTTTTAATTAAGATTCCGATGAAGTCGTAAAGTAACCTTTGTCTCGTCTGGATCCATAATATAGGAGCTTCCTTTGGTCCAGTGTTCCAGTAAATCCAGGGAATAAAGCAATGAAAAAAACGCCAGAACATGATAAAAGTACGAGGAAACAGTATCGCACAAATCAATTACGTCCCAGAGACAAGATCAATTCCTGCGGCGCTGGTGATGTCTGTCACGGTCATCCCTACTGTCCCGGTCACGCGGTCTTTGAGATGAAGAAGTGGCGGTGCCACTTCGTCCAGATGGCATTGGCTGAGAGTATGATACAGGTTCCTGGTATGACGAGCCTGGTTCAGTATATCCGGCATCTTGCATCTGGTAATCTGAACTTTCCGGGTATGCTCTGCTATCGTATATCTCCGGGGTGGATTCATAATTGCCTGATGGAGCAGCTAAATTGTTAGATTACGTTCGTTTGCGAGAATAAGAACAATTAAGAAAATAGATGCACTTGGGCGTACGCACCACGACTACTATAGTAGGGATCTGTTGGTGCATGGGCGGCATATGCTGGAGTTGATGCAGGTGGTCCAGACTGGGAGTAGTACTGCGTTGCAGGTGCTTGGTAGGATGTGCTAGGTGGGTATTGAGTCCTAGGAGTTGACTGAGGAACAGATCCGCCGCGGCCAGCGGGTGGTTCAGCAACAGAATAATTGGATCCGTGGATATAAGTCCTGGAGTCATGAGGGTATCCTTGGGTAGAAGGAGCATACGGTTGTGATGATGGCTGGGTGTAGCCATCATTCTGGTAGCTTGTGGGCTGACTGTAACCCGCCGAGTAACCCTGGCCACTTGGTTGATATGATTGGGAACTGGGCACAGCAGCCGATGGTGAATTATACATCCCTTGTTGTGCAGCAGGACGAGGCTGTGTTGCATCCATTCTATCCATTCGAGCAATAGATTGATCGAGTGCATTTGAACTTCTGTAGTCCACTACTATAGGGGTGTTAGATTTTCGAACCATCTCGTTCGAATCCCTTAAAGAGATACCATTTGTAGGGTATTGTGCATTCGATCTAGCAAGTCTCTCAGCTCGCCAGTCTGCAGACGCCTGCTTTAAGTCAAATATCATTGCCTATACCCAGAATTCATCAGCGACATCACTTAATCGATATAACGCGACATTACATTTGTAAGATTCCTGTAAGCTGTGATCACGTAGACAGGCTTAAGTTGTTTCGTCCTCGGGTCCTGTAGGTGAAGGCATTAGTTTTCCATGGCAGATTCAAGTCTGAAAATTTTGGAGGCGGCTACTTACTTCCACGTCACCCGGTTTGACGAGAGCATCGTTACCAAGATACCGGCAGATATCGGCCGTGATAACTTCTCTGTCAATACCTTCAGCGTCAATAACAAACTGGCCTGTCCTGCCAACAGATGAGTGTGGTGGCTGTGGTTGCGAGCGCGAAGCTCTGCTATCTCTATCGTCACGTCGCGACATGATGATGGGCCAGGAAAAAGTTGGTGGGAAGAGAAAGAGAAGGACCAGAAGTGAGGATTTTGGAATGCAAATCACACACAAGTCAGCCTAGGGGATAAATGTGGTAGCACACACAAAATAACCGGTGACAAATTGGATAGTCAGAAAACGGCCTAGAAGAAAATCCTGTTTAGAGAAGTGGAAAACTTTCTCAATACCCGGGGAGGGGGGGTATGAGCGGGAGCCTCGAGAAGAAGTAATCCTGTGGAAGTAAGAGAAAGGATCGGTTGGTCCTGAGTAACTCTGAAGTTTGGGAAGCGTATAAGAAGAGAGAGTAAGATTTGAAAAGGTCCTATCCAATCCCAGAGGGTAGTAACGCAGAAGACGCGGAAGCTGGTATAATAATGTCGTGTAATATGAAAGTCGTACTCCAGGAAGAGGCAACTAAACAATTTAACCTTCTAGACGAATGATGACTGGGATATTTTCTCTGAGCTGGCGATTTACTTGTTCCCCTTGTGTGGTCTTTTTCTTCGATGGTAGTTGTTTTGACTCTCGTCTTGAAGACTCACTCAAAAGAAGAATTGATTTTTAGATAAGACGGTGAGAGAGGAAGAGTGGGAGAAGGTGGCAAAAGCGAGAGAAGGCTGGGTTTGCGAGGGGTGGTGTGTCGAATGTGTGTCTTTTTTAATTCCCCCCCGGTCGACTGTAACTGTAGCTGAATATCCGTTTAGGAATGGTGCAGTTATAATGGTTTTAAACTGGCCGCTTTTAATTATCGCGTACAGCCCAACCAGTCAAAGGAATAACTATGGAATAATTGGACAACAACCACCAGCTGTATAAGAATGCGTGGAAAATTAAGAGATTTGTGACGGGATTATGCTTATTATTCTGTTTGGGGAGGAAGATCTTTTTCAACTGATTTTTTAAAATGAATTTGAATTGAATTGATCTGGGTCGATTCGTTTCGATCTGATTTTTCAATATTCAAGAAAGTGATTGAATCTTCTTTTTGTTGAGGAGGAAGAGAAAATAAGAGGAGGAAGAGCAGGAAAGGTCTCTCTCTTTTCTTTTTAGATTATCCAAGGTAATTAATACTGATCGCTATGGAATGCAGTCACAATGCCAAATTCTTGTTCTTGTAGTCAAGTACTGTGGACGGGATATGACGACTAGCAAGTGCAATGCAAAGCCAAATGTGGGCAGAGTGAGCGAGCCAGCCCTGTTTTCTTAATCCTCCGAGGTACTTTCGCACGGGAGTATATAAAGGAAGGATGACTGGAATCTGGAATGGGTCGACAAGTGTGGCGTAAGGTTGGATATGGTAAGGCGGAAGATAGTGATGGCACCGATGGGGTTTCAAAGAGGGGCAGCAGCAACAACGGCGGTGGCAACTTAAGGGAAGGATACAGCTAGATAGGTTTAAGTACCTAGGTATGTACGGATATAGAGATAGAGATAGAGATAGGGATAGGGATAGAGGCAGGGATATAGAGAGAGAGAGAGAGAGATAAATATGCCTCGTTATAGCTAAGGCGTATGAAGAAGTCTCAAGGTGGTCAATAGTAGACTAATTAAAAATTAAATTTCGTATGGTTTATTCAAAGTTTTATATCTTCATGTCAGGAGTATAGTGGAAAATGTCGACATGAATCATTAAAAAAAACTCTAACCAAAAACCTTCTTTTTGTTAAGGGCATCTTTGGGTATACTTATTAGAAACCTGACACCAAACAAATCGATATCTCGCCCTACCATTAGCTCATCAATTCATCAACCGATCATAATCTCCAATCTTCTCAAGCCTGAACTATTGGATCCAGCCAGGGATCAAAATCCAGTCTATCACAGTACCGTTCCACGATGATTCGGTCCTACGACCCACGACCCAACGTAAATTCTGGGTTCTGGGGAATATAGACTCGCCGAATTTGCCAGAAAGTGGAACTCCTTTCCTTGCTACTACTGTACTACAGCGGGAAAGTAGGGAAATAGATGGATGGCACAATGAGGGTGTAAAGTGATCGAAGATGACGCGTGAATACATCAGAGGAGAATATCCATCCTGTAATGAGCGACGCCGAGGTTCCCTTTGACCAATTCTTCATTTGTTGCAATCAAATTGTTTGGTCAAATCTGTATCGAAAGCTTCTTACCTACCTTGACCTTACATGAAATATGCTATGCGATGCGATGCCCTGTGCTATACTTACTACCCACACATGTTGTGCACAGGATTCTTCCTGTCATATCACATTAATAACTCAATCCACTAGACCAAGGAACCAATAGAAGATCTGAGATTTGACCCCCAATTCCGAACCTCGAATTGCACAACAGAAACAATCAAGGCTTGAATGTTCTGTGAAGAACGGACAGGAACTGGAACAGGAACTAGAGATCGCGATGGTGATGGTGACGGTGATGGTGATAGTGAATGAGATCCAAAAAAGCAAAGGGCAGCCAGCGATTCCTGCAGTTTTGCTGGCAAGGTTTGTGATCTTGGTAGTTTGGGTGGTCTGTGATTCTTTTGTGGCGCGAATTCAATCGGGTTGGGTATTGATGCATCCCAGCCTAACGCAAGCAAAATGCTGCCTAACCCATATAAACTTCAATTTCACAGGTTCACAATCGTTCCATGTTAATTTTCATTTGTCTTTCGAGAAGCCATCATGATACTTTTAGACATGGATTAATTTAAGGCACATTGACAACAAATCCATGCGACTGGCGTTTGTAGATTGTCTAGAGTCACTATAGGCCTACCGATAATCCGATAATTTTTACTCTTTTAATTCTTCTCACAACCACGAGGCTCTGGATCTCTTTGCGTCTTACTGTATATGTACGGTAGGTGATGATGTACCCTGCCGATCAGGATATCTGACGAGAGACGAACGACTCCAATTTGGTAGGGCTAACGGCATGTCTTTCATCCCATCCAAATAATGGTGCTTTGTGTGGGTGAGACATTATCTATTGTTCTTGATGCCTTCAATATTGCGCATGACCGTCCTGAAGATCCAAGTACGAGTGTTGCTTGTTAAATCTGACAGCCTGGATCCATGGCAAGCCTGCTTATCATTTGCAAGGCCACAATATGGCCGGGTGGCCGGCTCTAGCTGAACCTCTAGAAGAAACACTATCGCAATGATGGTCGTTATTGCATTACTCGTAGCTTCGAAAAGATCATATACTACGAATGCGTTATCCAATGGAACTCATACCGCAAAAATGTGTTTGTACATCCGGACATCACGTTGCATCTAGAATGTGCGATCCCGGTGAGCATATTGTTCCAGTTGCACAGTATATCGGAGCATAGTCCGAGCATGAATTGGCCGTCTTCTGGAACTATAGGGCTCTTCCCATCAGCATGAGTGTTAAAATCTCGGCGCATTCACCTAGAAGTTAAAGGTATCGTGTGGCACTTCAGGATAGGGTGAAAACGCGGTCGGTGAGAGTTGTTTCATCTGTTTTTCATTATCCAAATGTCAACTTGCTTTGACCCTTTTCCGGTCGGCTACCACGTCCATTGCCTCGTTTCTTCGATGCCGCACCCCTTTTGTTGGCGGAGGAAGGAGTAGGAGCTGGCGATGTACGCCGTAAACGATCCTCGTCATGAAGATCTTTAGCGAAATGCCAATCTTGGTGACTCTGAAATGCCTCCGCACAATCCAGTGCCTGATTGCAACGGGTACATAGAAATTCTGTAATTTGTGATTGTTTTGGGATGGAGGGATTGGCTGATGTTTCTGGCCTTCTAGCCGCCTCATTCTCTTGCGGTAAACGTGCAGCCTTAAAATCCACTTTAGGAAGCGAATGCCCCTTTTTCTCATATACAATACCTGGCCCGGCTAAATTCTGCTCACCGCCGAAGTCATCATCGTGCTCTTCGACGCTATCTGTCTTGACGAAGAATTTCTGGATTCCTGCATCAAGTATACGACGTCTCTTTTCAGGTCTCTCTGCAGATACGTTCGGCTCTCGCGGAGCTGGATTGTTTAGAGTCCTGGCTTCATCGCCTTTGACCAAAAACGCCCCGATACCCATGTTACCTGTGGGCACTCCATCCTCAAAACCGCCGACACTTAAACTCAAATTCGAACAAGGCCATACCCTCCCATCAAGCATGATTTGATTTAGAAGTGTCTTGGCAAGTTCAAAAAGGAGTATCTCGTCCATCTGCTTTCCTTGCGGAATTGGCGCTTGTCGAGATTTGCTTTGGGCTCCATGTTTGTGGTGCAAATTGATCGTCTTGGGCCTTCTCTTGTTCTCTAGAACCCCCTCCTCCACTAATCGGGATTGTATATCCGCCGCAAAGATGCGGAGCCACCTGTTAGCCTGCTCGGGAGTGTTGATACTAGGTCGAAACGATTTTGCAGATAACATTGACTTTATCTGAGTTCGTGAATTGATATCACTGACATCAATTCCACGAATGACGTTGTAAATCCGCGTCCCGGTTTCATCTCCTAGTTTTTGTTTTAATTGCTCCATGGGAACAAGTAACAGATCATTGACCATATCTGTATTAAATAGCTTGACCACTTCCTCACCTGTCTTGCCTCCCAAATTTCTAATCTTAGTAAACTTGAAGCCTGATAAAAATTGCTGAATTGCCCGATTTCGGACAACAGTTTGTTGATTTGGCTTCTTATGCGCGGAACCCAATTTGGAAAGCATTTTGTTTTGGGCAATGCCGGCCGAACAAGTATATTTGAGTTTCTCACGTATTGCGGCCCGAACTGTGCGTACGATTTCAGAACCAATCAGCATTGCTATATCATCCCAATCTGGGTCATCAGTTTCCGCTTCATCGTTATCTAGATCCACGAGTGCATCCGCTTTCCAGTCGAGAAAAGTCGTGGGGGGTAGCGGCAGTTGTTCCGTCAAATCATCGTAAGGAGCAGGACCTCTCAACTCAGGATATCTCTCCAAAAGCGTCGCATGGACCTGGGCAGATAGATCCATGAAGACCTCATCTACACTAGCTTTCTCTACTCTTTGCAACTCTTTGGGTAGACAATCTTTTATACAAGCCAATATTCGTTTTGATTCGAGTCTGTAAGGATCGAGAGAGACTTTGTGTGTAGCAATATTCTTAAAGGCATCGTCGTGATATGCCCATTTTTCATCGCCTTCGCGCCAAGTCGCAACATGTTGACATATGAGATCTGGACAAAGCTTCTTTGCTTCTGTAATAGTTACGTGCCGGTTGAGACCAAATGCCCTGGCTGGATAATTGATAGCTATGAGACCTTGCCTATGTTCAACCCACGTATTAGCTTCAGCAGGCCCTCCAAAAGTATGATGGTCGACCATCCATTGAGTAAAGAATCCTCACCATTGTTGTACAGCTAATGGTTTGTCCTCCTCAATTCCTAATCTTACCATCTCAACCTGCGCATAAAATGCGTCAAGGTCGAGATGTGCGACCACCCTCAGAGGGCATGACGTAGCAGAAAGAGCCAACTGTGCGAGGTGCCTATACGTAAATTGACTCTTTTTGCGACGCGATGGTGAGGCTTGCAGAGGGGATGATTGCATAAAAGGTTGCGGAGAAGACATGACTCTGAATTTTCGCTCGAGAAATACGATTTTGGCGTAGTAAATTCGCTATTCCGTGACCATGTTTTGTACGTGCGACAATAGAAGTAAGGAAAAGATCCTCTGAGCCCGACAATTAGACTCGATATCATGAAGCGACTACACAGTGCTCTTTTTCCTTGTAATGTCCAATCCGGAGTTGGACCTCAGGACAGAATGAAGGGTATTTGTTAAGATGTTACGAACTTCGAAGGAAATTCTATATGTACTGAAAGGATGATAATGATACTCTCATACATCTGCCACTGGATAGTGAAATGACATTGAGTCTTACCTGTGGATAAAAGAACTTTTTGGTAAAGCAATCCAGCATCCAGCTCAACCGTTGACCAAAGAGATTGATGGATGGTGTAGACGCGTTAAAGTGTATTTTCCATTTTCTTTGTAATGGGAGACGTGACTGCGCGATGTACCGCGCCTTAGAACTATTTTCCGTGCTGATGTCATGACTCTGTAGTGGAGTAGAGCACTAAGTCGGATACCCCACTTTCGGGCCACCCTTTTACATCAAAAAACACTTTTTTAATTTATTAATATCTCTATTGATATTGAATATAATTTAATAAAAATCTATATATATATATATAATTCAAGCTATTTCAATCCTGTTCTAAAAATTTCATATTTTTAGGATTTTTGTGGATCGATTTCCGGGGCTTCAAAATATCGATTTTCAATTTGTATAGAAATCATATACAAATTTGAAACTTTATAAAATCTATAACAGCTTTTAAGAAAAAATAGCTAAAAATAAATTATAAAATTTTATAATATATTTATTTTGAAAGATTCTGAAAAAATAGAAAATTCCTTATAGATAAATATTAAAGGGGTACTCTCAAAATTGCAGGGATTATTTATACTATTCTAAACTCACTATATACTATTTCTTTATATCTATTCTTTTTTTTTGGAATTTTTTTGAATTTCTATATAGATTCAGATTTGAAATCTTCAAAAATATATATAAATTTTTTTTAATTATTATTGTTAAAAAGTTATTAAAGATTATAGAAAAGTTTTAAATTTGTATATGATTTTCATGCAAATTCGAAAATCGATATTTTGAAGTTCTAAATCTTAATCCAAAAAAATCCTAAAATTCTAAAAATTCTAAAAATTCTAATATAAATCCAAAATGGTTTGAATTATATGAATATAAATTTTTATTAAATTACATTCAATATTGATGGAGATATTAATAAACCAAAATAGTGATATTTGGTGTAAAAGGGTGGCTCAAAACAGGGGTGGCCCAAAAGTAGGGTGGTCGACTTAGGTAGTAGGTACGAGGGTACCTACATAGTAGCTTATGATATTGTACCTCACGAACTCACGAACTCACATATATGATATATCTCCTTTATTGTACATTTTGTATTCATATCTCCCTATTTATTTCAACTTATTTACTTTGATTTCTTTCATCGGACTTTCAACTGTATTCAATAATTCGAATTAACCATGTCTTTTCTACGCAACCCCGCAGCTCTCTTTGCTCTAAATCTCACTACTTTAGTAGGTGTTGTGGGAAGCACCTACAACTTAAGATCGCATATGGTGGAGCTCTCGGAGGATCATGAAGCAAGAATGGTACGTAGGAGATCTATTTCTTTTGGGTTGGCAATGTTATCATTGCATCCAGGGAAGGCTGGTTGCTCAGAGGCCAGTATCACAGCATCACAGTATCACACTGGAGGATACCCATCACCCGGTACAGGGGATTGTCTGTAGTTGGCACAATCTCCGTTTTATCAAATCAACTATCAGTCTAGCATCCAGTTACAAATAAGATTCATGGTTTTCACTGTAACCATCCGGTTGTACATGCCTTGACAGTCCATACTTACATCTTATTCCGGCCTCGTACATCAACGGCCATACTGTTAAGCTCGACTCGATAGCCGTTGTCGAGCGAGGTTTACAACTGAGAAATGATTAGCCTCCAACAAATCATCAGACGTTGGGTAGACCCATGAAGATACTGGCCAATTTGAGATTCTTATGCTTCCTCTTCACCCAACCATGTTTCTTGTCCCAGATTTTTGCGCTTTGAATTGAGTGATCTTCACTTTGTTAACACATCTTCTGCAGGATGAGTTGGAGGGTACCTTGAGAGGACATATTGGACTTATCGAAGACGCTCTTGATAGATTAGAAGGGAAGCCAAATGGAAACAAGATGTAAGACCAGACAAGATATTTCTTGAAAGAATTGAAATGTTGACATGGTTCTCTAAAGGGAACAATATTATGGGAAGAGAGCTAGGGATGAGAAGAAAACTTAATTAGCCGGCAGATAAAATCTGACCTCAGCATTCCCAGTTGAGAGGGCATACATCAAGTTTCGGATCTGTAATAGGTGTACTTAGGATCATTGTATCTTTTTCGGGACTAGACTGCTTGTAAATATGGCCATTCGTGCGGTCTCCTCACGTATGTGAGCTTTTTGGGATGTTGATCGGTTAAAAGAACTTCATCCCTTGCACATGAGGCTCTTTATGTATTGAGATGTAAAAATGAAAAAACTGCTAGAAGATGTTAAATTGAAAAAGTAGTCAATTTGAGAGAAACTGTTACAGTCTTTCACTCAGAATCAAAAGAAGGTATGATGAATATTATGATTCTATGAATGGATGACTATCCTATCGTTCTAGCACCAATGTTGTATGGGGTTACTTTTCTGGCTGCCGGCTTTATCTTCAGTCTGGAGTCAAATGTTGATCTGACTTGTGTGACATGAGCTAAGATTACTCGAGAGCAGGTAACCCTGAATGCTAGCTGCAGTTATCATGCTTATATTAGTTTTAGCCAGCACTAGTTACATATCTCATGTTACTCATCTATCAAAGCATTTGCGGCTCAAGGAGCGGCTCCTTGAGGATGATGCGGCAGAAGTAAAGCAATGTTACTTCGTACGGCTTGATTCTGCAGTCAGAATATAGATCTTCTGTCGAATCCCAAGTGACTGGCATGATTGTCACACAACAGACTAACGGGCCAGAGATGTAAAACCCTTATTGCTAAGTCGGGAACCGGTTCTCATGTATGTGAATGACACGAGGCTGTGAACGTTATTTAGATCTTTTCCCCGAACACGATTTTTTAATGTTTTGCTAGAACGTGAAGTTAGTTTTGACTCTTTGCCAGCAGACATCACCTAGTTATTACTCTCATTCCTCCTTAAATTCCTCCTCTTGTGGTGAGATATAGCCCCAGCCGTTCAAATTCGGAATAAGAAAGTCATCATAAGCTTGAGTACTGCACTTAAGAGCGCTGGGGCTAAGAATCGGCGTATGCGTCACAACATCCAACTCCAGATTCTTTGCTAGCCTTACTAGAATGTCCAGCCACGAGACAGGTCGAAGGATTCAATGCTTTCTTGTAGGAATTGGGAAGATGCACATTTCAAGAAATAGAGATTCGTCACCTCTCCCAAGATTCGCAATGGTGATTTTTACTTCCCTTTAAGCTATTCTCGTTGACCATAATTGTAGGAATCAGAATTTAATTGACTGTACCAGGGAGGCTGGTCGAACAGTTACCTTGCTAAAGCTCGTATTGTGACCGATCATTGAAGCGCGCTTAAGAATTCCAGGATACTGTGGATTCGAGGGCAAGCCACTTCGGATATATGCCCGGAATGACTAGACTTTGGTACTCACATAGCCATTTGCCTGGTCCATATCTCCATGCGCCCTACACTGGAGCCTTCCCAACTTTCTCATCCATCGCGTCATCGCGAGCGCCCATCATTCACCGGCGGATCGATTGATGAGCTTCCACGTAGCTTCCAAAATGTTCTCGCCTACGTTCAAGGGGCTTGTAAGCAGATCTTCGGTGACAAATGACCCTGCGAGATGGGCCTTGTTCCAACGGACCGGTTCCTAAAGGATTCTAGAAAGAGTGACGTTACACGAAAATATCTTTCTCGACAACAAACTTACAGACTTCCATTGTACCATTGCAACCTACGACCGAAATAACCTCTCCATCGATACAGCTGCGCCACCTCCTAATGATGATCCGGGAGAAACTCCACTGCTAGTCACCATGAACGGTGGAGACTTCGAGGGGCACGGCGCCCATCGTTCAGGTGCGATATTGGGACATCAATCATGGGGGCGTCGGAAAGGTGAACAACATTGATTTAGTCTGCGGAACGTCGGTTTTTCGAAGTATTTAACAGTGCTGCTCCGTCAAGGCAATTTGAATTCGCATCAAGATCATCTCAGCATTCTCGCAATTCATCGGCTTATTCCATCTAAACTCACTGCTTGCTGTTTCACCAAGAAAATCGAAACTTCTCAATAGGAAAGGAACGAAAGCTCAAGGTATTCGAGTCTTAAAACCCGCTTGATCATTGAAACGTGTACTGATGATTCAGATCCACAATGTCTACATATACTGCAACAAATAGCCCGAGCCTGGAGGGATGGTGGGTATGCTGCGCATGCGCACGAGAAATTGATTCCAACACATGGGGTTGGTGCTGTCCCGATTGCTCGCATACCTCCTGCACATATTGTTCCGTTCCTTCACAGCAGGCTTGGTATTAGATACCAACTGCTATCGAATACGAGAGCAAAAGGCTCGTATGGGATATGATACCGATGAGGATACTGTGGTAAAGAGTTGGAAGAAGGGGGAGATTAGCTACCGAGCGGTGTTCCAGAAGGATGAAATGGCTATGCATGGGTCAAAATATGAGATATTTTTGTTGGACAGGAGCATGGGTTGTTGATTTTGATTTTGAATGATAGAGTTCTTTTCTCTCTCTATTTGGTGCGGAAAAGTTGTCGAGATTGGTTTTGGAGTTCGCGATATTGGCTGGCTTCGTGAATTATGGTTAGAGGAGTTATGATTTATTTTCTTCCTTATGCCGTATCCTATATCCACGACCTTCGGTCAGTGATATCATGAGTGTTATCATGTCTGAGTATCAATCTGTTGACTGCTTCAGTAGCATGGAAAATCCTCTTCTGAAACTAAACCGCAATGACTGTACTCGCGTTACAATGCTCTGTAACCCTTACAATCTATCTCGGAATGATGTGTCGGATGGCCTACAACTTTCGCGAGTCTCTTGCCTCATAACTCACGCGACTATTCTTCCTAGTGTCTCGAATGTTGGCAGAATCATCGCTGGCATGGAAGTCCATCATTGAAAAGGTAGAAAGTCATTTAGGAGGTATGTGCCCACCCATAAACCCTTCGAAGCCCATGTGTAGAAATATCTGCTAGCCCTGGGTCAAATGACTGTAACATCTACACTGCTTCATATGAAGGTGCAGCGCCGATGATATTAAAGCTTACCGACAGTCTTAGTCTTCATGTCTTTGCAAGCTTTGCTAGCTCGAAGATCGAGGTTGCTGATGCTGAAAGGGAGCCGTGAGCGAAGGCGTCAGAGAGAAATCGTCAAATTGGAGGCATATTTACTACGAAACTGGGCTCGAGGTTGACAAGGCCAGCTTTCCCAAAAATCCGGAGTTCCACGATGTTCGAAGATATTTGGAAGTGTGAATGTCTTGGAATTTTGACGACGCGCATATGTTCTGGATTGCATCACGTGGAATATTCTGTCTTGTCTTCCGAATCATCTCGAATGCCAAGTAAGTTCCTCAAAAATGGGTGCAAGTTGTCAAAGGTTGGTTCAATGTTGGACCCTGTGATGGACATGCATGGAAACACCTTAGCTCCGGCAGTGCTAGTATGCTTGGAAGCCGGGTTAAGCTGTGGAACAAGGTACCTATACTGCACCCGTTTTAATACCCTCGCATAAATCAAGGAGACAACAAGAGCAGGCATCTCGACTGCGATATGATCCTTTCGAGCTTCGCATTCGACGAATAATCAGGACCTCGAACACAATGAACTGAAAATACCAGTAAGGATGAGTGCTCGGAGAGCCTAAAGGTATTACTTTCTATTCCGATGTCTTTCTAAAGTCAAATTAGATTAATTATTACATTTAGTGCTTCTATATACTGGCATCATAATATACTTAACGCCAATTTCATATATTGCGAGTGCTCGTTTTGTAGCAAACTCCGCTCCAAGCCAGAATGACTCCCATTAAATTGTGAATTGATTAAAAGAGTGGTGAACACATATCATCTATGGCGTGAGTTACGAGCGCGGAGATCTCGCAGTTCTGTCTCATCCGTTTTTCGACCCATTTCTTCATCATTTGGGCTAAATTGTCGCCCCGATTTACTCGCTTTGTCTTTCTTATGGCGATTTGGCCTGGTTCGTTGACGATGTCCTTCAGGACGTACCTCATTAGGTGGAATAAAACAAACCGAGGCCCGAATACGATCTACAGATGGGCCAATCGAGAAGTGACTCTCTGTATTCTCGTGGTTGCAACAAGGGCTTCTCTTCATGGGGAGAAACCAGTCAAAGAAATGTTCTCCCATGACAGTCTCCCAATTTAATAGAGCGGATCCAAGATCCCAAGGATTATCGCCGGGGGTCAGTGTTTCGAGTATTGCAAAGGTTCGCACAGCCCTTCGGTCTCTATCCAGTCGCTCAGTATTGTTTGTCGATTTCTGGAGCCCACCAGTTGCTGGTGCTTCAATATTTTCAGACGACGAGAGAGCGGTTGACGAATTATGAATGATACCAGCTTCTGTTGGTTCCGAGACCAGATGTCCAGGTTGGACGCTCCCGTTAGCTGGCTCGATTGTTGCATTGGCAGGCAACCCTGTGAGACCAGCCATTCGCCTTGCGTCATTGGCTGAAATTGGCTCGGACAAGCGATCGTGCCTGATAGTTTTCACATACGGGCGATTTACCCGGGTGCCGTCCAAGGGTGCCGGAATGTCTAGCGGATACGTTATTTCGGAATAAGTTTGCGTGGAAGCGGCTGTTACACTTATTTCCGCCAACCTCTGTGGGGATGGCTTTAGTATTGCTAGTCGATGGATCTTTCCGAACCTAGATATGTCTTCGACTTGTGTCAAATTGTTGATTGCGAGTCTCACGGATGTCAGGAACATTGTTCCAGTGAACAGGCCAAAAAATGCAGCTCTGAATTGTTGGTCAGTAATGAAGCGCATCACGAGGATCACTAACTTACAGTGCAAGAACGGCAATGAACTGGTGGTTAACAGACACGCCCTGGTTGGTAAAATTAGTGCGTGTCAACAATGTTCTGCTCTCGAAACCCCTGTTTCCAACAAGTGCAAATCTTGAATTGCATTTGGAAGATTGGAAATGAAAGTCCATGGGCCAATCATACCTGAGTGCTACGCTGTCGATGAACGTATACTGCCATCACTACAAGAACATGTATACAAAATAAGGAGGTGTACCCAACAAATTGAATAAAAAACTTGAAGTTATTCTCGCCGATAGGCCCTCCTACCCTTCACTTTGTTAGCCACAAAACAAGAAAGGAGTTACAGTGGACATACCATGGGCAATAATGATCCATTTTGTATATACATCTTCCTACAACACTACAGTGGTGCTGGCGATCCAGTTTCCATATGCAACACTCAGAACACCATTTAGGCTTCCCATCCTTTTCCACACCGAAGACATCTTTTGTGTAAAATAATTCGAGTCCAGGAGAGTCTGGATCAGTCTTGGACCCGTCAAAATCCCCTGAAGTGTATTCTCCCCCACCAATATCATCATTTGTTCGCTTGTTTCTACGCTGGATCGCAGCAGCTCCAGCTCCGAGTGGCGCATAAGGAGGATCGAAGGTTGTCATATACACAACCCGGAAGAAAGACGAGGCCATGAGGACGAACAACAGAAAATATGTTATAAGGATGGGCACTGCGGCACCCTTACTTTTCTGTTCGACTAGGAGATAATTTACTGGAAAGCAAGATGTTAGCAGATCACATTCAGGTTCTCATGACATCTCCCCCCTACCACAAAGAATGGCCACTATGACATATGTTACATAGCCAACCACACCCGCAAGTGCGAAGGGCATAAAACGCGCAGTCCATATGTTCGCAACGCGTTTATTGCGTTCAATATCGTTGTGCGACATGATAAAATAGTCGATGGCACGAGTGCCAATAGTGAGAGTAATGTCCGAACCTGCAATAACGATTCATTACAACAGGTACTTAAGTATGTATGCTGTTGAAGGTGTTGTAACTCTTGATGTTGAATAAGTATGTGCAAACATCTCTTTCGCGGTATGGTATAGAATATCGAATAGAGTTGGTGAACTGAAGCCTGTAATGTGTTTCCGAATGTCGATTTACAAAATGATTCTTCGAATTAAGGTTTCTGTTTTCAAGCACTGAGACTCGAGAGATTGGCGTTTGTGGTCTAAGATTAGAAAGAACGATTGATCCACAGCACGACAGTTTAAATTACTAGGTAGATGGCAGTAAGCACTTTTTATCCACTACCGCTAAGCTTAATTTGAACCCGACAGACGACACGTGAATAATTTCATTCACGCCAACATCTATCCCCCGCGTTTATAGATATCTTTTGTATATCTTTTCTTATCTCTACACAAAGTCCATTAATTTAACTGAACTCTTATATTCAGCCCTTTAGAAGTGACTTTAATGTTGCGACATATGAAGCTATCAATGGATGGATCCGACTTTGATCGACGATATACGGGTCAAAGAGTGACCTTGGGTCTTAGGTATCGCGTATGATCTCTAAATCCTACATGTCCCTTCATTCTTTCCCGTCCACACAGTTGCTCGAGAGATCATAGAGCACCTCCAAATTTTTCTGCTCGGCGAGCGAAACTACATTGATCATCCTACTCTACCCTTGGTGGAACAATCGTCGCCTGACTAAAGTGGCCAGAACTAAGCCGAAAACAAACAGACATCACTCCATGTTGGCTGCAAATATCTTACCTCTGATTGAATTGAACGCCTTGGGCGAAGGAAAAGTTGTACAGGTGTTGAATTTCCACCCTTCCATGCATTTCGGTATCGTATCTGGGCATACTCTGGCTTCCAAAGCAAGTCTTTTACTTATTGTTGAACAATCTCTCACTACGTAGGAAGGCTGCTCTTGGTCTCTCCCAGGTGACCCTCCTTCACACCCTTTTAGATCCAACACCTTGGCTATTTCAAACAATGAGGGTCACATCAACATGGGTGTCCCTTACTAAAGGGAGCGGCAACATGTCTCTTTGCTGACAAGGCTACGCAAACCACTAGCGAACCCCCCCTCTATAGCTATACAATTATACAATTGTAACGAGAATGACCGATGCTCTTGAAGTAAGAAGATGCCTCGAATGCAAATAGGGTAGGCAATTCAATCAGAGGACGTGATGAGTCAATTGCGGCTCCTTTGACCTCGATCACCAATTTGTGTTTTAGCTGAAGTACGTAAATTCCTTTCTTAACCGAATTTTATTGTCTATATTAGACAGTGAAACTCCCCAGGTTATCATTTCATAGATGCGTGAATCTACTGGAGTTTATTTCTAGTAAAAGATTTCGAAACCTCTAAATCTCACTGGAAGCCGTGGTATTCTGAGGTAATGATCTGTCTTATCAAGTACAAACAATCATTTGTATCCAGTTACTTACTCTATCTTGAGGATTCTTCGCCCTCACTAACTGTCCACAGACCACCCGACGATAACGAATCTACTTTCATTTATGGTCTGATAGTAAACAGAACATTGTTCAGTCCAACAGATCTGAACTCTGTTGTTCCACTGATGTTCTGGGCGGCTGCACTATACCCCAGGCTAGATCTTGTCTCACAGAACACATTTCGATGCTATGCCACTGAAAGCTTTTTGGCAAAGTAATTAAAAAGAGCTTATCAAGCTCTGAAAGAACTATCGATCATGGCAGTTATTGAAGCGTGTTATAATTTAGAAGGTTGGAATTTCATTGGAGTGTTGCCGAAGGAGACGAAACTATTACTGTCTATTCGTACAATGACTCGAGTCTTGTCGCGGAGCCCTGTGTACTTGGAGGGTTCATTGAACTCAGCTTCACTTGACTTGAGACCTCGTTCGTCCTTCACACTAAAGACCTCAAGGGCCAAAATAGAGTTACGACCAATTCTACACTCTCGAATTATTTATATCGAAATTCAGCAATGTCAGTGATTCCAGCGAACTTTACTTCTGGATGCAATTCATTCATAGAAGCTCTGTGCAGGCGGCTGCTCTAAATACAGCCCGACTTAACGTGGATCGTTGAATCAATATCATGGGAAAGCTGGTATTTCGACTAACAATTACTTGAGCTTTTCTCTACCGCTGTTTTGGCCACCAAATATGAACAGCCACCGCCCCATCTGCTACAACGACAGCTCTTTTTGATCCCTTGTGGTTCCTTTTAGTTTTCCAGTTACAGAAATTTGATCCTCCACTGCCTGATTCCTGGCTTTTGGAACGAGCTCAGACTCGACTTTTCAACATCTCAAACCGTACGTTATCATTCACCGAACTCGCAGTTATACTGCCTAGGGAAAAGTCTCTAGGCATTGAGCGAATTCCTTGCCCTGCCCCAACCGACCCACTTTTTTGAGCCTCATGCCTAGATAGGGCTCTCGCGGGCTGACTTGATGCTAATGCAGGTAAACCATCCAGCCTTGTTGACTAATCATATTATTATCTTCTTTGTAGAATCATTTTGCTTAGTTTTATGGAAGTCAAATGGAAGTCATTGTCGGAGGTGGCCGCTATTAACTAATTTCTGTGCCTGCCTTATTCAACTAGGTCTTTGGTAAGGAATGAAGCGCTGTACAGTCTCCGACAAATCTAGGTAACTGCACTAAGGTTCTAAGACTCACCGAGGGTATCATTGAGCTAGAAGCTCTTCTCTGGTCGGATTGGATCTCACTGCGCTACCTCAAGCAAGACTTATTCTATCGAAGCAACTCTCTTGTGCGATGGGTTCGCTCAAATATCCATGGGGGTATGAGTGATTTCCCAGGAAACGATCCATCGCTTTGTAGCTCACCGTAGATCATGGAGATAGTAGTCTTCTGTGACTTGAAAGCTGGGGTCCGAATGCTCAGCCCTAATGTTTTGGGCACGACTTCAACGATTCAGTACACCGAAGTGTTCTTCGACGAACTCTCCTTCGGGCAAAGACTTTCTATTTAAATGAATGCTTTGATCTCCTTTTGTTTCTCCTTTCATTGACTTTTCCATCCAACATCATCTTTCATACGGGCACCACGTCTGAGAGTATCCAGAGTGCTTTTTACCATAAATTGATTCTTCACCTCTTTCGCTTGAGTTACCCTATCTCGCAGTCGAAGATAAAGCAACCCTCTCCTTATCTGTATTTTCAGATTGTTTTATTCTCGCTTCCCTTCTTCCTCGAACCAATCAAACTTCTGCCTTCAACATGCCTGCTGTACCAGCTCCAAAAGCCGCTGTGTGTGTTTGGTCTTGCTGTTGGTGCCGTGATTACAGTGGTAATTACACGTCCTCTGGAATGACAACAGAAATCATGAACTGCCCAAGTTGTGGACACTTGCGGTGCCATGATTGTGGTTCGGAATGGGTCAAAATCAGGTCTCACCACCACGGCTAAGTACGTTGGTACATAACTATTGGGCACATTGTCATTCTAACGTATCGCCTAGTTGACAAAGTGGTACCTCGGCCATTTCGTATTTCATGATAGACTACATGCGAAGCATACTTGGGATTGGATTATCGGCATCGGAGAAAACGCATTGAGGAGAGATGAGGCAGATTTACACGGGGGACTTTCTACGCAGAACATTTTTGGTTTTCAAATCATTTGTTGCATTTTCTCGCATGTCACTGAATTCAAGAATCGTTTGCATTTGGATGGGGTTTTAGACTTTAAAGCTTACGCATTTCATACAACATAGACTTTCACTGGGAGAAGACTTCATGTCATAGACTCAAACAGAATTTGAACTTTTTTCTTCATAGATTCTTTCTGCAAGCACATGCTTTTCATATAAGTTTCTAAATGTGAAGTACCATAGTGGCAAGCTATCGCACAGAAAAATACAAAGTTTCTCTGGTCGTGTAAATCGTATTTCCATCCTTTATTATGGCATATGGTTCAGCCTGGAATTTCCAACAGTCAAGATTGTACTTCGTCAACAAGGAATTTCAACATTGTTCTCAATGAGAAAACTTAGATGATTGGAGATGGTGGATTTGCTGCTTTTAGATAAAGTAATAAAATATCGCATCCAATTTGCAAGCCCGCCTTTCAGACACGTTGATTCTGCCTATTCCCTAATACAGTCACGTTTTATTTTTTCTATTCTTGTGTCCATATTCTTGTGATGCAAAAACGGCTGCATCCATCACGATGGTATCAATCTGATTAATCTTGTCTAAGGACTCTCCTCATGATTACCATGCCAAAAACGAGAGGGATTCTAAGCAAATACATCCCTCATCTCGGAGCCTGGTCCATTACAGGATTTCATTCTGGTTCGTCATATTCCTGAGTGGTGTATGTCCGATGAGACAATTTCTTGGAAGAAGATAGCTCTTTCTTTACTCTGAAGCTTTCACAGCCACCCCGAGATTCCACTGTTTTCAAAGGGCGGGATGGGGCATCAATTGATCTTTCCGGTGAGCCCAGAGGATTTCAGCTGTGGTCTATCATACGAGGAAATGTTCTGGAAAATATCACTCACAGTACGGGGCAAGGGGGCCTCATTCCGGGCTGTGAAGGGCGGCGTCTGTGTTGTCAAATTACTGTAGAGGGCAACCAATTTTAAGATTTCGTCAAATACCTTTGAGCATTTAAAGAACCTTTCAATCCCTTTCAATCGAAGAGCCATTGCCACTCTTCAAGTCCTCAAATTGTCTTCATTTTTGTATAAGCCATCTATAACTTGTTTCGAATTTCTGTATAACTGGCCGCTTGACCATTCGGTTGCATTCCCTTTGTCAAAATGAGTTCTCAATCCCCGGTAGCAATAGCTTCAAATCACGTTCGCAAGCGCACGCAACCATCGTTACAGAATGACCATGAATCTAGTCGCGGCCATTCTCATCACAAACATTCGAGCAATGGCAAACACAGTCACGGCAGTAAACGTAGTGGACAGCCCACCAGTGAACCGCAATACACATATCATGAGGTCTGGTATTGCTGTAATTGTGGTTTGAATGGTGACGGAGCTTTGACGGCCGCTCTGAACGCACACTGTACATCATGCGGACATCAAAGATGTGTATATTGCACCACCGAATGGATTAAAATGCGAGTCGGAACCTAGTAAGTAGCAACTTCAATTGATGAGCGCTGTTCAAAACAAGTCTGGAGCTAATCCAAATGCAGGTCAACGGTAGCGCTTACACACCTTGACTCCTTTCTTTTCTGTTACTCATCTGTCATAACATTCGGATATCGAATCTTCTCTATTTTTTGCATAGCGCTGCGCGTTGGATAGGATATCATATATGATTCACACCTGAATTGGATGATCATCTCCGTATTTCAGGCTTCAGTTTCTTTCCTTGGATTGTCGGATGGGTTTGAGTCAATGTCTGAGAAAGAATAGATTGATGTGCTGAGGGATTGCAATTTCGGATTTTGTTTTCCTATTTCGGGTACCGCTTGATGTTCACGTTCTTGAAAGGCGCTAAATTAGTTTACATGAGAATTACTGTTTTAAAGAAGGGGCCTACTATCTCCTTTGATATGATATAAGCTCAAAGTGATGCTTACATACACTTCATTCATTCATATATGGTACGCGGTCAAGGCCACCTAAGCTATTGATTAGATGACATGGCCTTGATACTACCTCCTCGGTGTCCCAGTATAGATAATGTACCTATTTATCTCCAGCCCCGATTCGTCGAGGCAAATTCGCCCGGCTTTAGATTCTGGGCAAGGTTGCTGACGACCGTGAAAGAAAAGCGGACAATGAAATCAAAACTTCCACTTTGCATGATGATTGCCCTCACTTGACTTTCTATCCGCCTTGGGAGCTCTAACTAGACTTGTAACACCGGCGATGCCGGCATTACCAAGGTGTCAGTCAGATTAGCATGCATTACACCAGTCACTGGAGCTTTAGTGAAAAAATTGGGTTTTACCTGGTTCAATGGGGGTTCAAGCCTACCTTCCGCTGACCAAAGTGTAACAGACAATTGGCTGATATTTCTATAGAGGGCATTTACCCATTCTCCCAATATCTCACTAGTATGATTAGACACACCGAAGTTAAGGCAAGAATTCACCTTGCGAAGAGTGGCTGCATAGGGCACATTAAGCATTCTGGGTTATATTCTAAGTTAGAGGGCTTTGTTAACACGGTGAGATCATTTGGAAAAGGCAGTTCATCTCTTGTCTTGCAATTTTGGCGATACAGCATGGTATTGGTACGGAGATTTTAAAAGTGGGGTATGTTATACTCGGCGACACCATGCACGTGTTGAGGCTCTTGTGAGGCTCCCTGGAGATGGCATTGGCAAAGCATATTGGTTTATAATTTGCTGGTGTATCATATTAAAACGAAATTGGTGGGCTTCATGCAAGTACCTTAGTACCTTCTTACTCTTGCCAGATGTCTTAATTCCTTCGCTCTATCACACCACCCTCTACAACATTCAGATCTTGCAGCAACTGTTTTGGTCACTGGCTCACTGCAACACTATCTAGATGTGATATCTGATATACAGATCTGGTCTACATATCAGAGATACTGTCACTTTCTACCAAGATACTCGTTTTTACCGGAATTCGTCATTGATCGAGAACAATGCGCCTCGCAAATACACTATTACCATCCTCTTGCTTACTTTGCTACAATAAAGCTATTATTATAGTGATTCACCTCGCAAATTGCCATTTTGGCGCCATGGGATCTTTCGACGAGTAAATGTTATGAGCTCCTCCCAAATCCTGATCGGTATTGCGGTTCACTTCAGCCTTGTTCTACAGCCACCACGGACTTCAAAAGAGGGTTTTTGTCTCGATGACAAGCTTCCATGGAAGGATTTGTCGTGAAAAAAACCACATCAGCCTCCTAAGGAACATGTTCCCACACGGGAGATCCGCTTTGAAGGTCTCGTGGGCGGGGCCGCTGCGACCCCAACACCCGTACCATGTTAGACTCGATTCTTATTTTAACTACTTAGAATTCACCCCTCGATCTAAACGGCACACCAGTCGCGAAAGGATTGCTCATCTAACATTGGATTTGTCTTCAAAGGTATGAAAGAGTAACATCTCAAAGTGACAAGCTTGACAATCATGGAGGGAATATCAGGAACGATTTATTTTCGTGAACTTGGAAAAGGTATCAAGATAATGCATGTCTTAGGAAACAAAAACCATGCCAGATAAGCCCTTTAAGCCGGTCAACATCACACTATCCGTTATATACGGAACCCATATCTCACCCAGCATCCCTCTTCGGCCTTTCAAGATCTCGGCCCGCCATCCTGCAAGCTCGCATTCTCGTCCAATAGGAAACCTTAGATGGCGATGTAACATTAAAACCGTCTTTCCATCCATACCACGACTTGTCCAAAATGTCGAACTCACATTGCATTCAACCGTCTCGGGAAACTTTCCTGGAAATATGTCTGATATTACACACTTTAGGCAGGTAGTAAGTAGAGAATGAAGGGAGATAACCTAAAAGGCTAGACGGACCATATTATTCAACCCATACCAACCTACCTAGTAGCTAGCTTATCATGACAAATTATACAGCAAAATGACCTGAGATACTAGGCATTTATTTAGGTATATACTTGTATTGAATGAGGTATACAGTGTATGCAGATGTGTTGATATCCATAAATGTATAGATAGGTATTTGTTACTTGAGACGGAAAGAAGTACCTGGTTGCGGTATTGAATCTTTGATCCTTGTTTGGGTGAGTAATTGATCACGTGTATGGGGAATTTGAGACACCAATCCAATCCAATCTAATAGAGAATTTCTTTTACCATCTCCCTCTCCCTCTCCCTCTCCCTTTATTTCCCATTTTCTCTTTCGGAAATGATTGTGATTCAGATGTGATGGGAATAGCATCATTCTTTTGAAATCTTTCAACTCTAAACAAATAATACCATAATTCAAATTCAAATATCGTTTCTTCGACGATAGATGCAAATGAAAAGGTACCCCGTATATGTAGGTCATTGGGCTCTCAACCGGTTTACGGTAGATCTACTCCGTACCTAGTATCTACGAGAGGGAGAGGGTCTAGGTATTTTAATGGATACATTTTCTTTTTCTTTTTCTAATCGGACGAAATTGATGGGAAGACCGAACTCAAAAAACGTCATGATACCTACCGACCAAAAGTTCCCCCCATCCCCCCCACTATACTACTATGTATACAGACAGGTACAATTAATACTGAAGAAGAAGAAGATACTGCAATCCACTTACCACTTACCACTTATCTACTTACTTACATTCCTCAAATTTCACCATATCCCGGTGTCATTCTTACACCAGAAGAACTTCTCTTCATACATTCAATTGATCATAATCGACGGAATTAATCCTTTCAATTGCTATACACAGACAAAGGCTGTATTGGCGTAGAGTGAGAGTAAGACTTGCTCGGACTACCTACCTACCTCGTACTATACATATACACTATCAGTCAATCATAAAGCTCGGTCCCAAGTCGTCGCATAATACAAACATCGGTATCGGTATATCCATAAGAATCTCCATCTCAACAACTGAGCCCCACCACCCCTCGAAATCAAGTACCTCAAGTTTCGCGATAACCGCATGGCTACTGCAGTCTGCTGCTTCCAGTAAGCCCGCGAAGTTTTCCAAATTTAGAGGCACATCGAAACATTCCTTCTCGCGAGACTCTCACCGTCACGTCAAATCACAATGGCTGAGACCACGACGGCTGCGGCTGAAGAAGAAAGAAACTTCGTGGCTCACTTCAAAGAGCAGCAAACCTTGCCTCCCGATGAAATCCAACAAAATCCTAGGAATCAAGGTTTGGGAGCAAGTTCGAGAAATTTGAACGTACGAGACTTTGAGTTGGTGAGGACTTTAGGAACCGGTACGCTCCGATGTGCTGTGTTGTGTAGCTTAATGACGGAACCTGCACGTAATGTATGCTAATTGATTTTTGTTCCATAGGCACATTCGCTCGCGTGTACGATATTCACCCTCATGAATCTCTCGCTTGAACATATTCTGATTTTATACTGTGTAGCTGGCTTGTACGTCTTGCGAACCCCGCTGAAGAGGATCGCGATAAGGTTTTTGCGCTGAAGGTCCTACGGAAAGTAGAGGGTAAGAGTTGAATTGCAGAAGCAGAGTCGACATCATTGACTGACGATATCTAGTCATCAAACTTAAACAAGTCGACCATGTCAATCACGAGCGTTCGGTTCTTTCAGATGTTGCTGGACATCCTTTTATTACTACATTAATTACTTCTTTTTCTGATCATGATTCACTGTATATGCTGGTACGTTCATGGGATTCACTCTACCAAAATTCACCATTTTCTGTTATCCATTGGTTATCCGAGCACTCTATTTTCTGTCTGAAACTAATTTTAATCTGTACCAAGCTTGACTACTGCCCTGGAGGTGAAGTATTCTCCTATCTACGAAAAGCCAAACGATTCGACGAGAACACAGCTCGGTTTTATGCTGCGGAAATAGTTTTGATTCTTGAATTTTTACATGAACGAGAAGGGGTTGCATATAGAGACATGAAGCCGGAGAACCTGTTGTTGGATGCTGAGGGACATATAAAATTGGTCGATTTTGGATTCGCAAAACGTTTAGGAAACAGTAAGCTGCGTAGATTCGAGGACTCTGCTGGCCGTTTATTGACAAAAATAAAGGGGAAACATACACTTTATGTGGTACACCAGAGTATCTTGCGCCAGAGGTTATTCAATCGAAAGGCCATACGACGGCCGTCGACTGGTGGGCTTTGGGTATATTAATATATGAATTCCTCACAGGATATCCACCATTTTGGCATTCAAATCCAATAGAAATTTACAAACAGTATGTATCTCATCTTTCATTTCCTCATTGTCTTTGATTCATTTGCACATTATCTGACACAGAATTGCGTCCAGAATTGTTAGCAAGCCAGTTTCTTTCCCAGCCGAACCAGCCATTTCACCTGCGGCAAAAGATATCATTCGCCAATTCTGCACGCTCGATCGATCACATCGTCTCGGGAATATATCTGGTGGCGCTGCACGGGTTAAAGATCACCCTTTTTTTCAAGGAGTGATCTGGGAAGATGTATATTACAGGAAATACCGTGGTCCGATTATACCCCCTTTGAGATATCCAGGCGATGCTCAAAATTTTGATTTATATCCCGATGAAAAAGAAGGAAGAGAACCATACACAGAGGAGCTCGCAGCAAAATACGATGATTGTTTCAAGGGTTTTTAGATCATAACTCAAATGTGGATTCATTGGCGAATGTTGGGACGAGGATGGGATTGGTGTACGGCTGGCTGTATCAATGGATTGGTTTGCAAATTTTAGATACTGCAAATGGCGTTCTTCGGGTACGATAATGGGTCGGTTAAAGAGAGGTCGGTTGCAGAGATCAGGGGAACATATCATGATATCGCTTGTACACTTTCTTATGGAGATGGGATGAGATAGCGGGTATATATGGGCGAGTTGTTGCAAACTTTACCTTTTAGGGTTATAAAAGCTAAGACATTATCAATTGGATTCTTGATTATCTCCATATTAATTGTGGATCTCTCCGAGTTGCTTTGAAGAATTTATCCGCATCTGGAACCGAAGCTCTAAGCGATGTGATACTTGCTGTCTTGCAGCTCGGGAATACTTGCGCCTGCGCATTGCCTGCGAAAATCATGGTGATATGTAGTACACGGATACTCGGGGGGGAAACACTAGACCAAACGGTTTGCCAGGCTAATGCGGAGTATCTGAGCCTTATCCATACATGATACGTTTATTAACCAGTAAATGCTTGCTTCCCCCTGGATTCTTGAATCATCGATTATTTCTAACATAGAAGTATTGCCTCACCCTCCTCCTCCGGTTCTTTTGTAAATCGTTTTCTACCTACCTACGCACATACATATTCCAGTTGCACACTCTCACCATGGAACTCTCTCTGTATTCATCGCTGCTGGTAGTGTTCGTCACTTGGATTTTGTCGTTCCAATTGACGACGTATTTGCGCTCGCGCCGCTACAATGCAGATGCGCCGTTGATCGCGAATTCGTGGTGGGAAATTGTGACGTGTAGGGGGTTGTCGGAGAAGGAATTGTTGGTTGGTGCGTATCAGAAGGTATGTTGTTGTTGTTTTGTCTTTGTTTTTGTTTTTGGTCATGTTCGTTGGGATTCGGGGATTATTTGGTTTGTGAATGAATTGAATGAGTGTGATGTTTTTTTTTTCTTCTTGTTGGGCTTTTATTTTATCTTATTATTTTATTTTATATTTTATATTTTCAGAAAGAAAGAAAAAAAAAAGATGCATGGATGGATGGATAGAAGCTAATGGGTGACACAAAATAGTATTCGAAAAATGGAAAGGCGTTTCGTATGAATGGAACGCTGGGTCCTCAGTGGGCGTTACCTACTTCTGTCTTTGCGCAGGCGGGAAAGATGGGGACGGGGGATTTGGATCCGTATGAGGCGAATGAAGATGTATGTTTATTCATTCTTCTTTGATATCTTTGTGTTTTTATCTGATCTGATCTGATGCGATTCCACTCAATTCGATATCTAAAAACTCGAATCTGATGAAGCAATATGCGAGAAAGAATGTCAAATTAACCTTTCCAAATAGTTTCTCCTATTGCGACCCTTCATCTCCCCCGAAAGCGAAGACATGATGACGTTCGTCATCTCCAAACTAACCCGTTCGATTCCCGAGATGATCCCGCTCCTCCTTGCGGAAACCACGACTGCGTTTCGAGAAAATTTTGCGCCGGAAGACGCGAGTGAGATGGATGGGGACGGATGGACACACACGTGTTTGTTCCAGCATGTGAATATTTCGCTGGCGAAGATCGTGTCGCGCATACTGTGTGGAGAGAAATATTCGAGCGATGCGGTGTGGGTTGAGAATGTGGCGACGTTTGCGCGGGGAATTTTCTTCTCCGGGATGTTGTTGAGACGCTTGCCGAGGTGGAGTCATGGGCTTGTGGCGCCGTGGATGAAGACGACGAAGCAGGTTGCGTTTATTGAGAAGATGGTGACGGAGGATGTGAGGGGTTTGGTTAGTGGGGATGTGACCGGGGAGGATTATGAGAGGGGGGCTATTTTGCCGATGTTGGTGGAGGATGTGAGGGGGAAGAAGGTTTTTGGGGGGAAGAGGGAGGAGGAATTGCTGTGGGGGGTTAATAATCGGATTTGTAGGTTCTTTTTTGCGACGGTGGATACGACGACGCTTACTTTTACGCATATTCTTTATGATGTTATCGGGCATAAGAAAGAACTTTATGTGGAGCCTATGAGGAAGGAGATTAGAGATGTATCGAAGAAGTTTGGGGGAGTGTGGAATAGAGAAAGCATTGGGGAGTTGAAAAGTTTGGATGCGTTTATGAGGGAGAGTCAGAGATTACATCCGTTGGGATATACATTGGGTAGTCGAAAGGTAGCGAAAAAAGAAGGACTGGATTTTATTAGCAAAGGGGAAGATGGCGAAAAGGCTATCCATATTCCATATGGAGAGAGGATTGAGGGATTGGCATGGGCTATCCATCAAGATGCTGAACACTACGAAGATGCGGATGTGTTCAAGGGATTCAGAACTAGGGATGAGACGGTAGCGGGTTCGAATCCTAGCGAAAGGTTTATGAGTTTCGGATATGGTATGTTGGAATGGTTTTTCTGGTCCGAACAATGCTAACCGATGCCAGGTCGACACGCCTGTCCAGGTCGCTACGTAGCACTCACGATTGAGAAAATCATGTTGATTGAGTTCCTCGTGAACTACGATTGGAAGGAAATCGATAGGTTGAAGGATTGGTCGTTTGGATGGAACAATATTCCAGATATGGCTAGTAAGGTTCATATTCGAAGGTTGAGCGAAGAGGAAGTGGAGAAGTTGTGGGAGTAGGCAGTGTATCTAACAGAGGAAGCTGCGATTTGTGGTACAAAATTATATGGTTTGCGGTTTATAGGTGGCATTATTGCTTTTTTTTTTTTTTTTTTTTTTTGGAAATAGAGCGTGAGCTTCCGCTTTTACGAATTTTCAATTGGGAACTATGAGATTGGTTTGCGCGTCAAATAGTGATGTCTTAGAATAATGATAGCTAGCCGTTGCTCTACCACTACGAGTATAATATCGCTAAACTTTAGCGATTTTTCCCAGTTAGCTTTTTTGTAGATCACAATCCTCTCAAAAATGTTGGTTTTTAGTTTCCTTGCCGAGTCTTTGATCTTGAAAGAATACGCAGTATTTCTGTCGGCACTTTTCGGTGAGATAAGCTAGCCATATTCATCTAATACTCGAAAGTCGAGACTGGCTGATACGCGGTATATCTGCCTGTAATCTTCACTGTCCTCTGGAAACAAGCTGATTGCGTTGGCCTATGGCTAGATGTGAATCAGGTTGGTTAAGATGGAATTCATACTGTTATGTCATTTCTTCTCACATCGAGGTATCTTTTGCAAATTTCAGTGTCCAGGCTGGATGTAATCACTCTATCATTGTATCCTTGGGTCGTTTGTATCTACATTTTGTGACTCTTTTTGTGTGTTGAGAGTTCTATATTCTCTCTCGCCTACATTTATTCAGGATATAGATATCCGCCTCAATCATATCACTTATACTGTCATTCAAAAGATACCACGGATATTCGGTATAAGTTTAGAATAAGACGAATTGAAATTTCTGCTCTCGTATGTATGTTTCCTTCAACTTTCCTAGAGTCAACACAGTTGAAACTATTTGAGACCATTCATCAACCACTATTTCCTCCGCATAAACACACACCAACAAAACCTAGACAATACCAAAAAACATTGCCATCTTAAACGAGTCCACATATTCCGGCGCCCACTGCTTCAACCCAGCCAAGATCAATTGATTTCTCGTTAACCCATGCTCCCTTTTTAATTTTTCCAACTTCTTTTTGCTATCTTCGGGTAAATTCTTGAACATGTTGTCATAATCTTTTTCTTGTTTTGGTGTGAATGGTACATCTGGAGCAGAGGGATATTCGATGCGTGTGAGATCTAAGCGTGGTTTGAGGGAAGAGGGGGAAAAGGGAGAGCGGTTTTGAAGAAGACGGGGTAGGAGTGAAGGCATGGCTTTGGAAATAGAGGTGATGATAATAAAATGAGTGCTTATGTGGCAGGTTTAAGGATGGTTGTTAAAAATACAATGACTGTAGTTGGGAAATTTGAAATGTGATCTTAGTGGAATGAATGTAGTATGAATGAAAGACAAAAGCTGGGTACCGCTATAAAGACGAACAAGAACAAATAAGTGAGTAGATAAACAAAAAACACAGAAACTTATGTTCATATCATATTCGATTAAAGACTGGAGAAATATTCCGAACCACACTTGGCAGTTGGTTTGTTCATTCCTTCCATATATCAACCTAACACACCAAGAACGTCACAAGAACACTGCCACGCACATAAAGGTTATTCGGCCTCATATAGGTCCTATTGAATTGGTAACCTATCTCGAATTGGAAGAACTCGGGCCGCAAAGACGGTGGTAAAACTTTCACGGCGGCTAACGAAAAATACAGACCGGCCCAACCACATTGCAGTACAGTGCCAATTCTTGGTTCCATCATCTCTAGAATTAAGCGCCGGCGCTTGTGCCTTCCATTCTCGTTATAGAATTGGTAAGGAGATCCGAAAGTTTATAGTCGTGAACGGACATCAGGCCTGATATCCGTATGGTTAGGACTTGAGCTAATGAATATCAGCTGATGGCTCCCAATGAAACAGAAATAGTCGATGTGAGAGATCGCAATCTTTGTGAGCATACAAGGAAAGATAGATGAAATGGATAAAAATGGGGACCCAAATTATTCGTTCTAAAAACAATATATGCTATGTTTTAGGCCGACAATAAAAGAGAAAGTTGACAGAATCGCCAGTGACGACTTTCGATATGATTGGAAATGATCGATATAGGGACGAAAATGGGACACTTACAATAGCCAATTGTACTAAGTTGTACTACGAACTAAATTCCAGCCTGTTTCCCGCAAAATCTCTAGCAAAGAATCTGACAGGATATTCCACTCCTTTCGCTCCTGAATAGGTCTGTCAATATGGGTGATTCATACATTCATTCTCCCCTCGCACTTTCTCCGCCCTATCCCTCAAAATTACAATTCCCTTTAGAAAAATAACCACGTGAAAAACTCACCACTATCAACCTCACCAGGCTTATCAGCCTCTCTTGGTCTCGCCTCTCCAGCTTCCTCACTCTCGTAAAACGTCCAAATTCTCTTCTGCAATTCTATCAAAGCCTCTGGACTCGCGACTTTGAAACATGGATGACGCGAAGACTTTGGCTCCAAAGGAGATGCAGAATCAGAGATGTGGATCTGTTGGCCTTGGGGAGTGATGTCAAACCTTGGGGGATCTGTTAGCATAATTCCATGAACAGAGATGGGGATTGAAATTGATAGATAGGATCATAGAAAACAGCTGGGGACAGTGAGGAAGAGAAAGACCGGCCATACCAAGCAAGGTGATCTTTCTGCAAGACCGGTACTGGAACCGAGGTGAATCCCAACACTTCGTCGTAGAACTTCTTGGCCAAGTGAAGAGTGCCGGGTAGCACCGTAAGATTTACGTGAGCGATTCCTGTGATCAACATTGTGAATCTACGTAGTGATATGCCCTAAGAACTCTGTGTTATTTTGCAGTAATTTGTGTAATTTTCTTTCTTTCCTGTTTGTTTGTCTGCTTACTTGTTCACAACATGAACGATGAAATCGTAAGGAGGGGACAGGTGGGGGTGGATCTCATAAGGTTGCCGAGCGTGGGGAACCAATAAGGGATGTAGCTTATAAATCCTAATATATATATCCTCTGCAATACATCTTATCACCTAGAAATCACGCAATTTAGAGGGACATTATGCCTCGCTATACACTGAATTACTAATACCACGAGTGTCATGGAGTGAATTAGACGGTAAATAGATTCTTCATGATTTTGTTTTCTGGAACCGACACAAACAAACAAAACCATGTATTCTAATTTATTTTCGAAGCTGTTGTGTGAAATCATATGCATTTTCCAAATTCCATTGCCAGTTCAACAAACAAGTAAATCGCAGACAGCCTACGATTCAATTTTTCTGGATAGGCCACTACTTGCCCTTTCCGAACGTCGTCTCACACGACTTGCTTCATAATCCCCTTGAGATCTGGGTTCAGAAGCCTTCCCATCTAAAAGACTCATATTTTCTTCTGTTAATTTCTGCGAGCTAGGAATTAAGGGTTCATTGTTTTGGGATATTCTAGATTGCCCCGCTGTAGATGGAGCTCTTGAAGAACGTCTGCCATCAGCGTATGCTTCTCGAGAAGGTACGAGAGAAATTGCATCTGCCTCTAGAAGATCTTCCAAAGCTGCGCCGCTTCTAGAGCTTTGTTTGGAACTATGTCCCGTTAAAGAGCTTCTTTCAGAAAGCGCTCGCCTAGCGACTGCTTTTTGAGAAGGTGCTTTTTGAGAGCGTGTGAGAGAAATTGCATCTATTTCTGGAAGATCTTCTAAAGCTGCCCCTTGTCTAGAGCTATGTGTCGATCTACGTACCTTCAAAGAGCTTCTTCCAGAGGGTGTCTTCTCAAGGGGTCTAGGAATTTCTGCCTCGGAATATTCAGAATCAGAATCTTCCTCTGCATTATGCATTTTACGGACATGCGTTTTCTCGCGCAAGTCGAGCTCAGGTTCCTTTCCTCGTTCGGATCTGCCATCGTCACTTTCTTTTCCACGAATGGTATCAGGAGAACGGTCTCTACGTGTTTCTCGACCATGTCCTTCTCTTCGACGATTGGGAGAGGCGTGCCTGTTGTCTTTTGGCTCACCGCTTCCCCGACGCCGATGATGTCGATGGCGTCGATGATGCTCCCCTTCATGTTCCTTCCGATGGCTTACAGATTCATGCTTCGCAGCAGGTTCTCCCCCTTCATTATAGGTGATAGTCTGCTTTCCAAATAAAACAATATTCACAGGCGGGTTGAAAGTCCGCCTTGTAGTGGAAATTTTTGTAGTTCTAGTAGATGTGCGCTCAGTTGCACCACGACCGAAAGAATCAGCGGGCTTCGGCGGCTTTTCCCTGGGAATTAGGACATGCAAATCCTCATTTTTGTATTTTTTATGCTTGTATTTATACATGCTTCTCTCTACATCTTCCGGATCCGATTCCTTCTTCACTCTCATTGTCGTAGGACTTTCATAGTTTCCCAATTTATAATTCTTGAGTTCTTTTTTTTTAATACAGTCGTAGAAACGTTCACCAGAATCGATGTGAACAAGTGTCAGCCCCATGGTGATTGTAGAAATGGTGATGAAAATTGCAGAGAAGTTGTTAAGACTGCGATTTGACTGGATATTATATGCGGTAGGTTGACGATGGAATGATTTGGTATGGTATGAAGGACTGCATCTTATCTTAAATACTCAAGAGTACCAACACCTTTTTCATCAAGAACACAAATATCCGAGCATCGTACTATACCACCAACGATCCGCGCAGGCCTAGAAGTTTTTTCCAGATGATCTACATTTCTTAAGATGTGAAGTCACCCTGGAGGAAGTTTGGTATTGGCTGATGAGTGGGCGATAGGATCATGTTTGTAAAGTTCATTGGCGGGTGTGGAATTTAATTGAAGGGCGGGACGTTTTAGACCTCATGGCCCGAGATATTTTTAGCTGAACTGCAGGTGGTTCTTTTAAGCGGGCCGTGGTCGTAATGACCAGACCCCGACGCATAAGGAAATATAAGAAAGGAAATAGAGAGACAAGTAGTAGGTAAAAATGTGATCTTAAATCATAAAACTAATAGCAATTTCGTATGTAAAAATCCCAAAAAGAGTTTCATTAAAGCATTTTGAAAGCTTGAAGTCTCTTCATACTTTCTTCGAGACTGCGCCTCTCAGAATCGAGGCCAAGTCGCCTTTGGGCCTTGTTTGGATTCTCGCCAACTAAGTTGCTTAATGCGTCCTCATTTTGTTCTCCATATAATTTTTCTGATACATACTGAGGAGAAAAAAGACGTAATGGACCATCCGGACCAAGCAGGTGCCTTTCGATGACTTGAGTTGCAACGTTGTCTGTGAATCGATATCTAGCCAACTCATAGTAGGCCTCGAGACTATCATGAGTATTCAACACTACCGCTAGTTCCTTATCATGATACAATTCAGTTCCCACAATCTTATCCGATGAGATGGATAGATTAGGAATCAGTGCACCGCCTTGTTCTTGTTTCATCCACGCTTTTTCCTTCGCCAAAATGCTCGTAACTTCGTTAATCCTGTTCTGCTGTCTATGCATTCGTAGTGCGGTGAAATGGGGATGCAAGGTAAAAAGATGGCCTTCAATTTCATCTGCAATCAGACGTTCGAGCTCCTTTGCGGCATCGACTGATGCTTTCTGGAAATCGGCATGCAACCAGTCCCGCAGCTTGACTCGAAGGTCGTCATCTGAGCAAACACTTTGAAATAATGCTTCATTAACCCGTTCAACAATGCTCTCCGCCTCCGCAAGAGCGTCCTCAGCGATGGCTCTCCAGCCTGTGGTCTGCTTTCTCCATAAAAAGTCTACTACTAATGGATTGAGGTCACCAGGAAATTCGGTCCCGCGAAAGCTCTCAATCACTTGTCGTATCCAGCCATAGGTTGGATCTATAGATTCATTTTAGCATTTTCATGATCTCGTTGTTCATATTGAAATTACTAAATACCTTTCATGAGTTTCTCCGACCATGTCATTCCGTCGTCGGCAGGGATAAGCTTCGCTTCCGCTGTACAAGTTACAAAAGGTTTCACTGGACCCTCTGCCTGTAATGTAGTACAAAACTTATCAAGCCCATCTCGAATTAGCTTCCTCGCAAACATATCAGACTTATTAAGCCCTCGATAGTTGCCATTTAAAGAGTTTTCCGCCATTCTAGAGTACTTCGTTGCAATTCCATTTATCAAAGTAAACTGCTGGAAATTGGTATCGCATGGTGGCCCTAGTTTGGAGATATCATTGTTGCACAGGGCAAGCTTTGCTTTGATCTCGGATAGAAGAATGGGTATACTCTGTTTCACATGTCTATTCCGCATCTTTATCAGATTGCTTCGTAGATGATGTCTGCCAAGCCTCTTTTTATTCAATCGATTCCATTCATCGCCTGAAAAGAAGGCACCCTCTATAGCATCTCTTTCTGCATCGCTGTTGTTGGCTTCGATTGGTGCCCTGTTACGCAAACCGTACCACCCTTCTTTCAGGTATCGTGGGGATTGGTCATCATTCTTGATGAGCTCAAAAACCTTGCGAAGGTTGTTAATAAGTTATTGTATAGGAATATTGGGTCAATTTACCCAGTCGTGTGATTGCTTTTGCTTGGTATCACACTTGTTGATAACTCCAACTATCCTAGACTCTTTATCCTCTATCTCGTCGAGCATATGCAGGACTTCCTGCCTTTCGAGATCGATCACATCTATAACAGCCCTTGATGATGTAAGTGGAATGACCAATAAGATAATTTCTGAGGGCTAGAACGTACACAATGATGCTTCTTGGGTTATGCATGTAATGCTGGACAAGAGTTTTGGCTGTTTGATGCTCCGTGTTTTTGGAATCTCCTGGTATACACTGTCAGCTCTATAAATATAAGTAAATGATGGTAATATTCACCGCGGATAAGACCAGGTATGTCTACAATCGCAAAATTCTTCTCGTCGGGGCCACGTTTAGTTATGCGTAGCACAGAGCTACTTAATCTATTGTATTTCGGTCTTCTACCAGGCCGGACATCGGCATGGTCTTCAATGATGACAGACTCTGCCTATACACTTGTAAGTAACAATATTGTAGAGAAAAACATCTGTCTCGAGCCGAACCTGCTTGAATATAGAATTCATGGTTTCCTTATCAAGCGTGGGCCCGAAAGCTAATGGACGCCATGAGGACAACAACTCCTTCCGCTCTTGAGTTTCATTGGAATCAGGAATGATCTCAACGGTCACCGAAACCGTGTCACTTGGCGAAGTTCTTTTGTGCACAATCTCGGTTGCAAAGCGAGTGCACATCTTATCATCGGTTGGAAAAGGAATCTCTGTCACAGCTTGGAGCACTGAGCTTTTACCAACGCTTTGGTCTCCAACGACAATTAGCTAGAAAATGTAAGCTCAGAGTGACATACACAAGCGAAAAGACATACTTGAGGTAAATTCACATATTTGGAGACACCCAACTTGTGCAGCTCATCCATGAGCTCGAGCTCTGCTTGTGTCTGCTCATCTCCAAAGTCATGTCCTATAGGTGATTTAAGATCTGGGTAGGCGGAAACCATGATGTGATCGCCTTGGAGAGGTTGAGATTGTAATGATTTAGTTGAAAGTCTGAAATAGTTCGAGTATTATCGATTGAGAAGTGTTTGGCAACTGGTCTTTGATGAAAATTTGTAACACAGTCCTGCTGTATACAGTTTAATAAGAATATTATTTTGAAAGTAAGTGGGAAATCCACCTCTTCTATAGATTATGCCATTGTATCTACATTGGAAGTATCCCGACATGGCTGAGACGGAGTGCATCATTTCTAAGATTTACTTCCTAGCAAACTTTAGATTATCCAGCTGAAAGGCTGAAAAGTCACAAATAACATTACAAAAATATCCTTCCTGTGCCCCGAGATACATGAGATTGCAATACTCCCTGGGCCGCAATCCAACGACCAAAAGCGTGTGATTCTCAAGGTACGGCGCGTGTTGGTTGGTGACTGTTGGTCCCGCGATTATGGTTCGCCAGGGTGCTGTTCTTATCGAATATATTCACTGAAGATACTGTTTCAAGTACAAAACAGTTCGTATCTTTGTATCAGCCCACTAGGAACGACATATTGTTGGGTTGACTATTGCGTGCCAAACGAGATGAAATGTAAATATAGTGACGAGTAGTGCTGCCTTGTGCCGCTCGTTTGTGATAAGGGCGCAGATGTGATGGCCTTTGCAGACAACCATCTGATAAATGTTTAATGCGCTATGTATTGGATGAAATGAGATATAGGAAAAGACGTGGAAGAAAATTGACAAAACGGAAGAAGGAAGAACAACAAGCCTACAGAGGACAATGACTTTGCCCATTAGACGCGAAACAATGCTTCAATGCCAATCTTTCATTGCTAACATGGGTTGATTTGAGACCATGAACTGAACGTTCAATGTACTCTGCACAATTTCAGCCACATTGAATGTCCTAGTCAACTCAAAACAATGAAGTGGTGATATCTTCTTAATGGAGGGAACAAGAGGTTGGGACACAGCCAGTAGCATGATGTGTTTTCCAGCAGCGAAGATGACCGCCCCGAGTGAGATTTAGAACCTTGCTTTCAACTACTCAACCTAATCATTTTCCGAAAAAGCAAAAATATGCAGTAGATTTTGAATTATGAATTTGTTAGGAACAAGAAAATGGTGACGACATCTACCTCGAGATCTACCACATTCGCTCAATTTGCTTATTGGCCTCGGTGTACCAGATGGCCCAAGCTCCAAAATTTGTCTATCAATCCCCAACACGTAAACACCACACTCCCTCCTTCATTCAACTCAGCTTCAAGGTCAACAACAAGCCTTTTTTTTTACTCACTCGCACTCCTTTCTCTGCCCAACTCAAGCCCTTTCTCTCCCGCCGCGATTGCAACCATGGATCCCCAAGATACTCGCTCACCCCCCGTCAAAAAGCGTGGTCCGAAACCCCTCCAGTCCTCCAATCGCAAAACCCAATACCTAATCCTCTACAACTTTGTGTCCGCACTTCTCTGGCTCGTCGTTTTGGGCCGAGTAGTTCTCCTTGTCCCACTCGTCGGATTCGGGCGTTTATATCCTGCTGTCGGTACTTTTGTAAAATGGACACAAACCATGGCACTTTTGGAGGTTGTGCATGCAGCTCTTGGTTCGTTCTTTCTTTCAACGTCCCTTTGTACGCGGCCGTGATTGAGCAAATGCTAATTCTCGATCTGCAGGAGTTGTACGAGCCCCAATTAGTACAACCGGTATGCAAGTAGCTAGTCGACTCCTCCTCGTCTGGTTCATCGTCAACCCATTTCCATGGGTAGCAAAAAGCACCGGGTACTCTACAATGCTCATTGCATGGAGTGTCACCGAAGTAATTCGATACTCTTACTTCGTTATCACACTTAGTGGATACAAGCCCGATATTGTTACTTGGTTTCGCTATAATACCTTCTTCGTTTTATATCCATTGGGGATCAGTAGTGAATGTTGGTTGATTTATAAAGCTATTGAACCTGCGGGAGAAATATATGGATCTCTGTATCCTTTAGTTTTGAAAGCAATTCTGCTGATTTATATTCCTGGTATGTTTTATGGTGATAATTTCGAAGACATGGGGATGCTAACGAGATGCAGGTTCATATATTTTATTCACACACATGATTAAGCAAAGGAGTAAGGTTTTGCGAGCACAACGAGAGATGTTGAAAGATGAATAGAGCACTCAAATTCCCATAGATTTTAGATCAAATAGGGGGGCCAGAATGGTTCGGTTGGTGTACATAGCCGGTCAGCCAACAATGGAACATTCATAGAAAATTTAGTTGGCAGCACAAATTTATAGATTTTTTTAACTTCAAACTCCACCTAACCCTCTCTAACTTATACACGATAACTGTTTGATTAGAGTGCAATGATTTTGCCAATCTTGCGGCTTACAAGAAGGTATCTTGAGTACATCATATGTCAACTTCTACGTAGTTTTACTGAAACAACAATCACAAATGAATAGACTCGCCAAGTTCAATGTCAACGAGCGAAGAAACACATGTTCTATTCATAAGACTACAACTGCAATGTACAGAAACATAGATATCATGCGTGCCTTTATTCAACCAACCGAGTGTCAAAAAAGTTAAAAAGTTGAGAGAATCAAAAGATGTAGTGGAAGGAATCTCATCTTCTTTTCCTCTTTCCACTGATTGACGCCCGTCGCCCCTTTCCCATACCCTAACATCTTTCCTTGACTTCATAAGAATCCTTTGCTCTTCACTTTGAGGAACAACTTCAGCCACCGCTAGCAAAATAAAAGTCCACGTGCTTGGGAAATGGTATCTCATTTCTTCAATAAGTCGATAGATTGTAAAATGAGCCGAAGTATTATGCACGACTTTGGCTGTAAAACCAGCGTGTCCAGCACACCTAGGAGATAATAGAAGAGATTGAGCGAAACTTATCAGATGTCATGTAATTCTAAACCTGAGAATCGAGATGAGGATGATTATGGCGTGGGTATTCATATTATTATAATTGTACGGGATAGGCTTAAATCAAGCTCAATGACGCGAGGATGTTGGAGGATGCCCCCCATCACGGAAATCGGCACCATTGGAAATCGGCTGACCTTCGGGCTTACGTCCAGCTGGCCAAAAATCGATAGCCTCAACGATATCCTCTCCTCGCTCATCCTCATAAGCATATATGATCTACAATCAATCAGTATTTTTACAAATTCACGCATGAATGTTGGAATGACACATACCTCTCGAGTGCTCGTATGCAGCATACGAATGCTCTTATGAGGAACAATATGAACAGCGTTAGTCTCAATATTCCTAATTTCAATAAAGTTCGGTTCGAAGGCGAGTATCCAAGGGTATGAAAGTGCGAAGCTCTGTGGTAGTCCCTCCCAATCAATCCTCCAGTCGGGTCTAGCTCGCCATCCATTGCGATTGACGAAGAAAGAGAATTCGGAGTAGTTGAGTAGAAACTCCCCGTTCAACCGCTCAATATGTATTGGTCGTACGTTCTCCTTTCGAGCAACGAAGTCCAACGATGTATCCGCCTGATCGAGAAGTGATTGAGTCTCTAGAGTTTCCAAAGATACTACTTCAAAACCACGTGCACAAGCTACACATAATTTTGATTTGAGGAAATGTATGGACGAAGATTCTGTTGGAATATAGAATTCTTTGAATGCCTTCAACTCGTCTTGACCATTGCTGAACATTTTGAACCCTTTTTGCTTCTTCCCTTTGGACATCGCGTCGTTGGGCTCAAATACTTTAATCGTGGTCGACAAAGCCGATGATTTAACACAGCATACAAGGTGGCGGCCTAAGCATATCCCTGTGCGGAAGAAGTTGCAATGACTTTGTATTTTCTTAGGCCGTTTTGAAAGTGCAGGCTCGTTCGGATTCAGCGCAGAAAGAGGATAAGACTGCAAGGATTTATTAGATAAAACCAGCAGAAGGTTATATTCTTCGAGGACATCGATCTGTGTGACACTGGTAGCATCCAATACTCGAAGTGGCTTTGCAGCAGCATCTTTTGATCTGCGATCAGAAACGAAGATGCCCGAGTCCGTACCGTATATCAGTTTACGTCCACCATCGAACGGTGCCACACAGTTGACCCTATTCGCAGTCGTGAAGAAGCTACTAGAAATGATAGATTTATTGTAGAAATCGCCTCGCGCACGTAATATGGCTTGTTGTTCACCTATGTGCTCCATCCATTTGTTTCTCATCCCTGCACTGCTTGCGTACAGTGTCAATTCATACCCACCTCTACCAAGGTGCCTGAAGGTGATGGGGAACCCATCTTTCTTACTGTTGTCATTTGTAGGAGTCTTGCTAGGAATCAAACTTGATGACGGGCGTTTCACAACTCCAAGTTTAGGCATAAACTCATCCATTTCGCGAATAGTTAACAGTTCAAGAGGAATTGGGCGGCGATATACTTTAATTTCCTCCTTCTTTGCCACTGTCTTGACACGTACGAGAAGAACAGCATGGTCGAAAAGGTAGGCCTGAATGTCAGTCGGATCTGTTGGTGTCTTCTTCAAAGGTCCTTTGTGGATGAGCTCTCGGTTTTCGTCAGTAAGCTTCAGATCTACACGCTCATTGGGCCTGAAACGAAGCTGTTCGTGCAATCGCTTCAGGTTGAAGCGATTCTCGGCTTTTCCAGATTCGGCATTGACCCTGGTGAGGAGTTCACGAATCATCTTCATGGCTTTCGGGATATCTTCCTTGTCCTTGTTTCCATCGTCGGTATACTTAAGAACATTATCTAGCAAGAGTGGGTAACGGGCAAGTCTTGTTGTCGGCTTCGTTAGATAACCATTCAGTTCAAGCTTTCTTGACTCTTTTCGCCTCTCTGTCTCGTCTACAAATTTAGAAAACGAGGGATTCAAAGATCGCTCGTTCTCAAACTCAAATTTTCCCGCCAGTTGATTTGATCCGTATATTATAAAAGGCTCGAACTGAGGTACAAACTGAAGGAATATATCACCAACACATTGCACAACAGGATGCTTCCGCTGGCGTTCTGTGAGTGCTTCGGCAAATTTAGAACTGATAGCATGAATACTCGGCGGATCAACAATATTTGAAAATATGGTTCTGACTATTCTCTCTTTTCGAGCCTCTGGAATAGGTGATGGAGAGAGTTGATTGACTGAGCGTAATGGGAGAATCCAAAAGTCTCGTAGATATTCGAGATCCTTAACAAAATCTCTTTCGGTGTACATAATCTCTGAAATGACTTCTTGACGTTTCTTTTCCCGTTCACCAACGCTATCCGCAATTTCTTGAGAGACTGTGTTAATCCAGAGCTTTTGCTCGTCAGGTTCATCGACATCATGCAGACTTGCTTCGGACTTTTCGCGACGAAGACCAGGCTGTGGCTTCAAGTTCAATCGAGATTGCTGTTCAAGTCGACGAGGGCAAGCTATCGAATAGCACAACTGATCTCTGGTACACGTTGGAGAATAACATTCGGTGAGTAAAACGAACACGCCATTGACTTCTGGTGCTTCATGAGGTTCGTCCATCATCGTTTCTCGAAATTGATACATCTCTGTAGCAGAGTCACGTAATCGATGATCGTAAGTCACATCGTGAAAAAACTTCTGGGCATCAAGAGCTCGTCCAAGCAACAAGGCAAGATTTCGATCGGTAGTCTTGATGATATACGAGATAATGTCCACCGCCTCCGCTCCACTGAAAGCATTTTTGTATGTGAGGTCATTCTTCGTTCTATCACCGACTAAGATTTTTTCTCGAAAGCAGTCGCCAACCCGTGACAATAGTGCCGGATATACCAGAGGAGCTTTGTGTCTAGATGATCCTCCGGCCGTGCTGCTAATTGATTTGGCCGAAGGCCGATGCGTTAAGACATCCGAATGCTCCGGTGGGACAATAGTTGAAGCCATAGACATCGATCGACTCATATCTGGCGCAACAGTAGAGGCCATACTAGCAGTCCGTGTTGCAGTTGCGGGAACAGGAGGGGGGATAGAAAAAGCTGGTAGCTCATGCGGCCCGTTCCCCGAAGTCCGTCGATTTGGAATCACTCGTCCACTCATAGTTTGATGCTGGTCACGATCTTGTGGATACGTAGTCAGTGACATCGTGCGCTCATCAGGTCTCTCTGGAATATTGCGTCCGAGAGCGGTTGTTTTTGCGGGTTGGTGTTGGTATTGAGCTTGCCGAAACGCATTGGCGGGAGCTTGATTGAAGTTGCTAGGTGGCGGTTGGTACATTTGTGGCCTAGGTATACTCGCCATCGATTGAGACCGATAGGGATCGGAGGCGAGTGCTGGAGCATTGCCTGTGTAATATCGCTGCTGTTGGGGTCTAGGAGGAAATGGTTGTTGGGGGGCAATGCGCTGAGGAGTAGGGTACGGTCTTCGATCGCTACGAACCTGCTGTGGCAACGAATGAGGTTGTGGTTGAGAAGGTACTTGTCCAGGAGGTGGTTGTCGGGGTCCTTGATAATAGCCATTGGCCATGCCACCTCCATTTAGCATATTGTTCCCCTGTTGAGGCCGATATCCGCCCTGGCCCGGAGCTTGTCTGGGAGGCATCCCGCCTTGCATTCCTGACGTCTGCGAAGACATCGTTTGTGTGCGACCCTGAGGCATAATTGGAGGAGACACAGATGAAGTCATGGTTTGCGATCGGCCGGGAGGAGGGGCAGCACCGAAGATATTTGAGAAAGCGGTTTCCCGTTGATAGTTCGAAGCATGACCATATTCATTCGGGCGACCATTATTCCCCCGCCCTTGCTGATAATCTGCCATTTTGTATGCCAAAGAGTATTTTTGTTGTGTGAATGCAATGTAACTCTATTCGTTGATCCTTCTGTTGGCCTAGAATGAGGAGCCAAGACTCGAAGCCGAGGGAATTAACCCCGGGACAACCTCAGGACCGATGGTATTATGGACCCTATTATGACATTCACTAGTACGGGGCTTAAAATTTCAATGTCGAATTGATTCGAGGTGGTTGTTGAGGTTGAGATACGGGTAAGATAATGATTAACTTTGTTGTTTCGGAGTCGGAGGATGAGTTGGGGTGGTATGTAGTTGATCAGCTCAAGCGAATGAATGATCAGCAAGCCTTTCTAGAGTCGTATTGCGTGTTATTTATCTATCTTGTTCGCAGGAGGAGATAAATAAATGGGATAAAAAGCGTCGGAAGAATGACGCCAACGTTAAGATGTATGCTTCTCCTTCTTCTTCTTTCCCTTGATAGGCTCAATAGAATCTTGTGAACCTTCCAAGGTCGCTCTAGAAGGGTAACCAGGAGTAGGATTTCAAGTTATGGAAGACGGACGGACTGAACCGAATTGTACTGTATTGTAATGTATTGGTGTTGCTGTTGTGTATATGGAACTAAATTTTTGGCTAGTTCAAGTTCTTTTTTGGCGGTGCGCCGGAGCATTGGATGGTACCGTATCCTTTTATTAGTGTGGCTTTCGGATGCGGCGAGAGAGGAATCCTTCTTCCTTTTCGAAGCTTGGAAGTCTCAATCAACACTACCTAGGTACTTCATAAAGCTAGAGAATGGGCAGTAAAGAACACACTTGGAATCAAAGGCAGAGTAGTCGTAAGAACTCCTGGAGGATCAGCACTTTATCAGTCTGTGCAACCTGATCTCTGGTAATTGAATTGGGAAGAGTGATTGTGATTGTATTTATTATTATTATTGTATGCATGAACATGATATCAATTCCATAGGTACATATCTACGAGGTACCTACCTAGGTATCGACTTGAACAATCAATTGGATATTTTTCGAATTCGGGTGCTGGTGGTGTCATTTATTAGGTGACTAAGCCGCCCTTGGGTAATTTTGGTGTGTGTGTACTCGTGCCGTACCGATTATAGTAGATGTGACTCTATAGATTATCAAAAAGAGCTGGAGGCGCTTGTATACTAGGTACTAACTTATTAGCTCCACCCAACTGAAGCCTGGATTTTGATAGCTTTCATCAAACAACAACACTCATTTCGCAACCTCTCAACTGTCAACTGTCAATTTTCATCCAACTTTAGTGCATCAATAAATACACTTACAGAGTAAATCAATCATGGCAGAATCAGATCTTGCCCCAAAGTTCGCCCCCTTCTTTGGAATGGTACGAAGCTCAAACATGCGTCGTCTTGGTAATGTCATGATGCTAATGGCTTCTACAGGCTGGTATCGCCTTTGCGATGACTTTCGGATGTATGCCATCACTTCTCAAGCCCAAACTTATCGCACCGTTCACTAATAGCCTCAAGGTATCGGTGCCGCATATGGCACGGCAAAGTCTGGTATCGGAATTGCAGGTGTTGGTACTTTTAGACCTGACTTGATCATGAAAGTGCGTAATCACCTAGGAAGATTCATACATGCTACACGTACTGACTTGGTGCTCGATCTAGTCACTTATACCTGTGGTCATGTCTGGTATCATTGCAGTCTACTCTCTCGTCATCGCCGTCCTTATAGCTGGAGATATGGGACCTCCTCCTGGCCAGAGTTACAGTTTATTCAAGTATGCACATCTTGTTGGGTTCTGTACAGGTAAATACTAACATATTCATAGCGGATTCATGCATTTAGCATGTGGTTTGTCGGTTGGATTAACAGGCCTGGCCGCTGGTTATGCAATTGGTGTAGTTGGTGATATGGGCGTTCGATCATACATGCAACAGTCACGAATCTTTGTTGGAATGGTCTTGATATTGATTTTCGGCGAGGTTCTGGGACTATACGGGTAGGCTCACTTCACAAAATTATCTTCAAATTGTCACATTGGCTACGTACTAATTCGCTATCTTAGCCTGATTGTCGCGCTCATTCTCAATACCAAGAGCAGGGGTTAGAGATTCGTTACCAGAAGCAAATACTCTTTTTCCGGTCGTACGACAATATTATTTGGTTAGATATGAAGTGACGGCATTGCTTGGAGTTTGGGTCGCGTATAGTTTGTAACAAACATGTCGCAAATGTTTGAAAATCGATCACTGTGTACAACACCTTCGAAAACAAGCGCGATTATAATCTATCAACAATCCGGCGGCGAGTTCGCGCTTCATAAATTTTACTTGTCACACTTGCCTGATCTCCGTTCAGCATTCACGCGCAAAACATATCTCTCGCGCAGCATACATAATCCACAGACTCAGAGGAATCATTCCATTTGTAGTCGGGTGGGTTTTCCATAAAGTTTTGTGTGGTTGTACACCATCTTTATCCAACATTGTATACTATTCAAACCTTATCATTTCTTCTTGGTACACTTTTCCAACTGATAGGGCCCGTTTGTGTTTCGTTGTGTTCTCTCGTTTATTGTTCTTGTTTTCACATGAAACGTTGCTAGGTGATCTCCTTCCGGGACTGGACACCATTTTGATGATATTGATGCACCTCACCTAGCAATTCTTATTCCAGTTGGCCGCCTAGCCGCGGAACATGAGTAAGGCTTGAATACTGTAGCCATTCTGCGTTCAAGGGGGATACTATGAAGGTGTAGAAAGCACCGTCTGCCTTGCCTGTCCGGTTATTGTTGAAGGAGATGTAGGAGATACAAAAATGCATGTAATGTCAACTTTATATATCCCCAAGCAATCCTTCAAGATCTTTTTGTGAAGGTGGTGATAAATTGGGCATTGGCCCATCTATCACTAGGTACCTACGCATAATATTCAACTCCAAAGCCAAAAACGATACTTGATTTTGCAACGTAGATGAACCAGATTCACCTAGAATTTTAACTCGGGATAATCATGATCACTTTGAATAGAAGACCAACCTCTTTTTGAGTGTTTATCTCACTTGAATGTTCCATCAAACTAATAATGTACAGTCCAGGAGTAATAACCGTCTATCATCAGAACAATTCAGTTGAACGAAACTTATCACTATCGTAATCATTACTATCTACGGGAATACTCATTGAAGAATAATCCTGTTGGCCAATCCCTATCTTCGGATGCCCGCGAACCCGTCAAGTCATGGGTAGATTCTGGAGTTACCTTGTGATATTGCAACTGAATTCTCCCATTGGATGAAACTCGCGACATATTAACTTCCTCGCTTCCTGTCCCCTTTTAGTTTTACTTTGTCAGTATGACTGATTGTTTGTTCCAAGACATAGATGATGTCTATTACTACATTTGTAATCACTTTTAGGTGTCCACCAGTGGGTGTACGGACTCACGGGACAGTACAAAAATGAACTTGTAAATATCTTTTGATATATTGAACCATTTATTTTAAAATTTGTTATATTTCTTGAATAAAGATAAAATAATCAAAATACAAATTCTGATATCAAACAATTGAAAAATGGATTTATTGAAAATATTGAAAATTGGGAAGTGTCCCGTCAGTCCATGCACCCACTGGTGGTCTACTCAAAAAGCATGAAATCATTGATGAAAATAAATGAACGTTATCGGTATCTTAGCGGCAGGTATCAGCCACACAGCCGCCACACTATCAAATCTCGAAGCCTCCAGCTCCTCCTGCAACACAAAGTTCATGCTAGTGTCTCTCTAGACTCACCAAGGTGCAAACTAACCATTCTGCAAAACCTTCCTATTATCTACAAATTCTGTATCCCCTCTTCCTCGGTGATCCCTTCTATCGTAGGCGACAAGTACCTCCGGGACTTATTTAGTTGCGGGAGTATTATGGTCAGGTGTCACGACATCTTGTGTTTGGTCAAACCCTCAATTGCTTGATATCGCTAGCTGTTTCTATCTTGTACTCAACTTCCTTCACAAGATTAGTTGGATTTCAAGTTTAAGGGCATTCTTGCCATAATGTATATGATCAACTGTTGGAGTGGAAACCACGTCGACGTGGTCGTGCTCATACAATCCCTGCTTCACGTGCCAATGTAGATCAGGTACAAGTAAAGCTCACGAGGGTTTAAATCGAAGCTTATTCCCACAAGTGTGTCGGTTTACATCTTTGCCTACTGGAGTTCCCAGCCACTGCTGCACACGACGCCCGGCATTCGAGATCGTTTCTTCATTATCTCACAAAGTAAATCAGTCTATTTTTGTAGTTATGGCACAACACAATCTTTTTACTGGTGAACAAAGTGCAGATCTTTCTTTGCGGTGAAGTGACTCTCCGCCCCTCGATAAACCTCCTATTGTCACGGGTTCGCTACCCGCCTTCTTTGCTTTAGAATTTGCTACTACAGGCAATTTATGCCTTTCAGAAGGAATTCCACCGTCCTCGGAGAGATGCGACGATACTAGCTTTGTACCCTATGCAATAGTCGCAGGTTTGTCCCACGATTGGACCAGAAAGATTTCAATCTGCCATATCTGAAGCCATTTGGATTCGCCTGACTACCGGCCACGAGATCATTGCCTAGGTACTTTTGTAATGTCTTTTTGATATGGCGCAATAATTCACTACTCGTGTGAGACAGAACGAGTAGTGGGGGGTTGCGTAGGACGATTAAACCTAAAGAAAGTTTTAGGGCACATCGGTGTTCCCTGGTATCTAATACCTAGGTAGTGATAATCGGCCGCTAAGAAGACTATTATAAGAAGACGATGAATCCTCTTGCTACCAGGTCCTCATCAAGTCCTCACCAAGTCCCCAACACAAGGATCTACCACTCTATCTTCAATCTGTACATCGCCCTCGGAACTTGTCAAAGATGCTTTCCAACATCACAGCCTTCCTCGCTCTTGGAGCAATTGCCCAAGCAGCTCCAACTCCAGCTCCAGGAGCTGCCTCTTCCGGTTCAGCATCTCACAGTGTAACAGCAATTCACAATCCGAATTATGTTCGCAATGGTACTGCATCTTTGCTCAAGGCCTATGCCAAGTACCACATTCAGCCTACCCAACCAATGTCTGATGCGTTCATATCGGCACTCCAAAAGAGACAGGATTCTTCTGCTCCAGCTTTCCCAGTCAATGGTGTTGAGTATCTCGTTCCTACTATCGTTGGAGGTCAAACTCTCAACCTTGATTTGGACACTGGTTCGGCAGACTTGTAAGTGTCACAGTTCTTAGAAAACCCTCACCCTGCAAACCATGATCCTAGAGGTTCAATTTTACTTCAAGTGACGATCAATGCATCTCACCTTATTTTACCAAATTTACTGACTATTGTATCAGATGGGTTTTCTCCTCTCTTCTAGCTGCCTCCTCTCGCAGAGGTCATGACATGTAAGGAATCATTCATACCACATGAGATAGCATAAGTCAAGAACTAACAAATCCTTCAGCTACACCTCAAGCAAGAGTTCCACATTCAAGGCTCTCTCGGGTTACACCTGGAGCATCCAGTATGCCGATGGATCTGGAGCAAGTGGCACTGTAGGAACAGATACCGTCAAGATTGGTGAGACTACAGTCACTGGCCAAGCAGTTGAACTTGCCAACAGAGTCTCTTCTTCATTTGTCACTGATGAATCTGATGGACTCATCGGTATGGCTTTCAGCAGCATTAACACTGGTAAGTCTTCGTGGCTTAGATAATCACTCGATAAGAAGACCGCATCGCCTAACTTCACATCAATTAGTTGAACCAAGAGCTCAATCCACCTTTTTTGACAATGCCGAGAGCTCTCTCAGTTCCCCACTCTTCGCCGCCTACCTCCCATTGAATGCAGATGGAGCATACGACTTCGGATATACCGACTCTTCCAAATACACTGGAAATATCACGTACACCCCTGTCGACTCCAAGAACGGTTTCTGGGAATTCCCATCTGCATCTTACAAAGTCGGCTCTACCGTCCGCAGCTTATCAGGATACACTGGTATTGCTGATACAGGAACCACACTTATCCTCATGAGCGACGCCGTTAATACTGCATACTACGCTCAAGTCCCTGGTGCCAATTACTCCAGCTCTTATGGAGGATACATATTCCCTTGCGATGCTACTCTCCCTACCTTGTCGTTCAAAGTCGGTCCAACTGACTATGTGACAATTCCGAGTTCCTTGATGAATTTTGCAGTCGCGGATGGAAACACTTGTTACGGCTCGCTTCAAAGTGTAGGTGGCGGTAGTCAGAACATCTATGGAGATGTTTTCTTCAATGCTTACTATGGTGTTTTTGACAAGAGTGGACCTTCATTTGGTTTCGCTACTAGTGCGTCTATTTAAGAAGTCATGCATGATATGAAGGGATTGATCTGGGGGATTCGGGTATGAAATTATGGGAATGAATGACTGGATGGAGCGGGGATTTGATTGGGATTTCTGCGCACAGGTTTCTGCAGATTTGGCTCTGAATGTCATATTGGACTGATTCCCTTTATCATGATTGACACATTTACCAATATTCCTGCTGTTTTGTTGATAATTTTCTGTGATCTTTTGCGTGTGAAATCTGATTTCTGGGATGATGTGCTGTAATAGGAGGAGAAGTGAAGTCCCCTCCGGCTATACTGAGAGCCAAGCTCGGTACCACGTCTTGAGTACTGGCGCAAAAGTACGAGCGCTATGGATATTGTTTTTGTATTTACCTAGGTATTGTTTCGGTGTACTACCAAGTTTTGGCCGCGGGTTCAAATTTCAAATTTCAATACACGGTCAAGAGATCGATTAGAATTCTAGCGTGGAGTTAGTAGTACTGTGTTATCGAATGTTCGAGGACGTGGCGCTTCTGCTGAGCTTTGCTACATGATGGAGATGAAATGGCAGTGAGTCAGGTTCGTAGGTAGTTTTTGATGTTTGCTAGTTACCGGGATTCGTATGTAAAGTTGTTAAGCTGATAGGAAATCACTGAGAAACGGAAGCTGGAAGATTGTGGTAAATACTGATCTTATCAATTATAAGGCAGAATGGCTTTAAGATGAAGTTGAAAATTGAGAATGCTTGAAGTGTTTCATGGCATTGTGTATTCTACCTAGGTATGCAATGCATTTAGTGTCATTGATTCACTCCATTCTTTTCCGATGCCTATGGATTTATACGGTATGATCACCAGGTAACCTCTTACACTAGACTTGAACATATAGAGTTTCAAACGAAGGAGAGAGGAAGAAACAATGGTGTTGTCCCTGTTTTTGGTCTTCTCGGGAAGGCAGGTGCTTTCACTAGCGCGACTGCAAGCCCCCCGCCTTCCTCTCCCTCCAAATCGAAAAGTCCATTTGCCGATATTGCAAAATGTAGAATTTATAGGAAAATTGGAATTGTGTTTTGGAAACGTTGTCTTTTCTGACTATCCTTGATATTCAATGTATTGAATAACGTTTAACATCTCGGGCTGTAAGATGCCTTCCTCTCTGGGACGAATTGCTACTGCATCTATGTTTCCTTTTAACATTATTCCATCTATGGCTGTTCTGTTGTCTTGCAACCCATATGACATGATAAGCATACTAGGTATATCAATCTTGGATTTAAAGGTCTGGCATCAACTCTTCGCATGATGCAAACGAAAGATGCAAATCCCATTGTATATATAGCCAACAAGTATCAAAAAACGAGTGTCCTAACGATCACAGAATTAGTTCGGGATTGAAAGTATATATAACTATATATCAATGCTCTACACTCTCAGATTGTAGAGTTCAGATCTCCAAGCTAACAGCGGATGCCTCCTGACATTCTGGGCCAGTTTCGATGTTCAAAAGCTCAAACCCAAAGCATCATGGTTGCATACATCACTTTGTCATCGTGTACACTTCAGTCACTGGGGAGACAGTATTCATAAGGCAAGACTGGTGCTTTTAAAGTTCGAAGATTATATCGAACATCAGAGGTGATATCACATTGGACCGAAGTCAAAGTTTAAGTCCAGCAGACATATTTGCTGAGTTTCGACCTGTTTACTGCCAGTGAAAAATTCGATGTCTACTGGTTGATTTCCTATTCACTCTACTCGCTTGCCTCGATACCTAGCAACATCTGATATTGCGTGCGCGAGGCAAAAGTGAATCTCACGACAACAAAAACGCCCGTACCCTAAAAAGAAGAAAGTCAGTACAACTAGTACAACCAATAGACAAACTACAACCGTACGATAGAAAACTATAAGAGATTGATAATCGAATGGTATAAGTTCACACATAAATTTTCTTCTCGTAAAATTAATTCCTCCCTTTCCTGTCTCCAGAACCCAAATTATCATATAAATTAATAACAATCAACAAAACAATGTCTATGGAATTCGGAAATGTTCACTCGACGGCCATTGAGGGCGCAACTTTTACCTTCAATCTCGACGATGCGCCAGCTCAAAAGCAGAAGGATGGCACGTAAGTACTCTATATTAATAATTCACGTGATGAGTGTAACAATGCTAACCTTGGAATGTACAGACCTTTGAAGCCTTGTCCCAGGACCGATTGCGTCGCACATCGAACAAAGCAAACGCAGCTTGAATGGGAGCTCAAAGAAGCGCGCATGTTGGCCCAACAAAAGGAAGAGGAGGTGTCGACAAGAGTCGCCCAGCTCGAATCCTATGACCAAAGACTTCAAGCAGCACATATCGATCTTGCAGCTTTTGAACCTATCGTTGCGAAACTAGAAGCAGGCTATATCGAAGAAAAGAGAAAGAACGAAAATTTCGCAGTTCTCGAAGAAAGATACATTCAAGAGAAGCGGAATCTCGAAGCAAGATATACCGCAGAGAAAAAGAAGCATACCGTCGAGTACGAGGATCTAAGAGAGAAACACTTTGACCTACAGGATAAAATGGCCGCGGCAAGAGACGATAATGCTACTACTGTAGAGAATCTCCAACGGGAAATTACAAGGTTGGAGTTAAAGATTGTAGAGAATGACAAATACCTCGAATATGTGGAAACTCAAGCGAATGGTAGGGAACAGAGGTGCATTGCTAGGGAAGCCCGATGTGAGGCTATGGAGGGAGAAAAGGGTGATTTGAAGCGCAATATAGTAGAGCTCCAAAAGGTTATCGGTGAATTGGAGACCAAAATGGAAGATATGCAAGCGGAATCCGAAACATTGACTTACGAGTTGAAAAACTACAAGGAAGATTTGGCGGAAAAAATAACCGAGAACGAAAAGCTCACAAAACGTGTGGTCGCTGAAAAGGAAAGAACCGATAATTACAGAAACGATGCTAGACAGATTCAAAAAGAAAACAAAGAGATACAAAAGGCATCGGAGAAAAAAGAGCAGGAAACTCAGGCGCTTATTAAAGGCATGGAAAAGGGCAGCAAAGATCTGGTGGCAAAAGGAGGAGTTGGAGCGTCACCAGAAGTGCAAAAGCTGATGAGAGACTATATCGAGATGTGCCGCAGTATCATACAGCAGATTATAGACACTCGAAAGGCTCAAATTCCAGTTTTCGACCCAGCCCCAGGAACTTATCAACCCAAGGACGGTGAGAGCAGTGAAAATTCAGCGGCAGGTAGCAAAGATTCTAGCGAGAGTAGCAGCAGCAGCAGCTCTTCTGAAGACGAGGATGAGGAAGAAGGGGAGGAAGCGGTGGAGGGAGAAGGAGAAGGTAGTCCCGATCTCCAACTCATCAACAAAAAAACCAGACGTCGCGGGCATGGCCCTGCCGCTGGTCCTGAGATTCAAATTCAGATTAAAGAAGTAGAAGTGATTCGAGAAGTTCACATTCCCGGCCCTGAAATTCTCGTTCCAGGTCCTACTATCGAAGTTCAGGTCCCTGGTCCTATTCAATACGTTGATCGCGAGATACCTGTGCCAGGACCTAGCATATTCGTCGATAAACCAGGCAAAGATGTCCCGGGGCCAATTCGTTATACACCATTCCGAGTGTTCGCTCACAATCCCGTCATTTGCTGGCTCTTGGTCGAATTCAATTTCCTCGTTCTTTTCTTCCACTGGTGTAAGCGTATGTTGAGCTTTCTTAGTCGGTTCCCTGCAATGACTATCGGAGTGGGCCCTTGGAACCCACCACCTCCTGATGACGATGACGATTCCGACGACGATAATGCAGCTGGAGAACCTCCGGATGCTGATAGAATACCCAAAATTGGACCTAAACTTCTCTCTGTATTATTCAATCCAAAGCCTGGAAGAATACCAAACGCCTGGGATACTTTTTGGGGCTTGGCGTTTCATATGATCGTCTATAGTGTACTTTGGTTGTTTCTCTCGGTTGCCTACGAACGCAAGCTTTGGCTTGCAGAAAACGATTCTACTCGTAGATGGCTTCATCAAATAATTGCGCAGCACGGCGGTAATGGTTTCCTTGGTATGAATCAAATCTTACCTCAACGTGTCATTCGCCTATTAGAGATATGGAGGTTTGAACTTGTGGAGCGTATGGGCTATCCTGTCGCATATCAGTTCCCTGGTTGATATGTACGCATGTGATATGTAGGTTCATACTACCTGGGAACATGTATTGAAGAATTGGGGCATAGCTGTCATGCATAGCTTCTATGTTTGATGAGCATGACTCTTCTTTTCAATGCGTCTCTTGCCTCGCTTCCCTCGACACACTGCTTCTCACCGGGTTCCTTCCACGGCACACGCGAGGCACAGTTTTATGAGACTGCCGCTATTCCTCCTTCGTGGTGTTTTGGATGGATGGTTGGATGGATGGAATATCCTAAACTTGCTGCTTTACGAAAAGAACAACGTGTTCATAATTTCTCCTTATAGTTCTGGCTCTACACACTAATGTATTTTTTCTAATTTGTTTTCTTTGGACACACAACTACTTGGATGACACGAGTAGAGTAAATTAGGGGATTGAACATGCAGCCTCGCGATAGTACAAAAGCCTGTCATTCCAGATGGTATATGGTTTTATGTCTGCTCGCTGGTTTCTAAGATGACCCAAGATTAGCATTGAATTGGTATGTATTGAATAAGACAGATTTTCATTTCAGACACTGTTCATATGCATTAGAGCTTGTGAAATGTTGACTGAACATGCATCTTTCGGAATATCCGGATGTGAGATAGAGTTGGATATTAGTACTCCGTATACTTTTTGCGTTGTTCAATGACAGAAATAAAAGATGATAATTGTGATAACCAGGAAGAATTTGATATCTCTGAACAGAAGGATAGATTTAAACTATGTACTGCTAGATTACCTTTCCTGTTTCTCATCATGCCATCATGCCGTCATGCCGTACATATGTCATCCCTAAGCTATCTCGGCAAGCAAGAGAGAACGATGAACTGCAAAATAGTCACACTTTTGAAAAATCATTATCAAATTAACCACTTACGATTGTATTGGCCATTTAGTTTCAGGAAACCATTGACTTCTACTATCTATTTGTAGAAAATGTCCAGATCTTCAGATTCGTCGAATTGATTACAATTTCATTTCCAAATCCTAATGTCCAGACCCATTTCATTGTCTTTCTCCATCTTTACTAATTCTAGCCTTTTACCCCCTGTAGACCAAAGTGCCTCGGCATGCTGTATGCTTAATAAACATCCATTTCTTTCTTCAGTCCAGACTTCAAAATCGAATTCCAATTATCCATTTGCTGACAGAGAATTCAAGATTGAATTGATTGAAACCGTTGCAATTAAATAGTTTATAAAGGTTCAAGTATTCATTTCTCTTTACTTTCTCTCTCATATTATCTATTTTTCATATCAAACCCGTTCTCAGTAAGGTTACCTACCTGCAATCGTACATATCCTACGTTTTCATCTTCATTACATTGCAAACAGCCTTGATATCAAATAAACATCTAGAACGATTAGGCACTGATCACGGGACATTCTCCGCATGCGATAATGTCATAGGATTTTGAAAGTCACTCCACCACCAGATTAATCAATCGATACGAGTATCGAAGAGTACAACATCATTTTGTACAACCCATTTTCTAGCATCACAATATCCACAAATCCATACAAAAATACTTTCACCATGTCCGACAAACTTGTTCCTTCAGATCCAGAGAAAGTCATGGTTATCCGTGATGTGACGCCGAATATCACGACACTCTCAGTGCCTTTCTTACGATTTGGCATGATCAAATTCGGTGGTAGAGCTACTATTGGTATATCTCTCTTCTTCGCGCACTCATTACATACAAATGCTAATAGATCATCCCAACAGTTCGTCTCACATCTGGTCAACTCGCCGTCTTCTCTCCCGTGGCCCTCACCCCTTCGGTAACAACCAAACTCCAATCCCTCGGAAACCGCGTCGCCTACGTGGCAGCCCCCGATCTCGAGCACCACATCTTTCTTTCCGACTGGCACAAAGCCTATCCAAACGCCCACTTCATTGCTCCCGAAGGGCTTGCCGAGAAACGCGCCGAACAAGCCAAGTCGGATAAAAAGGTTACCAATGTCCATTTCCAAACGATCTTTACCAAGAAGAACAAGGCCGAAATTCGAATCTCTCCGGAATTCGACACAGACTTCGAATATGAATTTGTCGACTCACATCCAAATAAGGAATTGGTGTTTTATTATAAACCGGATAGGACGTTGATTGAAGCAGACTTGATGTTTAACATGCCGGCTACGGAACAGTATTCTAAGACGGGAGAGGACGCTACTTCGGGATTTGCAACAAAGTTGTTTGGTCATCTTCAGACGACCAATGGATCAGCGATATGGCAAAAGAGAATGTTGTGGTATTTGTTCAGTAAGAGTGATAGAGAGGGTTTCAATCAGAGCGTGAAGAGAATTAACACGTGGGGATTTGAAAATATCATACCTTGTCATGGAGATACGATTGTTGGGAACGGTAAAGGGATCTTTGAGAAGGTTTTCGCATGGCATTTGCAGGGAAAGAACTCCAAGTAAGAGTATCTGGCTACAGGGTTGAAAGAGGGGAGTTGGAGAAAGGCGTCTTCGGAGGGGATGGGTGGGTTGTGCAAGCTAATAGTATTTCCTTTCGAATATGTTATCGAATATGAGTGGATATCTTCATTGTGTAGGATTATAGGTGTCGAGTAATTGTTTCCTTGCGATTTTGGGGACATTTCTCAAATTTTAGCATTAGCGCTTGTGGAAAGGGAAGAACAGAACTAGAGTTAATACTTAGCTATCAGATTGTTTTCACTCGGGTTTTCTCTCTTTGAATGCATCTGACTTTTGTTTGTCATATTTTATTCTTCTATTATTGAGGGCCTCGAATTTATCTTGCTTTATGTTAGTGATCATTACCAGAGGAATAAGTATTCACCATACCTAGGATTTGGAAATCAAAGGCTCGGTCGAAATTCACCATACATCATCCTTCATTGTGCTCAGCCCGAAACACCCGGTAACAGTTCTCATCCACTCGATCAACTTCATTCCTTCTAATTGTCATCCTGTGCAAAAGTGCAAGTGCAAGGATAAGTCCACGTACAAAGATACCCCAGCTAGTTTTGAGATTGAAATGTATATGGGTTTATGAGTAGTAAATGCTAAACAGTCTTGGGAGGATAAGGCAGGCAAGTATTAGCGACCTACCTAAATATTTTCAAGAAGTTTTTGTACATCTGCTAGAAGTGGTATTTATGTTTGAAGCGGCAAAAATGAAATAAAACGGAATGGAATGGAAGAGCATACATGCAGCTAACTGCAAGGGGGGGAGAGAAACAAGAAGCTCTGAAGAAGTGCACATTTGCGAAATGTAGTCGTTCGTTGGATCTTGGCCTTGGGAGCTAGGGCTTACTTTGAAAGATCCACGGCCAACTAGCTACTCATATTTTAAGTAACAACCTGCAATTGAAGCTTGAGTGAAGTGTGTTGATGATGTGCTGGAACCCACCCCTGTTCTGTTGCTTGGGCTAGGGGTCGACATCATTGTCTTGTTAGCCGAGTATATGATTTATCTGTATTGTGCGGAAAGTTTTGGTGTTTGGTTGGGCATTTTTGGGATGAGTTGTTTGCGTATTGTGTCTTCTGTCTTCTGTGGGTTTGTCGTGTCTTTATGGGTGAGCGGGTTATTGGAGAATTAGTTTACAATGCGGATGTGATTTTGGGTAATTATTTTCTATAATTCACTACTGATATCTAGCAATCATACCCAGAGCAATTATTGTATTACTCTGTTCGTTCGCAACAGCCGTGTCGGGTGTCATAAAATCTACGATCCTCTCCAGGATTCCTCATTCAAGTTATTGAGTTCATACTCCGCGAACTAACCATCTCAATTCTTATTATGAGTGCTCTTCTCTCGTCACGCTAATTAATACCAAATCCATTGTACTCTTCAACTATAGCAGCTAACATAGTCTCAGTTCCTTTACGCCTGTGCGGAATATAGGCAAGACTGGAAATATTCCAGTCGAATGTTTATCCCGGATGACTTCCAATCTCAAGCCTGTAGCCCTTTCTTGCAATAATCGATGACGTTGGGCTGATTCGAGATTCAGTAAAGATTGGTTGGAGATGAGAGAAATGCAGAAGTAATCATGCACTCTTGTGAGTGCATTGTGAGTTCAAGGGCAGTCCTTGAATCCTACCTACCGCAAGACCGCACGCGGAAAGATATGGCTCGATGGTGGTGTGCCCTATCTCTTGTTGATGTGTGTCTTTATCATCTTGGTTGGAGCCACGCTTGCTGCTGTTCTCGGTGGTCCTGGTACTTCCTTGATCAAAGGGAATGCAATTTATGTAAATGCCAAGTAGGTTACGCGAAGGTTACCTGTACCCGTGGATAATCTGTAGATGGTTTGTATCTATTGTCTTGCCATGTGTTGCGCTTGGCCTAATGGATTCCTGGTTAAAGTCCAAATGTACCTCCTAGAGAAACAATGTATATCTGAACTGTTCATGACAGCAATGACACATTTAATTTTCATCGCTTGGGGTAAAATGACACAATGTTGACACTTAATACCCGAACCGGGCTAAGCTAAACCATACACGTGCACGAAAGTTCCCCCAATACCTCCTTAGAGTAGGAGAAATAATATTTCTCATGGGCTAAAAATAAATCGACTAGCAAAAGCCAATCCGTGGAAACACTGGCGAGTCATTCAGAACAGAATCTCCGGGAGTGCTACCACCCGCACACGCGAATCTTTCGACTTCGCATTCGATTTGGAGCGGGTCGCCGTCCCACAATCTCTTAACGATACAGTGAGTTTCCTATGACTGAAGTCTTACAATCTCATCTTCGTATCTTTTCCAGATACCAGTCTAACAATTTTTCAAAAAGGAACTTGCGTTCAGCTATCTTCTTCCAAAGTCCAACCCCCTCCCAACAAACCCTCAGACTCTTCTTCCCAAACTCCCCAACCCTTCACACGCACAATCTAAATCCAAACAAGCCCTTCCACTTCCACTTCCACAACCTCCTTCCCTCCCATCTTTCCCCTTCTCTCAATCAATCCATCCATCCATCCATCCATACAAGCAAAACCCACCCACCACCA